GAGGAGAGAGAGGAGAGAGAGGAGAGAGAGGAGAGAGAGGAGAGAGAGGAGAGAGAGGAGAGAGAGGAGAGAGAGGAGAGAGAGGAGAGAGAGGAGAGAGAGGAGAGAGAGGCGAGAGAGGCGAGAGAGGCGAGAGAGGCGAGAGAAAGGAGAGAGAGAGGAAAAAGAGAGGCGAGAGAGGAGAGAGAGGAGAGAGAGACAGAACTGCTACTGCTACTGCTGCCGCTACTGCTACTGCTACTACTACTAGTAGTACGACTACTAGTACGACTACTACTACGACTACTACTACTACTACTACTACTACTACTACTACTACTACTACTACTACTACTACTACTACTACTATTACTACTACTACTACCACTACCACTACCACTACCACTACCACTACCACTACCACTGCGACTACTACTACTACTACTACTACTACTACTACTACTACTACTACTACTACTACTACTACTACTACTACTACTACTACTACTACTACTACTACTACTACTACTACTCCTACTCCTGCTCCTACTCCTGCTGCTGCTACTGCTACTGCTACTGCTACTGCTACTGCTACTGCTACTGCTACTGCTACCACCACTACTACTACGACGGCGACCACCACTACCACTACCATTACCACTACCACTGCCACTGTCAATAATGGTCTGGTTTGTCCTTCTTGTCATCTAGGTTCCAGCGTCGGGAAGCCCGACGCTCACCACGATCTCTGGCCTTGGCCTCAAGGACCATGCTCGAGGGGTCTTAGGGTTTAGGGTTTAGTGCTTACGAAGAGGCACGACTTCCAGAGGACCACGGAACGATTCCGATCGACGTCAACGCCGGTGACAAAGCCTGTGTGCAAGCCACGCACCTGTGGCTTCAGCCCATGTGACTGTAGTTGTTGCGCATCTTTCCCTGTTTTCAAAGGGTACAGGTTGCTCTCGTGCAGCCTAGGTACACCGGCCTCAAGGCCCTTCGTCAACCTGATGCCATCCAGGCCGTAGAAGTGGATGGCAAGACCTACGTCCTCACTGCCAATGAAGGCGACGACAAGGCAATAGGGACTGTCAGTCCTTCGCAGTGAGCCCGCCAGGGGGAGGGGGTGGGGGAGATCGCATGCAAACGCACGCGATTGCATTCAGTGCATGTGCTTCGAAGGGCTATGGCGACTTTGAAGAGAAGCTGAAGCTCAAGGCCGAGGGTGCGGATGCATCCACCCCCGAACAGCGCAGCAGGGTCCGGCGCCCCCCTGCCCCAAACCTGTCCGAGGACGTGCTCAACTCGGACGGCTCCGTGGACAGCGACATGGAGCACATGACGGTAAGTTCGAGTGCGGCCAGCACTGCCATGGCGCTTTTTGCCGTTGCGGACAGCCTGAGGAGAGTCTGCAGCCATTTGATGCACGGGCTGGTATAGGGTTTAGGGTTTAGGGTTTTTTTTCAGGTGTAAGGTTTCCCCGTTTCCCTCCTGTGAGGATTACGGTCGGCTCTGCGGCCATCAACTACACAAACTCCTCGGCTCCAGAGATCCAGGACATCGTTGCATTCGGTGGCCGGGGCGTGTCCATCTATGAGCACACCACCAGCGGCTTGACTCTGAGCTGGGATTCCGGCGCCGAGGTCGAGAGGGAGCAGTGCGCCCAATACCCTTGGGCTCACAACGGCATCCAGGACGAGGAGTTTGCTCCTGTGAACGGCCACCTCTACATGGCCGCCGGCTCCAAGCTCCGCGGGACACTGGATGAGATGAACGATGCAAGCCAGGACGGCTGTGCGGATGGTGGAGATGGCCAGCCGGGCGCCTGCCCTCTCGGTCAGATGGTGGACGATCGCTCTGCAAAGGATGGACCTGGTGTCGAGGCCATCGTGGCTGGCAAGGCCTGCGGCTCCCTTGTGGCTGTGACGGCCACGGAGAAGCAGGGCACGGCCTTCGTCTACGATATCTCCAACATCGCCTCTCCCACCCTCCTCTTTGTGAAGCATCTGTCCCCAGCCTCGGAGACGAAGAACCCGGGCGTAGCTTACGCGGACCGCTCCCTGGGCGAAATTGATCCCGAGGCCATGATCTTCCTGGAGGAGGAACACTCCCCATCGGGCAAGGCCGGTGTCATGTTTGCTGGCGCCTGGTCAGGAACGATGTCTTTCTGGGAGTTCGAGTGCCCCACCACCACCACCTCGACGGCCGGCCCTGCCGATACCAGTGCTGCGCGTGAAGTGTCTGCTTTGTCCTTGAGTGTGTTGCTCTTTGTCTTCAGTTTTGCACGGCTCTAAGTGAGCTGCGGCAACGGGAGCACGGGACGCCGAACTGTGCGGTAACGTGCTCTCGGCTGCGCGGGACAAGGTGAAACATCTTCGCATGACCCTGTGCTGCACAGCCTTCTTTTCGGCCCTCCATCGTTCGGACGGTGGGGCACGCAGAACCTTAATTCATGCCCCTTTCAGCAGCGCCGCTCCAAGCACCACATGGGTCCCAGCACCCCCCAGTGAAGCCAGACGAGCAAGTTAATATAGGGTTATAATAGTAGATTTATAAATAAGGGACCAGAAGGGAATACTATTCGTAATTATTCCGACCCCTACATGAACTATTTGCAGGCAGTCGTAACGGAGCTATCGACCATAGTTCTTCCTGGCGCATCGGCACCGATCTTTTCGGCGAGCGTAAGGAAGGAACGGGGAGGATTGTTGGGCCATGGTTTCTTGGCTTGGAGCTGTCTAGGAAACGGCTGGGCCTTGAGATGCGTGATGATCGTATCGACTCCAAGTCATGTGATGCTTGTGATTCACTGTTTCGCACCCCCCGGCCCAGCCATTCATGCACTAGGCAGGACAGTGCGATCTGTGCCGCCTTTCTTGATCTTTTCTGACTTTTACGACCTTGGAAGTGGGGGCGACTGAGGGTGAGGGTCAGCCAAGTTGGCATGAAACCCTCACCCAGACTTCACACCATCCCCGAACCATCTCCGTCAAAGCAAAGAGTCGAGATTGGACGTCACGAGCAGGCAGACCTGGCTTTGTGCAGGGTTTCGCCCTTTCGGGTTCGGTAAACCTGAAACCTGAAACTTGGACATTGAAATTTCCAAGGCCCTTGACACGTGAACCAGAAAACACAACGGAAACACTTAGCCAGAAGTCTCAAAACCCTCAACTATACACACCTGAATCACCGGCAACAAACACACAACTCAACTCAACCGGCAAATCTCCTTCTTACATCTTTAGGGCCCGAACCGTAAACTCTAAACCCAAAACGCTTCCTGCCCCCCTACCCCCGAGTCGCATGACAGTTGATCATGGGCTTGCATGGTCTTTTGCACTGCTGACGTTGGTTGAAGACATTGGCATGCTTGTGCAAGCCAACGCGCGCACTTTCACATGCGCTTAGGGCAGCGGACGAGGGCTACTTGGAGGTGGTGAGGTGTCTTGTCGAGGAGGGTAAGGCAGGAGCCGGACTCACGATTCGGTACCTGCCAGTGGGAACTGCCCTGGCCATGGGAGACAATCCTTGCATTGGCAATGGCAGGCATCTTGCGTGGATGCAGTGGATGGTGAAGGCAGGCTTGATCACGTCAAGACGCATTCTGGACAGTCGTTTAGGGAGGCATTTGCCAGACCCGAGCGGCGACGATTCTCGTCAAGACTTTCGGAATCAGACTCCAGCATTCCTTTGATCCGGTCGACAGAACCAGACCGAATGCCTTGAACTGGCACAGCCTCAGCTGCAGCGTTTTTCGTCAGAGAGCGAACATGCCTGACCGTGAAAGGCAACACTGCCCTGCTGCTGGCTGCAAAGGCGAGAACCCCACATAATGCAAGACCAGCTGTGTGGTCTTTACAGTATCAGAGTGGATGCCTTGGGCAACACCCGGCTAAACCTGCCCATGGCAGTAGAAGCTCTGTCAGGAGGGGAGAACCAAAGTCGTGGACTACCTCCTGACGAGTGCCAAGTTGTGCCTAAGATGCAAAGCAACCCTGCGACTTGTGACATTGGGTGCATGTATGGCGGTTTCGCTTGGTCATTCCGCCATCCCTTCACAGAATCTTGGACGTTTCTCACCCTTGGTGTCGCATGCAGGTCAATACAGTACTGATCAGTTAGAAGCCAAGCTTATCGTAAGTTGAACGCCCCGCAAACCCGCCTCGGCCGCCAGTCGCCTTTGTCGAATCAAGCTCCAACTGCCAGAGCTTCCGTTCCCCAAACCTTGGTGTGCCTGCCTTGTGCGAGAGTGAGCGACTAGACCTTGGTGTGTATTGAGTGTATTGAGTATATTGTTATACAATAGCCTGCTTGTGGTATCCAATGCTTTGCGTGAGGGCATGACGGTAGCCCAGGTAGCCGCGACTAGCCTGCTTGCAGTCCCTGCAGTTAGAGTTGGTGAGACCTTTTCCCTGGGTTACCTGGACTGAGAGCATCGCCTGCCTGTGCTAGTGTGAGAGTCGAAGCCCTGCAGCCCTTTCAAAAAGGCAAAGCTCCACGTGCTGCCATGTGAGGCAAGCTCCACAGCAAGCCAACTCAAACGGCGAAACGCCTCTGCTCTGTGCGGTACAGAAGGGCCGTGCCTTGTCGCAGTTTGGCTGTGCTTGCGCCGTGCAACAGAAAGTGTCTGGCGTGTCGGATCATGGAAAGCCTTGAAACCAGCAAAGGCGCTGACATCGTGAAGCTGCTGCTTGGGCACTCCGCAGTGCCTAGCCAGCACAAAAAGGGGTTGCGAATGTCTGACACATCATGCTCTTTTGGCCACTTAAAGTTTAGCCAGTTTAGCGGCTTGAGCGAGAGTACTATCCACCAGACACTCCTGGCTTGATTGGCTTCTCCAAAGCTTGCTACTGCGTGCCGCGTGAATCTCAGCTTGCGAGAACCCTTGAACCTTTTTTCGGAGACATCTGGCAGATATCCGTGGAGATTTTCGGGAATCCATGGAATCCTACAAGCAGCTACTAGAGCACACGACATTCCAGAAAATCCCAGACTATCCTCAAAGCTGGAGGGCGTGGCTGAGCTGCTGTAGGGGTATCTGTGTTTTGAGCTACTGTGGGTTTGGCAACTTCGGACATGCTTCGTGGCTTTGGTACTGAATGTCTGATCGCGACTTGGGATGTGCTAGCTTTGCTACTGTATCGCCCGGGCTGCAGGGGTGCCGATTGGCTGCGCAAGCACACATCAACTTAGAAAGGGGAGCACCATGGAGCACGCGACCCGCATGCATCCCAAAACTGATCAGACGGTGGACATCTCGAACAACGATGGTGAGACGCCTCTCAACCTGGCAGCGGGCAAAGGTGCGCGTGCAGGAACAGTCGACCATGTGCACAAGTATGAGTGTTGCATGGTGCTGCTCCATCCTCTGAATATCTGCATGCCGAGAACACCATCAACACAGCTGAGAACGCTGGTGATGTTCAACCACTCAGAGAAAGATTTTTGTGTTCTGAGAGGAGTGGTAAAAAACGAGTTGCCGACACCACTGCTAAACTGACACTGTTCCAACGACCTTCAGTCGCAGCAATGGAGTAGTACTTGGCGCGAAGTAGAAGAGTGCAGCTTGGTCATTGCAAGTACAAAGATGCATGAACTTACATTACCCGTGGCATGTCCGAACCTACGTTGATGGGTGCCTCCAGCATATTCTTGGCACTCCTTCTTTGAGCATGTGAAATGGATGAAATGGCACTGACAGCAGGGTGGGTGGGAGGGACAGTCAGCATTGCGGCAGCAGGACGAATCTTTACGAACCTCAAGTGTAGCGTAGTTTAGTTGCGGCTGGTGTGCAAGTTGTTCCACTGCCGGGGCTTTCTGCAAACATCTTGGGGCCAGTAGATTGAGCACAACACACCACTTTCACGCAGCGATTGTGTGTTTGATGTTTCTTGACCGTCATCTTTGCCTTCGAACAGGTGATGCCGAAACAGTGCAGCTTCTCCTTGTCGAAGGGAAATCTCAGCAACTGAGCTTGCACTTTTTGTTGTTTACTGCTTGCGTTGTGTTTCAGCAGATCTGCTTGCCACCTGCTTGCTTCATCAACTCCAGCTTCTTGTGCAAAGAAACTGCGTTTTCGTTTGGCTGAGCCTCATGAGGTCTGTAGACACTCCAGATCGCCTGGGCTGGACTCGGGCTCGAAATGCCCTGTTGAAAGCAGGGCTACAACATAAGTAGCTGTAATAAACAACTATACTGGCTATAGCAGCTATAATAGCCATAATAACTATAGTAACTAGAAAACTATAATGACTATAATAGCTATAATAGCTATGATAGCTATAATTGCTATTCCACTGGATCTCTGCGTTGGAGCGACCTTTCAACGAAAGGACTCCTCTGCTCATGGCTTCTCATGGCGGCCATGTCGGAGTGGCTCGGCAACAGGGGCGACTCTTGAGCTGACACTCAAACCGGGGGGGGGGGGGAGCGGAATGGCTGCGACTGTCAGGTGCTTCGCCTCCTACTCAAGAGCCTGCATCCCAGCCGCCTCAATCTGCTCGCGGCTGCGAACGTGGCATGCCAACGAGCCACCGAGGCAGAGCTGCAACTGCGAACAGCCACAGCGGCACTGGTGAAACACCCCTCCTTCGCGCTGCAAAGCGTGGTCAAGTTGAGGCTTGGTCTCAGCTACCCCAAACCCTAAACCCTAAATTCCGGCATTTGAGGCATTTGTGTCTCTGGCGAAGAGCGGCAGCATGTCCCATGACCGTTCCATTCCTTGCTTTGCTCGTGAGGCTCAAGGCCCTTAAGTTGCTGCAGGGCTCTTTATGTTGTATTCTATTCTGCTCTATTGCAGCCTATCTTGTTCCTCACTGTCCTTGATATTTCAACACAGAAAAAAGAAAGCAGAGCCTCTTGGCTCATCTACAGTTCGGGGGCCGGAGTGGGGGGCTCGCTTTTGGGCACTGAGGGCTGTTTTGCGAATGAGTTGAGAGTTTGTTTTTTGTCTTTTTGTTGAGGCTGGGGGTCTTGTGTAGGGTCTCAACTGTCAGGGCTTGCTTCCGAAATCTTGCAAGCTATTTCAATCACTGAGGGGGGTCCATCAAATGCTTAGGGAGTCCCTCCTTGGGGTCTTTCGCAGGAATCTTTGAGGGTGTCCCCAGCCTTAAACCGGGAACCTCTGACACGCCGAGACCTTGCCCAGAGACTGCCGGCTGGTCGTGGAGTGTCTTCGTTAACATGTCGGAAGTCAGGAGGAACTAGCAGCCCACAAGATCAGGTTGCCAAGCTTCTCCTCAACATTGACGAGGCCTGGCACACGGAAGTTCACCCACAGCACTTGACTTGCAATGCATGTACGGGTACCACCTGCCAGGTTTCTTCTGCGTTGCAGGATGTTGCTGTGTAGAGCCGTAAAGGTGGCCGACGAACTCGCTTAGGAGGTGTGAAGTGTGTGCTTGGGTGCTCCATTCTGGTCTCCTGACCATGCCTGCTGATGTGACGAGTAGCTCTGCTATGGCTCGCTGGTAATGTAGCAGTCGGTCGAGAGACTTGACGAGGACCACTGCTGCATCCAACAACTCCCCGCTTAGTTGGGGACCCCCGCCTTTGAAAGGCAACCCCTCCCTACCCCCCGCCGCCCGCCTCTCCGAATGGTTCTTACGACGCCTGGAAAAGCCTGTATTCACACAGGTCCCCCTCCCCTCCCAGTTGCGCTGAATAGGATGCAACATGACAGTGCGCAGGCCGCAATGATCGACACTCCTGACCGTGACGGCCTGGAGCCGTGTACTCTGCATGAGCATTTTTTGCAGCCTGGCGTCAGCAATCTCGAGGCCACACGCCTCTGATGATGGCTGCCCAGTTCGGCTTTGCAGAAACTCTCCGGCCTTGCCCTCATATGCCAGTCCAGTCATGGCTCGCCTGTGCAGCCAGGTTTAGATGCCCTTTCTGCAATTTGCTCTCCAGCAGGTTGTTACTTGGCTACAAGGCATCGATCGACCTGCGCAACAAGGCGCAATATGCAAAAAGAGAGGGTGGAATGAAATGCTCGGGCAGTTACATAGGTTTTAGCATGTTCATGTAAATGACACTTGGACGCCCATCCTATCACTTGCACAATAATAGGTTCTTACCCAGGCTACAACGCTGGTGCCCCTGCATGCGGCAGTACTTCGCAAACCTGCAGACAAACTTGTGGAAGCATATAGTTGAACAACCTTGTCAAGCTGCGTTGCGCCATGCTGGCGCACATTGTCATGAGATGCTTGCTCTTCACTTGTGTTGAGCACACCGGTCACTGCTTGCCGTAAGCTGCCAGTCGCCAGGCAGGGTTCGCGGCAGGGAACCCACAACATCACACTTCCTTGTGATCGAGTGTAGCCGCGTAGTGCTGCCTGCCCGTTGCCCGGTTTGCCTTTCTCCGAACCTCGGGGAGGCCAACGAAACGGCACTGCTGTTGGCAGCCCAAGAAGGCTTTGCGGAGGCCACATGGGCAAAGGTTGGTGCTGAAACATGAAGCCCTTTCCTCTATGCAGCCAGAGAAAGTCAGATGATTTTGGGGGGCAGACCGCGTTTTTCGACATCAGGTGGTCACCATCCTTTTGGAACGGGGGCTGCTCGGCCACATCCACGCAGAGCGTATAACATGCAAAACTACTGTAGCTCTTGACGCCTATATCGGAATCCGGGAGCAAGGTCCACAGCTGTCAACATGGCAGCTGCAGACGGTGATTTGCCCAGCATCCGAACTTTCTGATCCGGTGCAGTGTAAGCAGCACATTGTTTTGCCTTGAACGTCTGTCTCTTGCCCGTTAAGTGCAGTTTTCACATGATCTATGCCGAAGTCGAAGCACCAGCCATGCATGTCGCAGTGTTCGGGGTCGAGCGTCGGACACTTTAAAATGCGGTGGCACATACGAGTGAGAACACAGGTCTTACGCAAGCAGGAATAAAAAAAGGCAGTGGCACTTCGTCGCACCGAACTGCAAGTAGCCCTAGGCGGCCATATCTCCTGCTCTCGTTAGAGAGAGACAGTAACTACACCCAAGAGCAAGACAGGAACAAGCAGTAGTTGCCCTGTGCTACTCGCTTCTTAGAAGCCAATACCGCACAAACCGCTCACAGTGGCCGATCGCTTTGCAGGCGCAGTACCTGGAAGGTGCTGCCACATGAAGGGTACGAAGGTTGCCGATGCTTCCATGCGAGTGCGTACCGAGGAGTTGCAGGAGTGCGTGAAAGAAGAGGCATGGCAGAGACCGAAAGAATCCATGGATTCGGACTCGAGTTCAGGCGGCTTGGGGGGTGACTCATCCTCCGAGTCCTCATCTGACGAGGCTGTGCACCCCAGCTCGCCGTCTCACCACACACCGGCGCTGCCGAATGTTTCGCAGGATCGGCTCGTGGTCAGCCGCAGTCCTTCCAAAAACTCGGCGGCAGAAGTGAACAAGATAGTGGAGGGCCTTACGTCCTTTCGAGCGGCTCTGCTCACAAATCAAAGACTGACACTGCAGATGCTTGACCGGGAGATGGAGAAGGTGAAGCAATTGCCAAACATGGTTGCCGAGGGTAAAGTGGAAAGAAGAGAGAAGTCCAAAGAGGTCAGGGTTAGGCTTCCGGGCGCTCTCGGCCCTGAGACCAATGACAATTTTGGTGAGGGCCGAAACCTATCGAAAGAAGTCAAGCAGGCTCTGACCCCTGCTCCATTTGCACATCTTCAAACCTTGGACCAGAAACGGAAGAGGCGAATGTCTTGGATCCCGAAGACTGGATCTCTTCCAGGCACAAGCAGTACGGACTTTGAAACTCAGCTGGCTCAGCTTCCCAATGTGCCGCAGAGCGAGCACCCTCCAGAGCTCCCTTTCAAGATGAGCACCAATTCGAGGCGGAGCTCGCGGGACACTGAGCCAGAGTCTCCAGAGTCACTCGTTGTGGCCCACCTGACAAAAGCTGAGAAAGCCCAAGCGAAGAGGGAAGCAGAAGCCTTTCAAGAGGCAGGAATGCGTCCCGGCTGCATGAGGGGGTTCCTACACGATGGGATGCGAAGCGGGCGCTGGATGTGGGGAAAAAACAAACTTAAACAGACGGGTGGCAAAAGAACCCTGAACCCTGAACCCTAAACCCTAAACGCTGGTTACGCTGGTTACCCTAAACCCTATAACCTGGAATTGTGGTAATCACTGGGGCCGATGTCAGAATTATTTCTGTGATTTAGGTGTGTTTTTTGTGCTTGGCATGTGTGAACAATCTGTACCTGTGCCTGCATGGGGTTTCGAATCTGTGAAGATTCAATCTGTGAAAAATTTGTGAAAAATCTGTGAAAAAATCTGTGCTTCCCCTTGTCCGACTCCCCCGCCCCCTCCCCCCACTCCCCACAAAAAGAGAACAGGTCACAACAATAGCACAGATTTATCGCAGAATCAATTGTGGCCACCTAGCAATTCGCAGATAAACCACAGATGCAAAAGACCAAAAAGCACAAATAAAACACAAAATAAATAATTCCTGAAACCCAGCCTTTACCGCAAAATCCAGGTCACAACCCTAAACCCTACTTTGTTGAACTTGCCTGCTACTGCGACTGAGGCTGGCCCAGTTCAATGCGGATCTGGCAAGGAGTCAAGTCAGGAAGAGAGCTGCAGAAGAATTCGAAGTCAACAAACATAATGAGAAGCAAAAACAGGATGGCATTCTGCCGAAAATTGCAAGAAGCTCTCTGCTGGAGCGTGCCACCATGACCGTAATCTTCCTCAATGCGATATGGCTCTCAATCGACATTGAGTTTAATGATGCAGACATCATTGTTGAAGCTGCACCGGGCTTCATCATTGCCGAGAACTTGTTCTGCGCATACTTCACTGCGGAGTTGCTCATCCGGTACTTGGTCTACACGCGCACTTGCTATGCTCTCCAGGATCCATGGTTTGTATTTGACTTGGTGCTAGTCAGTCTCATGATCTTTGAGACTTGGATTATGGCCTTGGTGTACCTCTTCTCCGACGGTGGAGGAGGCAACATCGTGGGCGGTACTTCAGTGCTGCGTGTGGCTCGCGTCTTGCGGGTCCTCCGCACGGCGCGGATGGCTCGATTGGTGCGGTTTATGCCAGAGCTAATGATCCTCATTAAGGGGATGATGGTCGCTTGCCGGTCGGTCTTTTTTACATTGATCCTGCTTTTGCTCATCACCTACGTTTTCTCGGTTGCTTTCATGCAGTTCAGCCGCGGGACGCTGCTTGCGGATCCAGAATACGAGTTTGCCTTCTTCGATTCAATGGGACGAACCATCAGCAGCCTCATTTTATACTGCATCTTTCCTGACCAGGAGTTCTTCTACACAGAGGTCGCCAAGCAAAGTTGGGAAATGGCCATCCTGGTTGTGGTTTTCATCTTCCTTGGATCCCTGACCGTGATGAATATGCTTCTGGGAGTGCTGGTCGAAGCCATCAAGACCGTGTCTGAGATCGAGCGTGAGCAGATGGATGTGGATTTTGCCAAGAAAGCACTTTGGGAGCTCATCAGCAAAGGAGCTTGGGCATTTGAAGATTGCAGCTTAGTAGTGAGCATCGGCCATGCAAGTAGCATGCCGGCACATATCCTCAAGAAGATGTGCTGACAACAAACGTACTAACTTGCTAACTTGTCCCTTCCCTTTGGGAGGGGGGGGGGGAGCCGGGTCAGTACAAGGGTCAAGGCAGGAGCCAGGCAGCAATGCAAAGGATTTCTCCTTTTGTGGTGTTCCTTCGTGCAGTGCCAGGAGCTGCAGACGAAGACGGTGACAACCGCATCTCAGAGCAGGAGTTCGTGAATGTGCTGTCAAAGCCGGAGGCAGTGACAGCCTTGACGAGCCTGGGTGTCGACGTCGATGCTGCCCTGGACTATGGTCCCGAGCTCAGCTGTTTCCATGTGCTTGAGTGCGCAAGAAAAAACGCATGTGTGCATACGTATGCACACACACCGCCCTCACCAAGGAAAGCTTTTGTTTGAAGATGGAGAGCCGCTGACATTCCCCGATTTCATGCGAGGTATTCTTACGCTACGGGGCTCGAATCAAACAACCGTGAAGGACATTGTGGACTTGCGGAAGTTTACAGCAGAAGAGTTCTCGCAGCTCCACGATGTGCTTCGTGAACTATGTCTCTTCTTAATGGATAAAGGACTTGGTCTGCAGCCGGCTTCTAGTTTTTATCGCGGAAATGGTTGGTTTGCTACCAGTAGTTCGTGAAGTGGGGCGAGAAAAGTTACGTAAACTCGCGATGCCCCCCCCCCCCCCTGTGTGATTTGATACGGTTAACAGCCAAATGGAGGACCACCCAAAGATAATGCCGACACGAAGCCATCAAGATCTTCATCACGCACTTCCGGACAAGCCCGCAAGGAGGCGTGACTGACGAGTGTGCAGAAAAGTTGCTGAACCAGCTCTTTGAAGCAAAGTGGGCTGGGAAGCCCGATTTTGCATATGCACTTTGCAGCACAAGTGTTTGAATCCATGGAACCGGCAAGAAGCCCTTCTGACTCTCACCTTCTCTGGACGAGTAAAGCTGCCTCCGAAGGAGGCCCAGCTGAGTTGTTTGAGATTGCCTACACCACCAATTGTCGTGCGCAGGGTTATTTGTTATCTGTTGCTGACTCCGTTGGCGTACTGCTTTAGAATCTGTGGTGTATGGCATCCACCCATGTTGCCCTCTGTAGGGGGCTGTGGAACTGCATGCACCTTTCTCAGAACTGAATCAGTTTGCAATGATTGGTGAAGCAATGGAGAAATGGCTGAGGTGTTTGTAGGACAGCTCGGTGAGAATTCACTAAAGCCCGCACTCAGCTGTGCGATAGATGGGCCTGTCTGCTGTGCACTGGCTGTGCAGGTCGCACGCCGCTGATTGCGGCCGCACGCTTTGGCTACTCAGAGGCTTGGACTTGGATAAGTGTGCCGATTATAGCGGTCGGGACATGCCGGGGTGCGACGGGCTCGTGTGCACTTGTGGAAGGTTTGCAGACTGCTGCTGCACCATGGGGCGGATGGGCGCGCCAGAATGGAAGGACTGCACCAGCAAGTGAGGAATCGCAGGGCATGGTCGCAGCATGGCCGGGGTAGTAACTGAAATCACCCTTTGGAAAGTCTGCAGGAAGTGAAGTGATCGAGAACTGCGGGACGGCGTTGGATATTGCACGCCAGAACGGCCACAGCGAGGCAGGTTCCTTCCGACGAGTTATCTACACCGCTGGTTGAGTGCACTTCGGTCTCAGGTGGCTGCGATACTGGAATCCTGAAGCCTTGCTTCATTCGCAGAAAAATTCGGCAAGCAAGCTCCGTTTTTTCGAGTCGGTTATATGGCCTGTATACAGGCACGTTACTCATCCCTTAGGGCTTACAGCCTAATGCTATGCATCGCAGCATAGATCACACAACAAATCGAGCTTTGGTTTGGCTTTAAGGGCCTTTCATATTGGTTTTGGCTGTATTAACAGTTGACAGATGATGCCATACTGGAGCCTTGTCTTATGGGTTCATATAATTGGGGGTGGTGGCGGGCTTTTAAGCATGTTTAAGCATGTCGAGGTATCTTGGAGAGATCGAAATTCTTCTTATTTATATAATTATGGATTCTCTTTAATTTATTTGGACGCACATACCATTTGGACGATATATTTCAACTAGACTTTTGGATTCTTTGACGATTTCTAATTGGCGCCGATACTTTAATTCTATTTTTTCAAAATAGAATAAAATCTATTTCCTTCTCCTCCATAAATTCGATGAAATATAAATTCCGATATATTATCATAATATAGTCTTTATTATTCGTTTTATCCTAAATTCTAAGATTTCAATTATTTTATCTTACGGATTTGGAAATTAAAAAATTCTAAAATCAAGGAAAATTGGAAGGAATCCATCGGGGCCTATCGATTCTATCGATTGTATAGCCACTTATTGAATGGAAGAAAATTTCTACTAAAAGTTTTACTAAATTTTCTTCACATCTATAAAATATTATTTCATGAATCGCTCGGGATGGAAGTAAATAAATGAGCCTACATACAATTGAAATGAAACCATTAATAATTCTGTCATCATTTTTATATTATTTCGTATTTTTCTTGAAATAATAAAACTCAGAAAATTTAAAATATATTCTTATCAAAAATTCAGCAAGCCGCCCAAAGAATAATATCAAATCTAGATTTAGGGGAACCGCGGCCTTGTTCCAAGCCTTTCGAGATCTTTCCCGAAACACAAATACGTGACCCTCATCCTAGGTCTAACCCTTAAAGGGTTTGAAAGCAGAGACTTTGGTTCGTTCAGAAATGCATAAATGAATTGGAAGAATATTTGGAGGGATTTTTGGGAATGCTCACCATAGATGGAAAGAAGAAGGTACAATTGCCACGATGGCGGCAACGAGCCCTGGAAAAGAATCGATAATCTCATATCTCATCCGGAATATACCCCAAATACGCGACTCTACTCAGACCCTATGTAGAATTGAATTTATAAACCCATTTGAGATATCCCAGAAAGACGAAAGAATAAGAAGAATCGAAGACTCCCAAATAAAATATAGAATAGAGGGCTTCCCATTTCGTATTATTATTTACCGATATATGGAATTGACAGGGACCCGACCTGATTTGGAACCAATTACATTACTACCATTTGACCCACAACTTCGTCCCACTAATATCTTGATTATGACGACCCCTTCTGCCCTCGTATCTTTTTGACGACGATTCCCATGATTAACATTTGATTTTGTTATTGATCTCCATTCCTTGCTTCGAACTTGGCTCATTCAACGAATATAGAATTTTCAATGGAAAACCCTTATGATTTGAAAGATTGGGGGAAATGGTGTGAAGCCATGAATATAGAATATAATCCGATCATATTCGAAATCATAAGGGAATTATGATGGCAATCCATAATACGAGATTCATATTAGATTCTGTAGATCGGAAATTATGATAGTTTATTATTATGATCTATTAATTATTGAATGAGCCAAGATTTGGTTACTTTGGGCCCGAAGCAATTTTTTAGGATCTTTGTTTATTCAGAATCGTGATACGAGTCTCCAAATTCTTTTCTAATTCGGGAAGATAATAGGCATTTAAATATCTAAATCGAGAAAGAACGATATTCCGAAAATTTTATTCAGAATTGAGACATAATCTTAGTTCCCTAATTTATTTATACATTCAGATTGAAACATTTTTGATTTACCTATCCCCAAGAGATAATTTCAAGAGAGATATTTCAAGATTCCAAGAAATATAGAAAATCTATGACCCCAAATAAGAGTAATCTAACCTCTCCTTTAAAATTACGAAAGAATTGCAGAATAAATATATAATTTTCATTTCCTATTCTAGCAATACGAATATCTTAAATAATTAAACCGAATGATACGAGATAAAACGACATGTATCGATATTTTCAATCGACGAATGATAAGTTCATTATAAGAAAAAAGAAGATATCTATTTATTTCATATTTTCCAATGGAAGATTCCAGAATATAATTATCCAATCAGAACCGTTTCGGAACCTAATAACTATAATTTTGAGATTTCAATTGGATCAAATAACGCCGATTGGCAAGTCATCTCGACCAACTAAACAGGCATGCCCATCTTCAACAGCCGACGACATCCTGGAGGTCTTCAAAGGGGGTTTTCATTGGCATGCGTGAGTCTGTGACGTCCAATCGGCTACACCTAGCGTCGAGAAGGTTGCGTCGAGCAGCGATTGTACCCTTTACCATCATGACTTGCCTCTCGTTCTGCAGATCTTTCTTCAATTTCATTCGGGATTTGGCTCAAAGAGCAATGGGCACAAGTGCCTGCATGTCTCCTGTCCGAAATGTACGGAAAAACTGTTGAGGCAACTTCACACAATCGCACCTCTCTCATGCATCCACAACCTCATCCCTGAGGCTAGCCCATTCCAACCTCCGATTTTGTGACCTCAGAAGTACGCTATCGGTTTGGACTGAGGGATCTAGGGTTCAACCCCCCGAGTGGCCAGGCAAAACACCACGATGATCCTGAGACCCTGGCGTCTTATTGCAAAATTGCCGAGCTTGGCCTTACGACAATGTGTGGGATATTGTGGGATCCTGGTCTCACAGTGCTGATAGGCTTGCTGGTTCCAAGCATTTTTTTCCGGCAGGAAACGAGATGACAGAGCCAGCTGCCTATGGCAGCATGGTCGGGTGCGAAATTTCAAACTCTTGACAAGGGGAACCTGCCACTGCACCAGATCCAGAGTTCATATGGTGAGGACTTCACCACTCTCTTGAATCCGGGAACGAGCCTTCGCTCGAGCAGCTATGGCACCAACTTCCTGCAGAATTTTCTGTCCATCTAGCCAGCCAGCCAGAAGCCCTTCAGATCCAAGCAGCAAGCTCTGTAGGCGCGCATTGAAGGTGGCGATCTCCGCTTCCTCGCCAATCTTCGCGAGGATGGCCTCCTTGTCTTCTGCTCTGGATGCCGAGCAGTCCTCGACGTGCAGGGAGCACAGCTCACGGGAATGTTGCTCAAGAACCTCCGGCGAGTGCAACATCACGTGCTGCTCCAGGTGGCTGTTGTATGCTTCAACGAGTTCCGCCACGCACCAGGCCCGCGAAAATAGCCTTGGTAGGAATAGAAATAGAACATATGCAAAATAACCTTGGTGTTCCAGTGGCCCTGCTTTGATAAGGGCACACTCTTTTGTTTTGGGGGGGTGGTCAAGCTTGTTGTGTGAAGCAAAACAAGGCAACAAACAAGAAACGCCCAGCTCACAGATGCACAACAGTGAGCCGCCATAAACATCATCTAAGAGTTACATACATCTTAGCTACGCACCCAGCCACCAACAAGATCTCAGGAGGAGGCTGGAGAAGGAAGATCCCGCTCAAGCTGGCAACGCAGTTTTACCTCAACACCTGCACCCTCCCTGCATCTGCCACACCGGCCCCGGCGCAGGCGGCGAGGCACTGGCAGCCCAACGAACCCTACTCAAGGCTTCGCCCCCCCCCCCCCCCCCCTCCGAACCTCCACGACCCCCCAATTCAGTGCTCAGCCCAAGCTTAAACCACCCCCTGACCACCCCTCCTTTTCAGCCCCATGCCGATGCGCCAAATACTGTGCAAGGTCGATGTCGCTACGCAATCAAGCTTTGCTTGAACGGTTTTACGTGAAACCAGGGAAAAAGCAAAAGTCGTGACAATCAATCGTCCCTTCAATGAACCGCTGCACAGACCATTCAGGGAAACATCCGATTGGTTCATGGAAACGGGGCACAGTGGCACTACAAATTCTGGCTGGTTCATGGAACCCGGGGCTTCCAGTGCTAAACTTGTACTGCAAATGCATGAACATCCTCCCGGCTCATGGTAACATGGATTCCGCGACAGTACTTCCATGTTTTGGTTTCTACCGAAGGCTGCACAACTAAAGCATGTCAAAAAAAGGTCAAGGGCAGCTCTGGAGCACCAAGTAACTGGAACTTTTTGTCGATCGCGACCACTTGCAGGAAGCCATTTGGGTGGCTATGGTGTAACGATGCCATCATACTATCAAACTTGTTGAGCTCGCAGAGGATAGGACAGTCGTTGAAATACTTGGGTGTCCTGCAGTCGCAGCATGGGAGGACATCACCGGTGACGGTATCTCGCACGCCCATGGAACTTCCGCAGATGCTTGCATGCTGATTGATGCAAATGGCACAGATCCAGTAGTGCCAATGCAGCGCCCCGCAGTCATGAAGCCTGACCCTTAGCTCCTCTTCATGGCCTGTTGACAACTGCTCTGCGACTAGGTCCCAGCGCCTCAGGCTGAGTCCATCTGCCACCACCGCGGCGACAAGGTCTCTGAAGCAGTTTCCCCAGTGGTGTGTGACCATGCGAGGAGGGTGTGACGAGGTCAAGGCGCCACCTGCAGAGGTCAGTGTGGTCACAGGTCCCACTCCGTAGTCGCCGGAGCCGTAGTCGCCTGGGGATTTTTTGCGTGCCAAGATGTCCGCCAGTGCCAAACCTAGGTCGCCATCACGAGACTCGGGGATTATGGCATGGCGCACCACGTCATTGGTAGTGGACCTCCCTGCATCGAAATGGGGCATCAAAGGCTTCAATCTGTGCTCATTGTCTTCAGACCTACCGAGCCGGATGTAGAATGTCAAGAGGTCCGCAACCGATATTTGGCGGTTGGCCAGCTCAGCAACTTTCTCATCCCAAGCGCACCGATAACACATCTCGATGTCAGGCTGGTCGTGCGAGGGGCGCCGGTTCGGAGATCCAGACAATGCTTTGCCAACCTGCCTCCCACAAGTGCAGGCCTCTTCCTGGAGAGATGTTCCAGATCATGTGCTAGTAGCAACCCTTTGCGGAGGGGAGGCAAGGTTGGGGGGGGGGGGGGGCTGTTACTTTATATAAGGACAGGATCCCTACTTGACACAGCTACAAAGACTTGTACACTAATTCAGCACAAGCCCTCCTGTCTCAGCTCTTCGACCTCTTGTGGTATCCTGGACCTGCAGTGCACCCGGGGCAGCCGCATCGCACTTGCAGCCAGGAGGAACAAGCACATCAAGTTGCCCAAGCTGTCCGCCAACAGGCCGTACTGGTAGGCATCGGACCACTCTTTCGTGTTGACCACCCAGGAAACTCCGTAGGCAGCGAAGTGCCAAGCCATGGATGTGCTAGCCAGAACCATGCCTACTTGGGCTGAGCGAATCACGCGTGCAGCAAACGCTGCCTCTGTTTGAAAGAGGCCAGTGGCTTCATCCTCAGCATCCACCTTTCGGACTGCCTGCAGCGCTGCTAGGGGAACCGAGTAAGCCAGCCAAACGAGTGCTGTAATGGCTGCAAGACCCAAAGCCACACCCATGCTCACCAGCATGCTGGTGAAGCGGGAAATGTAAACAGTCCCTGCAAGAAGAGCTATCCAAACAATGAGGAAGCGAGATAGCCACACGATAACTCTTGACCTGGGCAGAGTCTCACCAAAAGCTTCCTCCATTGCCAGCAGCCGCTCGATCACAAGCTGAAGGCACCAAATGTCACCAATGAAGCCGGCAGCATAGCCATATGGAGTAATCAATTTCGCCGGAAGGCTGTGCGTTGATGCAAAATCTCGCTGCCCATCATTGTCATAATCGGCACCCTCGCAGGCTTCGATCATCGTTCCTCGGGCCAGGACGAATGATGGGCCCGTCTTCAGAAAGCATCAGATTTCCACTTCTTCTCACAAGCTAACTGAAATAGTTAAAGCACATGCAAATGTGCTACACTGCACAGGAGCAAGGTTCCAATGCTGCCTAGTGCGCGGCTCTGCCACAAGAACAGCACACATCTGACGGACTGTCGTATGTAGGCTGAGGCCGGGTGGTCTGCCAGCACCATGTAGCTGGCAATTATCGCCGCGAGCCAGTTTAAAGTACCCCGGAAGTACCTTGCACAGGACGACTTTGCTCTCATTACATAAGACAAAAACTCACAAACTGCAATCGACCTGCTGCCAAGGCACAGTTGAATCCAGAAGTCATTGAATGTTCGACCGTACGAGGTCTTCATGCTGGTGTCAAACTCGCTGCAGCCTTCCTTCCCGCCATAGAACAGCCATGGAATCAACGTGACGAAAGCGGTTGTCAACCTGTGCGCGGTCATGCCAAGACGCACTCTTTGTCGGACCATGTCGTCACATGCCAAGTCGACTGAGCGCCCGGCAGGATTCCGGCCACACAAGCGATGCGTACTGGCAACCCAAAAGGCTGCGATTGGGCTTTGAGAACCCAGCGCCCACATACAAACAGCCAAATGCAGCACACCACGCTGCCGAAGTAGGTGGACACGAATAGAAGGCCTATTGCCACAGCTCCAAGAGCCAGGCCAAAGGCGAAACGCACGCGTGCAAATATGCTTCGTGCCGTAGACATGCTTGACGCTTTAAGCGACAAGCGAATGCCACGACTGGAAGTCCGGGGTCATGCAACTTTATTTGATGACCTGCGCAGGTTCTGAGTGCCAGCTTTGCCGGAACTCAAGACAGGACGGCTAAGATATAATAACTTTCAAGCCGAAAAGCCCTGTTGCGCTCCAGGTGACACAAGCCTGCCTTACTATCTACTCTGCTTCAATGTCCTGCTTTCAGCCCGTCGAATCATGCAAGCTTAGAAGTAGATTCCACGAGTCCATATGTGACTAGCCATGCTCTCTAGTGTCTACTGTTACATTGGAAGTGATTCATACGAATGCTGCAATGCTGAGTTTCTCCACCTCACTCTATTTTCAGCAGAGATGTGATATGGACAAGTAGTTGGACTGGAACCATGTCAATGTGCGATCAATGTGCGAGAATACCCTTCTACGATGGTCTACGACGTCGGCACCTGCAACCCCCTGAACTCCAGATCACGACTTAAGCTACTGGAGGGTGGTCCACACAGAGTGACTGACGGCATGGAGGCTGGCGAGGGTGGAGCGGGTTAGAGTCACAGCCATGAAATCCAAGTGCACGCCCGGGGGTGAAGGCCCTACTGCATCGGACGAAAGCAGGTCGTATCACTCCATTTCAGCCGGCGAAGCTCGCATCTAGTCCAGGCGTTTGAACATGTAGAGGCTCACACCTTCACCATCCTGCGAACTGGTTTACGTCTGAGAAGCCAGCAGAAGCATGATGTTCATTTCTGCATCAACTGCAAGTGCAGCTGGGTGCCTTCTCTCGCTTCCTCACCGTGTAGCCGGTGTTGTTGTACAAATTAAAGGCTGCTGCATCATCGTCGGTGTGCAGATAAAGTGTGCTGCCTTGCCAGGTCGTCCTCAAAGTCTCACTCTCGGTCTCTCTCTCTCTCTCTCTCTGTCTTCTTCTTCTCCACGGTGGAGTCTCTACCGCTCTTTGCCCACCACACTCAACACCAACCGTACTCAATGCACTCAACTGTGCATGCGAGCATGTCCCGACCTTGCAACCTCCAAGCCTTCTCAGCCCATCCCCGGATATGTTCACTTGATGCCCGAATCCCTCGGCCAACTCCGAAATTCGAAGACCGCCCTTTACCCCTGCGCTCTATTCTTCTTTTCTGCTGAGCATGGGTGTTTGGAGCCAGGACCGGATCGGAGGCGGGGAGGGGTGGTATGCCCATCTCACCCTCTCTTTTCTACTTCGTCTTCGTCTCCGTCTCCTTCTCCTTCTTCTCCTTCTTCTTCTGCACGTTTTGAGGCCCTCACGCTGAGGGGCCTGGCCTCGACGGTCAAGCGGGTCTTCTCTCTTAGTCTTCTTCCTTCTACCCCTCGTTGGTTTGGGTTCAAGTGCTGGAAGCTTTGACCACGTGGCCATGTGCTCTGAAACAGGCTTTCTTCAACCATTGCTCAAGACCACTCACACTTCAAGACACCTCAGAGTCTTGTCTAGCCCAGCATGGCAACAGTCCTGCAAAACTCTTCCACCAAATTCAGCAGCTTCTTGCCAAGACCACGTCTTCGGTAAGCCTCGCCAGGACGGAATGTCGTCACCACATCTCAGCATGCCTTCTCCCACAAGACCGCTGCACTTCAGAGCCCCACAATCGCTTCACTCGGGTTTGAGATGAAGCACTGCCATTCCATGAAGTACCAACTGCATATGACCTACTATGCAGCGAGCCAAGTATCTGCATATGACTAAGGGCCTTGGACACACACAAGTTCTTGAGGTATGGCTCCAGCGCTGCGCTGCGCCTCCGTCAAGGTGCGGCTTCATGAGTGCTTCATATGAATGCCTAGCTTAACGGCTCCACCTGCCGATGCCCTCAGGCTTTTGCATGCAAATCTCGAAGTAGCCGATCGGTGGCTTCTCCGCCCCTTTCTCACGCAGCAGAACCTGCATCCAAGTCGACGTTACTGACGAAACGCTTGAGGCTCAATGTCACCGAGATGCTCTCCAAGTTGTATTCTGAAATGAGGCATTCCGTTTTGTAGCCGAGCAACTCCCAGGTTCCACTCGTCGTTGGAAGGCCGCCTCTCGACAAAGGTGCGAGTCTTGTGAGTCACCGTGAGGACATCCGCAGTGGCCGTAGTGTGCAGTGCAATATTTGTGCAATTCTGTGCTTGTTCCCGCTTATCATCTGGCTGCGGTGCCTTAAGCTGGGCGAGGCGAGAAGCCCGGCAAGGCGCTTTCGCATCGCCCCCAGGGTCATCTGCCGCTCGCTGAGGGAAACCCAGCCATTCCACAAGTCGCCCAGCGGGCCGCCGCCGTCAACCATCCTCTCAGATTGCAGGCTGCAGGCCAACTGAACAAAAGTACAGACAAATGTGCAGACGGCATCGATTTGAGGGGCCCGCTGTGGGGAACTGTGGCGCTTGTGATTTGTTGTGATATTCTGATTCTCGGACCCAACACCATCCAACGCCATCCAACAAAAGCACGAGTGACGGCTCTTGCTGCTTGATGATTGGAGGCATGAGGGTGCTTCAGATTTTTTGTGGGCACCGTCTACCACAGTTTCAGGACGGCACGTATGATTTGACGCGTGTGGGCTCAGCCACTGACCGTCACTGCGTCTCACTTGGAACAGCCCAGCGATCCAGTGCCCTAGCGTCGCCTTTTCATACCTTGCGTAACTTACATCCTTATCGAGACTTTCGATCGAGCCCAGCTCCAAGAAGCTGCCTCGGCAACCTTGCGTGTTTCCCCAGCTATTGGCGCCCGGGCCTTTGTTGGTGGACAGCACGAAGTGAACTCTGCCAAAAGAAAGGGAACACATTATTTATATGATTCCATCTTGATCTTGGATCTTCCGATAATCAATGGCCTTGCTTAGCATATTACGACGACGATGCCAATGAACGCCTTGATTGCAGCGCAAACTGGATTCCCAACAATCAACCTCGCTGTACTCCATTTGAAGCTTGAAAGCGTACTTACTCGAAGAGTAACTAAACTTAAGTCCCCGCAGCAAGCATAGACCCTAATCCCTTAACCCTTAGCCCTTAACCCTAAACCCTGAACCCTGAACCCTGAACCCTGAACCCTGAACCCTAAACCCTAAACCCTACCCCCTATCCCCCCCCCACCCCTACCCCCCCCCTATTCCCCCCCTACCCCCCCCTATCCCCCCCTACCCCCCCCCCCCCCCCCCTACCCCCCCCCCTGCCCCCCCTACCCCCCCCTACCCCCTACCCACCCCCCCCCTGCCCCCCCTACCCCCTACCCCCCCCTACCCCCTACCCCCCCCCCGCCCATTTTCATGTAGACACTTGCCTGGCTTGGATGGCTCGTTGGAAGCTCTCGTCTACTAGATCTGTGAGCTGCTGCATGTCCGTGTCTTCAGGCACAGCCAGTTCCAGTTCGAGGCCATTTCCTCAAAACGCCAGAGACGAAACGTATGGTCTAGGGTCTAGGGCATCAGCACTGCGCCGTGAGCTTCAGCCAAAGCATCCGGCTGCACAAGCAGTGTCTGCTGCGGTTTGCACCTCGACAGTCGACAGAATGTCAACAGAAACAAAAACCGCGGCTGAGACTTTGAATCCGACAGGGTCGAATTACAACTCCAGGCCTCAAACTGCAAGAGGCAAAACAGTTGCTCGACTGCCTGGGAACCTCCAGTGGCAAGTCAGCTCCGCCCCCAACCAGGTTCCAGGGTATCGCGTGCTGTGGAACCTTTGGCGAGCTCCTATGGTCCCACATCGATGCATGGTGCAGGGCCTGATGAGTGCCTTAGGTCGCGTGCGGTGATCACACAGCGCCAAAAAAACTTCCCCGTGACTCTGCATGCGAGACTTTGGCCTAGACAATTTGGCTCGCACTGCCTCCCAAGGCAAAAGTGGCTGGGCTCAGTGGGCTCAAGCACCAGCGCAGCGCTGCGAGCAGCGCAGCGAGGGCACAGGGCAGGCAAAGCCCAGGGCTGCGGAGCCGGGACCATGGGGACCATCGGTTGCGCACCATGATGTCGGTAACCCGTCTGGACCCTGTCTACCTTCTTTAAAAGTTCAGAAGCACTCTTGCTTACGTCATAGTTATGTGATATCTGCGATTCGATGTAGGTGAGGTGTTCCTCTGAGTCAGGTTCAGATTTCATTGACTGGGACCCATCCATCAGTTCGAGGAAGCCAAGTATAAGCTTCAGATCGTTCCAAGCCAAAAGATGGCTGCAATGTCACAGGTAATGTGACGGTTGGATGCCATTCATGTGTCACCTGCAATGCGCAACTCTCGATGGCCACACTCTGAAAGCAATTTTCTGTTTCAGCTAACCTGTCAGTCGGAGCACCTTTGGCTGTCCAGCGCCGCTGGCCAGCCTTGCAAGACCACTCGAAACTTGAGCGGCCTACCCTAAACCCTAAACCCTAAACCCCAAACCCTAAACCCTGGACTCTGAACCCTGAACCCTGAACCCTAAACCTGTCCTCCGCCACAAGATTTGCTGCCACACAATGCACCCAAGTTGCTCTGGCCTTGTGCCTTCCGTCTCGCAGCGCTGCCGGGACAATCGCATACATCACGAAATCGCTGTGGCCATTGAATACTTGCAGGCAACAGCCGCTTTTGGTATCCCACAACCGTGCGCTGTTGTCCTTGTGAGGGCTGTGCCAATGCAGCTTCTCGGCTGTAAATCGGTTATCGGTCAGTACATGGCCCGCTACTAGTAACCCCAACACCCTAAAACCCTAAAACCCTGAAAACCCGAAACCCTGAAACCGAGAAACCCTAAAACCCCGAAACCCTGAAACCCTAAAACATCCTAAAACCCGAAAACCATAAAACCCCCAAAACCCTACAAACCCTGAACTTCAGAAGGCCTCACGCCATGCCAAGCCTCCCTGGAGCACGTGATAACCTTTGAGAGGCCATGGACGAAGGATGCCATGTTCACCCACTGGGAGTGACCTGTGAAGGTCTGTAAACAACCAGCCGTCTGCGAGTTCCAAAGCTTTGCCGTCCAATCTGCCTGAGTACAACTGTCCAACACTCTCCACACCGCGAAAGTCTCAGAAGGTCACAAACAGCTGAAACCGTTGGCTGAAACCAATTCAGAAGATTTTCAAAAGCAACTCCGCTTCAGCCTGGGTGTCGGTTTTCTTCAAGGACTTTTAAGGAGGACTTGGATGCCCACTCCGGATCGCCTTGCACCTCTACAGCCGGGGCAGCGAATTGTCCTTCCCGAGCCTTCATGGGAGCGTGTTGCCATCGGATCCCTACCAGTATGGATTGCGAAAAGGCGCGTCTTTCTTAGCAATGTGGGGAAAAACACGGAAAAAACGAGGCGCTGCGGAAAAAACGAGACGCGGGGGGCTGCAATTCACCAGAGCGCGAGTTCCTGTATCAGTGAGAACCATCGGCTTCTGTCCGATACTTCTCAGGAAGGCAGGCCCGATACTTGCCCAGTCAGTTGCTGCTTCACAAACTCACTTGCAACCTCAGCACCTCAACGTTAGAACTGAAAAATCCTAAGTCGTCTCGAGCAGCTACTGTGAATCCAGTCTAAGTTGCTGAAGCTGTCAGGATCATGGTCTGCTGTGGGCTGAAAACTGCCGATCTCACGTAGGCCCAGTGGCCTGAAAACTCAAAATGCATCATGAAACCCTAAACCCTAAACCCTGAACCCTAAATGTCAGGAAACTTGCGCACTCGGAACAGGCCCCCGTGCCTACGTAGGTCTTGAGGCAATCTCCTGTACGGATGACCGCTGGCTTGCCGATGCTGCACGTGTCTTAGGTTTCATCTTATCCAAGATAACAAATAAATAAACAAGTAAATAAATATAAATATATATATATGTATATAATATAGACACACACCCACACACACATAGTCTGGGCCTCACCTGAACAGCCGGATCCGAAAGACACGGGCGAGACACTGCAGATTTATTGCTGGAAAGAATGGGGCCGTGGAAGAACCTAGCAGAAACTGTCTCAAAACAAGAAGTAAACTACCCGAATGGCAGTAGATTGAGTAGACGCGGCACACACGAAGTATAGGCAAATAGCTTTCGCGCTAGGGCAAGATGGGGTAACGACACTTCGTCCATGCATTCAGGCGGCTTCGGGTTCGGCCGGCACGCGGGCTGCAAGCCCAATGCCGTGGCAGGCATGGCGGGGGCTATGGCGGAGGAGCCCATTGTGCAGTGGAGATGTCCTCCATCATGTCGCGGAAGAACACGGCGGGTACCTCACTGCACCCGAGCCAGTCTCCGCCGTGGGATGACGTAGGGGTAGAAATGAGGCGGCAGTGGTCCGGGGAGTCGCGAAGACAGTGGCACTTGTGCTGAAAATGAGATTGTAGCTGGGCTGATGCAAGGCCAAGACATGTTCAGAAAGCGTACTCAGCGCAAGATGGCTCTTGTTTGGCTGGAGCACCACTGCAACCCCACCGAGCTGAATGCCTTGCATGAGGGAAATCGCGCGTTCGTGCAGCGGAAGTTGCGCCTTCCCAAGGTTGATCCGCGTTGGGCCACCATGGCGGCCGAGGTAGCTGCCGATGTGCAGCTCGGCAGACTGGGAGGGCCCATTTGCAGCTCCCAAGCACTGGTGCAAAGCAGACAGCACCCCTTGCCTGCTTTCAGCACACTCAGGTACCTTGCTCTCTTTTGCGGCGCAATATGTTGGTTCCGATGGGAAGCTCCAGGTGCAACGAGCAAAGGACTGGCACTGCGGTGGAGCCAACCAGTGGGCGATCCTGCTTCCCCGGCGTATCACGACATCTTGGCCTCTGCGAATCTCGCCAAGGCCCTTCGAAGCGTTGACCAGTATGCGAAGCTGTTGCGGTCGGGTGTCGACTGTCGAAAAATCTAATTCAGTCGACGTTCCGCAGCCCATGGTTCCCGGGGAACAATCCGAAACGCCAGAATCGTGTTGAGGGACGGAGCTTTGAAGTCCATAGTCCCCGCGCCGACCCACCCTTGGAAATTGTTTCACCGACACGACAGATTTTCTCTTTTTCCCGCATGCAGGGGGGGAAGGGAGGGAAGGGGTTTTTGCTAAAGAGCAAATGGGCGTTTCGCGGGCTTCTTGGAAAGAACCTGAAACCTAAGACTTACGGAGCGCAAGCCGAGCTTCAACTGTCTTCGGGCGCTATCCAAGCCCCACGGTGTGGCAAGCAGTCCTGTGGATGCACACCATAGCTTAGCTGTTTTGTCGGCAGCCGCCGACAAGATCTGATCGCCTGTCGGCGAGAAGACCGCCGTGTTGACCTGGGTTTAGGGATTTGGTGTTGCGGCTCAGTGTTGCTCTCCTGGGTCATAAACAATGAACTAGGGCACTTGCCCAGCCATAGTGGCCCTCTAGCACTCTGAGAAGAAATGGTGCCTCAGATTCGCACGACGTAAATCTGCTAGTGGCTGCATTGCACATGTAAGCATGCGCAGCGCCACTAGCAGTAGTCAGCTGCAAACACGCCACTCTGGACTCGTCCAATTTGTTCAGCTGCCAAATTCGCAGCGAACAGTCCGCGGAGGCTGTGACGATTTGCTTGCCATCGGGCGAGAATGTCGCCGAGCGCATATAGCTGCCGTCATGTCCGCTCAGTAGCCATTGCACCTGCTGCACAGCAGACAGTCGAGTGGAAAGCAGAACCTCGTCTCAATCTGCCAGGAGCTCCCCTTTAGTCTGCGTCTGGCTTAGCCACTGCAAGCCACTGAAGGCCTTGCCAACCTTCCATCTCCACAAACACGCAGCTCCATCGGCCGACGCAGTCCTGAGTCACAGGCAATCCTATTCCCACACTCTGCCGTATGGAGACCAGATGAGACCAGACTGAGACAAGCTGCAGCACAGACTGGCCGTTTGGTGAGAACACCGCTGTGTAGAGGCCGCCCTCTTTTCCACGCAATTCTCGGATGGCTTCTCCTTTGGCCACCTCGGCGTGCTACACCATGCCGCCTTTGGCACAAAAGCACGGCTGGCTGAGGTGAGAACACACCACAGTGCAGCGACACCATCATATGCCGCCGTTAGAAGATACCTCGTCGACTCAACAGTCTAGCACTTTTCACCAAGTGAGGTATTCCATCAGCGAAGTGAGCCGCTGGGCACCAGCCTTCCGTCCGATGAGACGGTGAGGTACATCACGGGGCCCTCCTGCTTGAGGCTGCGCCAGCAGCATCCTGTTTGCATCGACCAGAACTTGGTTGTTCCGTCATAGGAGCCTTGGGGACAAAGTCACGTGTGTCAGGTGCTTTCGAATGCGTTTTGGGTGCTTTGGGTGCCTTGACAGCTTTGACAGCATTGTAGCTTCGAGATGCTGTCATTATCCGAGATCCGAGGCGCAAGTCAGCAAAGTTTGAGGCCGAGGCCAGCGGGACCAGCCTTTGCCCGCGCAAACAGACGTGTCGTGACATTCGGGTATCCCTTGCTGAACATTTGGTGGGTCCTGTCAATTTGCCTTGCTGATTGTAGGTCATGGCATAGACCATCGGTGGGGTCCATGTGGCATGGCTGCGGTATAGCAGTGATACTGCTGCCCTTTTCCAGTACCACTATCAGTGCTTCACAGCACTTTTGGACCTGAACCTTGGGCGTGCCCTTGAATTTAGGGCTCTCGAGCATAACCATATGTCTTGCTTTGCTCCACTTGAACTTTTTTTGCACGTGTTTGCACTTGGCTCAAGCCCGAGCTGGCTAGCAGAACATTCGCCAACGCAAGTCTACAAAGCCAACTAGTCCGATGGGCCGCCTCCGCCCCCAGCCCACCACCCCACCCGGCCCTAGCTACACAGCACTGCTCCTTGCCACATCTTGCAGGTCGTGTAATATCCAAACAACCATGCAAGCACTGCGGCTTTTGTCTCTTGTGGCGACCATGTCTGCACTTTCTGGAGCATCAGAAGTACTTGGTGCCGAAAACCTGCTCATCAGTCGCTGGCATCACTGCAAATTTTGTCCATAACAGCACTCCTGCCTCCTCATCGAACTTCTTCTTCTTTGCAGCCCGGCTCTCAATGACGGGTTCTGCAATGAACTTGCAAAGCATGGTCAAGTCACCACCCGAATCGAGAGCTGAGGCAGCAACTTGGGCCAATGCCCGTGGGGTTTTCGTCTAGCGTCTAGATAGAACAGAAGCCGTATGGGCTCACAGAACCTTCGCGCAGTCGGTACAGATTCCCCGCCTTCCACACCAGGGCGCAGAACGGGCCTGTCAAGTCGGCCTCACAAAGCTGCAGCTGCGACGTGTTGCGACCGATGGCACATGGCACATGACAACTTAGGTCTGCCCCTTTTTCCTGCAGTGCCGAGCGCACGCCGAGCGCACGCCGAGCGCGTGCAAGCACATTAAGAATACAGATCTCGTCAAAACGTGGAAGCAAGAACAGTAAGAGCGTCCGCCTCAGGCTGGAGGCTCAGACATCGCCTCTTAGAGGTCTGTCCTGTCCCTGCCAACATGAACCGATCACTCGGTGATCTGGCAGTGGTCATATGGTACCCAATAAAGGCTTAGGGCCGAAGATGGCTGAAGTGTCGAGTGCCTCGAGACCCTTTTCCGTAACAATTGGAAAAATGGGAAAGGACTCTGGTAGACCACGAATGGATCCCTACATTGGTCTCGACGCATGGGAGGGATTATCAGCGCTTTTGCTGCTGATACGTTCAGCCACTCCAGCTTGTGAGCCGAGGGCGTTGACATGTACGACTCTCTGTGTGCTAGCGCACGTGACGACGTGATGGTGCTCAAGTTGCTGATCTTAAGGAATCATCTGAGTCCTGAAGTCAAGCCTTCGAAGGCATGCGATAATGTTGATGAGGTAAGAACATGCCATGTCACGTTAACTCCTGAATCATTTTGTTCTTCGACCTCGGCTGGCAGCCGCGCATATCAATGCGCACAAGCTCTAAAGAAGCCAGAGCATCCCAAAACCGCCCCAAGACCACTGGGCTTCCGACGCTCTTGCGTACCGAAGCTGCGTTTCAATCGCCCGTGTCAGCTGCTTCTGCCCCTTAGTGAGAGATGTCTGGATCGCTTTACACGAGGTTCAGCTTCGCCGGTCGCAAAAGTGAAGCTGCAGAACCGGGGGGGAACCTATTGTAAAAGCAAGCTGATTTGAATGCCGTTGCTTCGATCATTGTCCCATGTGAAGATGCCACCTATGCGGCCTGTAACGGTGCAGTGTGTGGAAGCAATCCGAAGCATGATACGACACCATAGCTTGCGGGCCGAATGTCTTGCAAGATCTCTTCCTCAGCTCTGGTGGAGTGGGCAGAGCAATGCAAAGCAAGCCATCTGCATGGTCTTTCGAGACTCTGGATAGAGCGGTCGATGCAGCGAAGCGGCTACGTCCCAAGATTTGGCAACACCTTTAAGCTTAAAAATGCCATTCACGAACTCGTCCTCAGTTCAGACGCAAAGCCAGTGAACAGTCTTCGCCCTCCTTCCTGGTGGGTTGGGCACAGTATGGCCTCATGTCGCCACACTTCTGGACAGAGGCATCGACACACAAGACATGCAGACAAGCCTCTTCATTAAGTCGTCCGTCCTGGTTCTCGTCCAGCCTTGGAAAGCCCCTTTGGAGCAGGTCTCTGGAACCGTCGAGAAAGGCCATGTTACTATGTTGGATTGTAGATGTCCAGCATCGCTCGGCCAAGTAGCTTCTTGAAGAGGGACCAGCCGCTCTCCGGATAAATTTCCAGAAGACCCATCATGCCTGGTTTTTCTCCGGCCCCCCTGGTCTCCCCCGGTTTCATGGCGAGTGATGTCACTGTGCAGAACTGTACTTTCGCCTCTTTATCCCTATTTATTTGTGTGTTGTGCGCAGAGGAAGTGCTTTATGTTTAATGTGCTTGTTTGTGTTGGGAGTTTTTGCTTTTGTCTGCGCGGTTTGTGCTGCTGCTGCTGCTGCTGCTGCTGCTGCTGCTGCTGCTGCTGCTGCTGCTGCTGCTGCTGTTGTTGTTGTGGCCCATGTCAGCAAAAGCTTTGACAACCTGCCACAGGGCTGAATGGTTTGTGCCCGCCGCACCCAGGCGCTATTTGGCAAGAAACTACTTTGCATGTCGGCTCCGCTCGCTCCATCCCTTTTGCGGATTTGAAATGGACACCGGCAGCTGTCAGCCCTTTGCAATTGCCTTGAGCTGTTTCATCGTTGAACTTGTCTTCCAGCTCCTTAGTTCTGCGGCATACTTCCACACGTTTGCAATGGAAACAAAACCTCCCGACACCATCTCCGAGTCTCTCATGGGTCACAGCCAAGAAGCTGTGAGCGCTACATAACCCCGTCTTTCCCTCAGTTGCATGTGTTGCGACTGGAAAATCCTAAAAGCACATTGAACGGAGACCTTGTTGCCAAGATGCCTGTCGAAAATGCGGAATAAATTCCGAATCAAATCGGTTTGCCGCTCCCTCTCTGCCTGATTGAAATACACCAGAAGCTGACGGACTCTCGTTGCGGCTTCGTGCACGCAGCACTCATGCCGGTATTAAAGAACCTAAAGCAGCCGACAGAATACTGCAATGACATATGTTGCGATGCGGCCGCGGCACAACCAGGTGCTGCATCAAAAACTGAGGATCATTGCGGGAACTCTCCTGCAGCACAGAACCAGAATAGAACAGTGTGACACCATGACCGGTGATGCGTGCGGCTTGTGGAAAATGAGTTCCATTGCTGCCACGGCGCAACCGCAACCTGACAAAAAATACCCGTCATGACCTCGATTTGGGCAATTGCCGGCGCGCCACCATGTCTCAAAACCAGATGTCAGTCATGATCATTTATAACCTATGATATGACAAAGGAAATCAAATGTTGTAGCCAAGAATCGTTGAGCACAGCGAACATGCAGAATGCAATATACGCCGAAAACCTTAGTCTCCAGAAAAGCACGGCCATCAGTGACCACTGGTCTTGCGACAACAAAAAGCGAAGACGTCTCGCCACCCTGCTCTACCGTTTCTTGTACGGCAAGTGGGCGTTCCGACTCATGATCAACAGCATGTGATGTGTGCAAAGGTACTATTGCGTTGATTGTTGATGCACTTTCCATCCCTTCTTGAGCTCGAATAGTCTGACACACACGTGTAAATACTTGCACCGTTCTCCCCGGTGGTCCTAGCCCTTTGACCGTGGTTTGGGCGATAACGGGTGCTATTCATGAACTCTCGTCCTCGGGGTGCCTTAGTTGCTTTCCTGAATCAGAAGACTTCTTGGTCTGGGGTTTAGGGTTGCGCACGTAAAGTTCAGGAATAGGCCCGGAAGAAGAGAGACACAAAAGAATCCCAGAAGAGGCCCAGAAGAAGCCAGAAGAGGCCCAGAGGTAACACCCTCAAACAGCCTCAAACAAGGTCACACCGCTGTTAGTGGCCGTGGGCGTGTTGCTACGGAAAACGGTGTTTTAACCCACGCCGGCGTTCTCAACGAAGTGTCTTTTGTAAGGTCTCGTTTTTGGCAGCATCAGCTTGTTAACAATGTATTGTTTTGCGCCTGCCGGTGTCTTCATGGTTCAGAGGAGTTCGGGTCCCAGGTGCAGTTTTGCGCACGAGGGGTCTTTTTGCACCCTGAGGTCGCTTCAAGCCTTGCGGATGCACTGCAAGGCAGTACGAATGTCTTCGTACTCTGCATGATTCGCATTTTGAAGTTTGGCATAGCGATACACTGGAAAGGGCAAACCAGTTTTAGCTGTGCCTTTGTCGGAACCTCTTGGGGAAGCTGTTGCACATTCCATTCCAAAGTGCCTTTAGGACCGTACGACTGTTTCTGCCCATCCCTTCATCCAGCAACGATGTGGAGAGGGTCTTATCTGGGGGATGAATGTAGATGCTGTGGGTTTCAGAGAGTACTGAGTACGAGCAGCGCTACATACTTCCGCTGATGTTCTGAGGCTTGGACAGGTACATCCAGGCCACGTGTATGTCACCAAGGGCGGAAGCGGTGCCGCCCCAGTCGAAGCCACCCGACACTGCTCGGAAAAGCGTGTGCATAGAGGTGTGTAGAGTTCCCCAGCTGTAGTTCAGCTCTGAGTTGAGAGGACTGGTGGGGTTGTCCACCATATGGGCCACGCTGGCATCCTCAGAGGTACTTGGAGAAGCACCAGTGTGGCATGTTGCGGTAGCAGGACTCAGCTGACAGCATCTGCTACCAGGGCGCAGTGAACATGATTGCAAAGACGTAGATGATGGCCACCTGCATCGTCAGACTGTGGCAATCGTGGCATGAGCGCATTCCCAGGCTGAATCTAAGGTGACTGGCCGAGGTGCCAGCAGCAGCATCGACCATGCAAGTGACCTAAGACGTCAACATCCGTCAACCCAAGTATGGTCAGAGGGTGGGGACCCTGTCAAACAAACCAGGTGCATCTTGTCCAGCGTTAGTGCAAGAGGATGACTTCATGGTGTGCATGATGGACTCGACAAGCTGTCGAAGGGATCGAACAAATTTCATCACCTGCCAGGGCTACCGTCTCAAATAAAGCCGAAGTTCGACGCATCTTATACCATGGCCTTCACAACTCTGATGACTCTGAAGACCTCGCAGATTTCAAAAAGCATCAGCAGGAGCTCCAAAAAAAAAACAAACTCCAAATTGATCAAAAGCCCTTTCCCAAACCCGCTAAACCCGCTGGCCAACATGGACGACGTAACATGACGCGACATGACATAACGATGGAGCGGAGTGCAGCAAGTGGCTCGGGTGATTCGTAGCACACGCACGACCTTGGCACCAGCCAAACCCAGGTAGGAGCTCTCAAGACTTAGGGCCGTCTAGGGAATTTAGGGAGGTTAGGGATCGATTCGAAGGTCAGCACCCTATTTCGTGCCCCAGTGTAGACCCTGGGCCCTAAACTGTTCAGTTGAGGCGCAGCCATGCTGCCACCATATTCCGCGTCCGATTGCCAAATAACTCTGATGGTCAATTGCACAATGGAGGGACACACCTGACCAGGCCGTACAGAAAAGGTTTCGCAGTGGGGCTTTTGTTGCTGTGAAGGCTAGTCTGGGGAGCTCTAATGGGGTGCCCCTCAATGGAGCTAGGTTCTAGAGCACTGGGCCTAGGGATTTGTTGTCTTTGTGGGCCAGACAGCACTTCGTCACCCCTCACGACAAGTACTCGCACAGAGAGTCAGCCAAGCTTCAATCAGCATGTCCTGAGATGCGAAATGAATTTTCAAGGAAATGCTGTGAAACTCTGCAGCATTCTGTAGCACAGTGCTTATATCGTAGTGAGTTTCGAACATCATAGCCTCAGACCAAGAAGCCAAGTAGTTCCAGAACAAGCCTGTGGGACCCCAGAAGAATGAACCTCACATGGACAAGCAGGGCAGCTTCGAGCTCTGGTGTGCGGGTCATGCAGATATGCATGCCTCCATATGCCCCCAGGCGGACCAACAGCTCTCCAAAGAAGACCAGGGTATACAATGTGTCCAGGACCTGATCAAAGGCTCAGCTGCACAGCTGCACAGCTCAACCTACCGTTTGCAAAGTCAGGTGAGCGACCATAGGCGACCTTCTGCTTGGCTTCCCATGAACGTACCGAGTCACTGTGAATGCTGGCGGAGACTGGTCAGTCCCTGCTTGCGCAACGACATCGGTCTCCACACCAATGACGATACAGTTCGTGAATATGACCAAAGCGCACAGGCCTGAGCTGCACTGCCGTGGCTTTGCAATCGAATGCACATGCACCAGGAGGTAGAATGGACTTAACGCCAAAGGCAAATTCAACCGAGTTGCCCTCTCCCCACCAACTCTCCAGCCCGAGCTTGAGCTTCGAGCGCCAATCTAGCTGGGATGGCTCGAGTTGGCTGAGGTTGGAGGCGCGCAGCATTAGTAGGCGCTCTGCTTTGGCAACCGCGTGCTCATATGCCTTGTGCTCATTTGCATCTGCATCGTCCGGGTTCTTGTCCGTTCTCTGACTCCGCATGCTGCTCATTGTGGAGCCATTGTTTCTCTTCGCATTGCCAGCGCTAATGGTGCGGACCTGAAACTCCTCACGGGCCGTGACAACACAGGCAAAGGAAACAACGCAGAGAAAACGATGAAGGAAGCATCAGAATCTCCAACCCCATCCTCGGGCATGCTCCCGGGAATCACTGGCTCGTCGACAGAAGGCGGCAATGCCTGCGCAACATTGGCCGCCCCCCCCCCCACCCCCAAAAGTCTTCCAACCATCTGTTTCATTCTTCTAAGGACTCTTCAGCCCGCGCAGACATGATCTGCCAGCCTCCTGCCAGGTTGGCTTCGCAACCAAATGGTCTGCTCCCGAGCCTCGTGAAGTGCAGCTGCGTGCCAAGCAAAGAAAAAACAAACCGAACACACCGCAGCCAACCACAACATGGCATGTCGCCGAAAATTCCCGTTCTACGCTTATGAGGCCAGGGACTCGACGACCATAAGTAGCTTATTGCCCTACCTCTTTCAGCCGAGAGGCCATTGAGAGATTGCTCCGCACCATCCGCCATCTTTGAATGTCTCGGTGCAGAACCGCAGGGCTCGCTCCTGGGAGTTTTGCACTGAGGCGGGTCTGCTGTGTTGACGCGTCAGCTTCCTGCGAGACCTACATTGAACGAGCATCTACGGGAAGTCCACCACAACAGCTCTTGGGTCATCCTAAACCCTAAACCCTAAACCCTAAACCCTAAACCCTAAACCCTAAACCCTAAACCCTAAACCCTAAACCCAAACCCTAAACCTGTTTTGCCAAGAGTCGTCAACTTCAGGGTGCCATCCAGGGGCTGCTGGACAGCCTGTGGTTTCTCAAACAGAAGTTGAAGCCAGGGTTGATTGCCAAGTTTTAGATATCATAACATAAGAACCTATTGGCATCCTCAAATATGGTTAACATTTAAAAATCTCTACGTCTCTAACTTAACCTTCCTCTGGCCAGGATGGTTCGGGTGTCTGTGTGTGACCTCCACCCTGTTGTAGCACCCCCAGCCCCAGCAAGCGGTCCCCGTTTGGCCCCGAATTGCCTAGTTTTCTGGACATGTGAGGTCGTGGCGGGCTTGCTGTCCCTGGAGGGGGGGGAGTGCCATAGCTGTGTTGGTGCTTACTCTTCCTTCTTTCATCTCTTCGATCCTTGCTTCCTGCACTTCGCCATTTGCTTTTGCTCGTGCGCGAGCATACGCAAGCTTCACATCTATCTTCACCAGGCTCAATCCTTCAATGCCCCTGGACTCCATCTTCAAGGTTGTGAAACGGCCGTGCTTCGCAAAGGCATGTGGCCGCGTGCTGGCAGCTCATCCGTTCTCGGTGTGGGCAGAGGTGGGCCTCTCCGATGCTTCCCATGATCATGTTCCCCCACCCACCCGAGATGCAGTTTAATCCAAGGCCTCAGCTCTTCCGTATCTAGGGCCCTCCGGAGCAATCTGTCCGGACATCTCCTTTACTTTCACTATCTTTCACAGCTCCTTCCATCGTCCTTGCGTCATGTCCCACACCAATGTACAATTTACTGTTGCATCCCGGCAGGTATGTCGCATCGCACTCCCGGGAGACACATTCGTTGGAGGACTATGTGCGCTGTTGGGCAGGAATCTGTTGAGAAATGCAGCTGCTGCAACAGCAAAGATGCCTGTCTGACATGTGCGACGAGCAAATCTCTCGCCTTTCAGCTAGCACCTCGCGTCTTCTTCTTGGGGCATATAACCCCCCTCCTTTGTAACCATCCCCTTTGAAAAAACACGCTTTTCCTAGTCACGCCGACCCCGGAGTTGAACACGCAATATGCGCAACATGATCACAAGACTCTGCCTACGATGCTGGCATGCACACTATGCACTTGGCCCGGGGACCGCATGATGGGCCACGCCATCCATAACGGATTGCCATTGAGCCTGTTGGGCTTGCACCAGACTATCCAGGCTGCCCAAATGTTCTTCCCAGCTTGATGTGTGTCTGTTGAGACACTCGTCCAATCCTTGGATCTCAACACTTTGCGAAAGTCGGGGCCATGTGGGGTTCTTGGGGGTTTCGTTCGCTCCCTAGTAATATTCACGCTTCGTTGCACTTCATTGCAATGTTATTAGTATGCTCTCTACACTGTAATATTTAAATAAGGGCAAAGGAGAAGTGCATAGGGGAGTGAAAAGAGCAACCAAATACACCATAAGACCCTTGTTGATTGAATTTGGCGAATTAAAGGTTTTTATGGCCACCTCGTAAGGACCTGCAAATGCAACGAAATGCAGCAAAGTCGCGCTGGATGAGGTCATCGTCTCGTTTTCTTACAGACGCACACAGCTCGCTACACTGTGCCTCAAGCTTCTGCTGAAGTCGTATCCAGACCTTAATCCCAAGCCGCTGCGCAGATGACGCATGTTTCCGGCGCAGGTCCATATCATGAACAAAAGCATGGTGCCACATCTTCTCAAAACACGGGTTGCAACAGATCAATTGTAGATCCACATTGCGGTCGCAAACCACAAAAACTCTATAATATGAGGGCGAGAAGAATCATGTTGCCGCCGTGTCACCGAGGCGAGACGCTCTGCTAGAAGTGCTTCTGGGTCAAGTCGCGCGGCAACTCTGGATGGGCTTGTCGGACTTGTCGGACTTGTGGGCTGTTCCTTTTGCATGGCTGCTGGCAGACTCTTTTGTCAACGAACAGCTTTGTCTGACACAAAAGATTTCAAGTCTATATCTGTGCAGCCAATTGTATTTCAACACTATACTATTTTACTTGTAAGACTCTTCAACTGCATCATACAGTCTTGCTGTGACAAATATATCATTACTGCGAGTATATGTATATATACATAAATATCTAGTTTTTTTCTGTGCAGCCACGGGGCGGCAGGCGCTCCCAACCAAACAGCTCCTGTCCCCCCCGGGCACTTGTTTTTCGTCGGCCTCTCCTCCATGTCCGCTAGGGCATGGCTGTGAGGAAGACGGACAACCGGACCTACTCTGATTCTAACATATCCTCTCCATAGCTTGCTAACATCTGCTCTTAACATGGGAGATACAGAGCCCCAGGAGCAGCAAACTGCACGCATCAGCTTGCCCTCCGACCCCTCTAGCCTACCTGGTCTAAGGTGTTGACTTTACGGAGGGAATCTATCACAATGATGACAGCTGCCAAATGCTGAAAGCCGGCGGCGAACAGAGACAGTTCTCGACGAAATGCTTCCTTCATTCATGTGGTCAAGTCTGAAGTGACGGCTTGTCCCTTCAGTGACTGGCTGCAATCTCAGATATAGTCAGGGCTGATGATAGAGCATGGGGTTCGCATAGGGTGGCGATCAACAGGCAACAAAATCATTTCTGCATCGTTCGAAAGTAACATTGTTCCACAACTCCATCGACGAGCACAAGCACAGATTGACCTCCAACGCTGAACCAACCACATCTACAGTGAATGACTTACATGGCTCTTCCACGACCGCAAGCTCAAATTCTCGATCCATTTCAAAACCCATTGACTCCACCGCTCGCAACCCATGCTAACGAGTTAGCTTCATGCAATACCAGGTTGACGCCACCTGCGCAAGACGCCACATCCACCCCAAAATTTCATAACCAGAAAACAGATGAGGATGGATAGCAGGATGAGCTTTCTGCTTATGCACTTTCCTCTGTGTCAGGACTTACCTGCTGAGTCGCACTTGGTTCCTGGGCGCTTGAAACTTCCCGGGTGTTCCAGCACACGGACCTGACCGATCTAAGTGCTCGTTGACCAAAAACACCGAGTACCCCCCCGTAGATCAATACTTATGGAAAAGGAGGAGACAGGTGTGTGTGTGTGTGTTCACTAGGTCGCTATAGTATAGCTCTCTTGAAAGGGGCGCTGTATACTGGGCACATCTGGGCACGGCAGCCGGGGAACACTCAAATAAACAGAGATCGCCTGCATATGGTGGCTCTAAGACCGCTCGCTGGGCTGGCGTCAAGCCCTCCAGCATTTCCTGCGCGGTTGCAGCAGCGGGAACTTTGGGCCTTTTGGGACTTTGACTCTCGCAATGATCTACCAACATCACAGTCCTGTGGCCACTGAGGCGCCTGATATGGAGATTTAAATGGTCATTGCAGCTAGCTGCAAGCTGCATCAGATAATGCCGGCAAGCTGCATAGCTCCGGCCGTACGCCACGGTCGCCGGAGAAAACCGGTACAATGCAATGCGCCTGTCGAAAGACAGAACACAATTTCGGTGGAACGCACAAAAAATCACACTTGCTCCTTCGCTGAGCAGCCTTTCATGCTCTGCAGTCCAGGGCATTGCACCGTGCACAGTTGCTTCGGAAAAGAATATGACATCGCCAGCACCTGGGCGGCAGCAGTGCATCAATCAAACAAAGTCCGAACACCAGAATGCATCAGCCAAGGCTGTGGCGTGTCTCTGGCTGGTAGAAATGTTCCTGCTGCTGCAAAGCTCTCAAGCAATGCACACTCACTGCACCCGGGCTATCAAGCGACGTACTGTCGCAGAGCACTGCTCTGGCAGGGAGGGCTTATATGATTGATTCGTCATCCCATCGTTTCTAAGCTTGGATGTACAAGGAGTGCAGCAGAGCTGGTCCCGCCATGCAATTCAACAGTTGGCCGGTGCTGACCTGCAAATCCGATCCCCAGCCTGGGGCTCCTGCCTATGAGGGGGGTGAACCAACTCCACAACCGACGCCCGCAATGCCAAACAACCAAACGAAATAGAACGCCCCAGGGACAGAGTCAACACCTCTCACCCCGAGCCCCCCACCCCCCCCCCCCCCTTGGACGGTAATCTTCCTTGGCTTCTGAACCGCCGCCGTGCAAGAACTCGTCCGGCACCGGGAAGTTGCTTTTGTGAGACCTTGCCGATAAGCTGCATGCTTGAGAGCTTCATACTCCTGGGGCAACTGAGGTGCACTCCCACGGATGACACAGAAGCCGCCATCTCCCGGACCGTGGTCCACAAGCTGGACCGACCTTTCTGTTTATTAGTATTACTATTACAGGTATTATTCTTATGTTTTTGTCTTATTATTGCCATTAATCTTATTGAGAATATTATTATTGGTATGGGAGCAGCCAACTCTGTCCTCTTGTGCCCGGCTTCACTTGTGTCTGACTACTGAGGGGGCAAAGATGCCGGTCGGATTGCTAACTTACCCTCTGCTCCTTCTCTTCTCTGTTAGGGTTAAGGGTTTAGGGTTTAGCGTTTAGGGTGTCCCCAGGGTGGCAGTAACTCTGAACAAGGATCCACTGGCTGCTCAGTTGCCGACATGCCGAGCAGCGAGTTGTAAAACTGACCTCAATGAAAACAGCCTCACTTCACTGCAGGACTGGCGGCAATCACAAGCGCATGACAAAGCTTGAAATTTCTGAGGCAGGACACCATTGACGCAGCGGTACTGGAGCGTGGGGTTGAAGCCACCACCCTGCCAAGATAGTTTTAAGCTGCACCATGTTGCATACTTTGTGAGACTCGTGCATGGCATACTCTTCATGAAGCCTGCGTCAATGGGCCGCCATGCAAGTGGAATCCTTCACTCCCTTTGTGAGAGGTTATGACCAGTGGCAGGTGGTCCATGCGGTAGCCAGGCCCGCAAAGCTCCACTAGATATGGCAGCAGCTGCCTGATGTGAGGTATTGAACACACATCTCTGGCACGTCCACCACGTTCTCAGATCTCAGCTCCAGGCGGGTGGGCCAAGACTTCGCGGAAGGGCTGGCAGTGAGGCTTTGGCCAGCCTTCACCCGACACACCAACGGCTAGATTCGGCTGAGCGAATTCCATGGCCACACGACTGCTAGATGTTGCTAGGCCGCTGACCGAGCATCCCGGCAAGGTCGCGCCGTCCTGTTTGCCCATCCCCGGAGAGGGCGCTGCCGGCTCCTCTGGATTCTGTCGCTTCACGGAACAAAATCGCGCGAAGTGTCATCCCTCGCATCACCACAGAATCAGCAGACGCAGCCATGCTCAGCCGAGCTTCTGGTGTTGCGAAGCTCATCAAGGCGCTCCTGCAGGCTGCAGGCTGTGAGGTATTGCTAATTTTTGCCAATTTGCTAATATATGCAAACATATATATATATATATGCTACCCCCCCCCCAGCGACCTACCCTTTTTAGGCCTTTTTAGGCCTTTTTAACAAAAAATAACAAACAAGGCCCAAAAGTCGCGTAGTTAATCACCGGGTAATGAAGGACAGTTACTGGGACACCCACCTCACAGACCCCGATAAGCCAGCATTTGGAAGAATCTACATCTTGAATCTGAAGCGGACAATGCTGTTTTTAGATGTTTAGATCAGTGTTTTTCTATGCAAATTGTACGTTTTAAAGGGCAATTAATGTTTTGTTGAGCAGCTAATTTATTTATACAATTGTGTTTGTACGAGGCAAAGTATTAATCAAATAGTGAAACATTTTTCTTGGTTCTATGCGAATTTAGCTACTAGAGTAATTATTAAGCAAGGAGCCCAATTTGACTCGAGTGAATACCATTTAAGGGAGCATACTCAACCAAGATACGAAATAGACACCATTCTCAACCAAAATATGGCAAAGTGTGGGTTTAAAGTGCAAATACTGTATTTATACAATTGTGCTTGTACTAGGCAAAGTATGCTCTCTGAAAAGTCCACTGAAATACCTTATGTTTACATATTCATGAATCGTTTTATTTTTGAAATAATCATTTTATGCGAATTTAGCTACTAGAGTAATTATTAAGCAAATAGCCCAATTTGACTCAAGTGAATACCATTTAAAGGACCATACTCAACCAAAATACGAAATCAGCACCATATACAACCAACATATGGCAAAGTGTGGTTTAAAGGGCAAATAGTGCTTTGTTGAGCAACTAATGCATTGAAACAGTTGTGTTTATACCAGGCAAAGCATTATTGAAATACTATCTGCAAAGTCAAATGAAACACCTTATGTTTACATATTCATGAAACAATTTTTTTTGAAGTATTCATTCTATGCGAATTTAACTACTAGAGGAATTCTTAAGCAAATAGCCCAATTTGACTCAAGTGAATACTATTTAAAGGACCATACTCAACCAAATACGAAATAAACACTTGCGGAAATGGAAACGGTTCTACCTACATAACAATGAGACAAAGATTGCTGAAGTATTCACTAAAGACCACTTGTATACTATGTCTGAAAAGCACAATTTGCATAAGCAAGCTTAAAAATGCACAATAATGGAAATCGGTTCTACTTACATAACGATGAAACAAAGATGTCTGAAGTATTCAATAAAGACCACATATATACTATGCTTGAAAAACGCAACTTGCACAATCAGGCTTAAAAAATGCACAAGAATCCTAGAAAAGTACTTCTAAAGTGAAGGCCATACCACAAGCAAATTCACAAATACGAAAAAACATCCAAAAGCGCAAGCTTTTCAGGAGAATCTCTGGTGAAGTTTGGATTATAGGGTTTTGGGGTATCCCTGGACGAGTAGGAGTCACTTTTTAAGCAAACAATTCTAAGCAATAAATGCTTTTTCTCAAGACAAGTATTGCAAATGCTGCTTCTAGATAATTAATCGCATTTACCAGGCAAATATTATCCATGCGAATTTAGCTACCAGAGCACCAAGTAATGGCTGAATAAGGTCTACTACACTTGAGTGCAACCAAAAGATGCACTAAACACTAGCGGCTCTACTTACATAATAACGAAACAAAAAGTTCTGAAGCACTAGAAAGACCACTTGTATACTATTTTTGAAAAGCACAATTAGCATAAGCACACTTAAAAATGCGTAGTTGTTGCCTCGTGACCGTGAAGGCGAACCAAAAAGCCAAAATACCAAAACCAAAAAACCAAAAATACCAAAACCAAAAAAACCAAAAAAAACAAAACCAAAAAAAACAAAAATACCAAAAAAACCAATTTTCTGGGGCTCTTGGAGAAGCTTCATAGGAATTTCCTGAGAGTCCCGGAAAATTGGTTTTTTTGGTTTTTTTGGTTTTGTTTTTTTTGGTTTTTTTGGTTTTGGTATTTTTGGTTTTTCTACTGTCCCGTGTAGGCGATTTTAGTTGTATTTTAGTCTACGCCCTAGGAAATACGCTATATTGCACACCGAGTTTGCTTGCAGTGCAGCTGTGACTTGAGACAAGGCGAAAAAGGGTAGGTCACTGGGGGGGGGGGGGGGGTACCATATATATATATATATATATATATGTGCCAATAAATGTTAATATGTGCTAATAGATGCTAGTATATGCTAATGTATGCTAGTATATGGTAAGATATGCTAGTATATGGTAATATATGCTACTGTATGCTAACTTTGTGCTACTGGTACTATGCTGCCCTTAGTTCAGGAGGCACCCCTGCCTTGATCTCACCGGAGTGCTCATCAATGGCCTTGTTCATGCGCTCAACCTCTTCTTTCGACAGGGCACCACGGACGTGTAGAAACCCGTTGAGGTCGAAGAAGAACTTCTGCTCATCAGACATCCTTGCTTGGCTGGCACCGGAAGTGGAAGCCATCCTGGCAAGGAAGACTTCGGCCCGAGGGGCGTTAGTAGGCTTGGCAAGGACTGGCCTACTAAATGTATTTAAACAGTAAACTGCTTTCAGCATCCCTCAGGCCAGAACCTGGCCAACGGAGCTGGCCTGGATCCATGTTTGCGGATTGCTTCGTGCTTAGCCTTGACTGGGGAACTCAGGACTGATGTCACTTTTGAATGATCGTTTTGCTTGCGTTCTTGCTGTTACCTTTCACCTTTCAGTTGTACCTGTATCCTCAACTTTCCAATGACAACCATTGTTGGATTCATTGGCGAGCTCAGGGCCGCTGCCTGCGACTCGCGCCCCGGAACCAGAGGCCGAACGGGCGGCCCCAAAAGCGCATGCAGCCTTCCAAGGTGTCATTTGTTTTAAGAAACTTCCCCTCTCCCTCAGACTCTCTTGGACTCGCTTAGACTCGCTTAGACTGTAAGACGCGGGCTGTGCAGAGCCACGGCCAACCACAGCAAAGCCACTCGGGAGCTCACCCGCTGCATGCAAACAAGACGAACACCAACGATTCTCGACAAGCTTCGTCGTGTCTGCGACATATCTCATGCTGGTAGCAAGCTGGTATCTTCTGCTTGGGGAAACTGGGGAAAGAGGCAGAATGAGCAGCTCCCAGTAGCTGCGCTGCAGGTCTCTGGGTATTGCATGGTATCGCGAGATGCTTCATGATAGAACTGTGAGCACTAAAGCTCTGAGGAAGTCTGCGTCGGCCCCCGGGATCCACAAGGCATCTCCACTACCGATGCCACCTCGAAGGCATGGGCACAAACCCATATGGATAGTCACTATATACAGGGCAGGGATGCACCCTTAGCATGTAACGCTTTCGCACGCAAGGCGTAGTTCCTTTTTTCTTCAAGAGCTCAGTAGGCTCGGTATGCGGGATGTGGGGACGACGCCTCTTTTAAATTGAGGACATTTCTCCTCACCCTGTAGTCTGGTCCAGAAAATATAAACTGATACCGTGGCCAGAGCAAGTGGAGCATGCGACACACCTTCACCAGGCTTTTGAGCCAGCTCCAACATCGTGAAAACTAAAGTTGCAGACAGCCACACGAGCAAGTGGCATGAACTGCCTGCGCCCGTCTCTACCTTGGAGCCAGGTCAGGACCTCTCAGCCCTCATCGGTCCACACGAAGGAGCCCGGACCAGCAGGAATGTCTGAACAGGGCGTGCTTTGAGAGTTGGATGCTTGAGACTTTCGTAGAAATCGAGAGCTCATGTCCCCACCTTGCCTTGCCGAAAGGTTTCCAGCATTTCCATGGCCTTTTGGTAGTCCTTGGCCTTCAGGAACTGCTCCACATCCCTGATCGAGAAAGGCGATGATTGATCGCATGCTCAGGTATACAGTTAGTATTCTTCATATTACTAGCAATCGTTTTGCTCATATGAATATCTATTCATGCTACTATGAATGTTAGGCTGTTAGAGCTCAGATCTGAACCTGGCATCAGCTTGCAGCTTCCTTGAGTACTTGTCAGGTGCCTGGCACGCAGGAGCTGAGAGGAGACGGTCAAAAAACTGTTCGTAGGGTTGAGGGTTAGGGTTTAGGGTTTAGGGTTTAGGGTTTAGGGTTTAGGGTTTAGGGTTTAGGGTTTAGGGTTTAGGGTTTAGGGTTAGGGTTTAGGGTTTAGGGTTTAGGGTTTAGGGGTAGGGTTAGGGGGTTTAGGGTTTAGGGCTTAGGGCTTAGGGTTTAGGGTTTAGGGGTTATAGGGTTTAGGGTTTAGGGTTTAGGGTAGGGTTTAGGGTTTAGGGTTTAGGGTTTAGGGTTTAGGGTTTAGGGTTTAGGGTTTAGGGTTTAGGGTTTAGGGTTTAGGGTTTAGGGTTTAGGGTTTAGGGTTTAGGGTTTAGGGTTTAGGGTTTAGGGTTTAGGGTTTAGGCCACAAGAAAGTCAAGGAAGTTCCTCATCCAGGCGCTGGATGCTGCCGTAGGCATCCAGGGCCGTGTTGAACCTGATGAATGGACAGTTCTCGGTCTGCAGTTGCTTCATTGAATGCACCTGCCGATTCAGCTTTAAGAAGACTTACCCACAGCTTTTCTTGGTGAGGCTCGGGCTTCTTGAAATCTTTTCCCGAGATGAAGTCATCTGTGACGGCGCCGTCTGCCTAGTAGCGAATGAGGCTCATGCCAATGTTCAATGTGCTGCCAGATCATGATCCCAAGTTCGTGCGCTCCACAAGTCCAACTTCCAGCATGGTGTGGAGCAATGCAGGATGCGAACCACCAGCAGCAGCAGCAGCAGCAGCAGCAGCAGCAGCAGCAACCCCAAGGTCGCAGGCCTGCAGCTTTTTGTAGCCAGCCAGGACCCGTGGAAGGAATTTTCTCCTTCAAAGGGAAAGCCTTCTTTCCCGACGCTCAATGTCAATGTGGCAAATCTCTGGATGCAGCTCCAATCCTGACGGCAATCACCATGGACCTGGCAGAACGTCTTCAAATGAGGGTTATACAGAGTCCCTAGGCAACCCTCAACTGCCCGAGCTCCAACAAACTAAGCATGCAGAAAGCGCGTGCGATCCCGGTCGCCGGCAACTGCAGGCACTGACGGAAGCAGCACCTTCAGACTGATTGTGAAGAGATTGTGAGGTGATGTGGAAGGTGTATCTGGGAGAGCTTCACCTTCGTACAGCACTGTCCTAGCGGTAGAAGCCTGCGAAGCCAGGGCGGCTGCCACGGCACGTCGCTGCAGGTCCTGCAGGTGCTTGTCAAACCCTGTGATCTCAGCATGTAATCAGCTTTTTCTAGAAGATCTCCGGGCGAATGCAGATCCTAAGCCGCTCCAAGTCGCGCGTTTTCGGTGCTTCTGCGAGCTCGAATGCACTCAGACGGGTTTGCAAGTCCTTGCTCGGCAGAGCGAGGAAGCTTGGGTGCCAGGATGCCAAGCAGCTGCAGACAGCCTCAACTTTCCCGAGGAGTTCATCAGCACTTTCCCCCCTCCCCCCCGCCCGACCAGCAAAAACTCTGCGGCTCCCGGCCATCATGCAGCATAGTCGCCTCGTCTCATGAGTCAACGAGTAGAAACAAGTGAGGGGAGGGTTAAACAACAGCAAAAGGGCAAAAAAGTCCGGGCCCCCGGCGTTGCCGCTGCCGCCCGGAAACCTGGCGGAAGCCCAGGAGCTGTGTTGGAATTTCACATACCGAGGTGTTGAGTTTGCCCGGCTTCAGTTCCCTAAACCGACACCATTTATCTCCTCTCTTCAGCAACCAGCACGCGCTCCCCGGACCCCTTCTTTCATTTGCCCATACAGCCCCCTCCCCGAAGAGAAGCGCCAAGGCGGGCCAAGCGAAGCTTGCGCGGTCGGGTTCAGGGGGATGTTCAGGGGCTTCGGGGCTTCGGGTTGATGGGCCTTTGGTTCGCATGGCTTAGGCGCGGGTGCACTCACACTTTGGCGAAGCTCTGAGAACAGAATGCTGCAGGATGCTGCCGACATCAAGCCACGGTCTCCTTACCCCCGCAAGTGTGGGCTCCAAATTTGAGTACCAGGAGCTTGCATTGCAGCAGATTGCAGCCATCGTGGAACACTAACAACCATATGGCTGATGGACGCTCCATGACTCCAACCCTCACTAGCATTTTTTGATGGCCGTCGACTGGCAGTAGAGGCCTGTGCCAAGCTTTCATCTTGCAAAGCGCGCGCTCCGCACATTCAATCAGTCTTCTGGCCTTTTGTGACGTTTCGCCATTCTGAGAGGCTCTCACATTCGATCTCCATGAAGGCGACCATGAAGCCCTGCGCTGCCCCAAGATTTGCGAATCAGCTCGGGCGGACGTCAGTTGCGGGCGGCATCAGACTGGACAGGGCAGGTGTCGGCGAATCGGTCGCAGTTGACGGACAATGTTCTTGCTAAGGTTGAGCACACCCGGCATGAAGAATGCCCTTCGCGAGGCGCCGTGTGCAATCACACAGCACCACAGCATAGGCTACGCTGCTACAGGTTGTCGTCGTAGAAGTCCTGCGATGAGTGTGGAAGCACGTGCCATGACACTGCAAATACCTCTTGCGCAGGACGCTCAAAGTGCGCTGGACTGTCCAGGTTTGGGAAGAAGCCGTGGCTATGTGGACCAGGGTAGAGTGAAAGCTCCTGCACACGCAGAAAAAGGGAGTATTCTGATTCTAAATTCGCCACACTGACATCGGCACTCTTTTTGCTCCACTCTGCTCCTCTTCCTGGCTGGGAAGCAGCGGAGCTTGTATGTCAGGACCCGCGCAGCTGATGGCAATGCTGGAGACCTCGAGGTCCATCGGAGCAACAAAACTCAGACTCTACTGTTTTCTTAAGAACCACCCAAGACATCAACATATTCTTCGTTATAACTTATAAGGGCCATATAGGGATTGTTACTCTGAATTTGTTTCGGGGTTTCTTAAGCAAATAGTAGGAATTTGGAACGGGCTTCAGGACTGCTCGAGCTGCAACTGGGCAACGCCCAGAAGGCAGTAGTCCAGGATCGCACCCAACACCACCTCAACAGTCGACCGAACAGCTCTTTGAAAACTCTCAACTTAAACCTTTGCTCTATCGGCAAAGTCCCAGAATTTCATGCATGCAGCAAGTTTGCACCGAGGGTTTCAGCATGTGCCTCCGTCTGCACATCAAGGAAATGAAAGACCTGCATCATGGCACGGTCGTAACGGCGAAAGAAGCTTTGGTAATGGGGCACTCGGTTTAGCAGAAGCCCAAAGCCCTCCCGACGAGACAACAATAATGGTCCACAGTATAAACGAATGATCGACCTGCCACCCCACCCCCCGCCCCGCGCAAAGAAACAAAAAGCCAGCAGGGCCTATGAACCCGGCTTCTTGGATTCCCTGGACTCTGTCTGTCTCAATACTTCCTGAAAGCCAGGCCCTTTGAGTTTAAAGCCAGTTCTGCAGCCTTTTGCCCGAACTTGCGGGGTGAGGAAACCGAAACTGAAATTCTGCCTGGAAAGCTTACTCAAGACACCAAACTGCCAAATTGCGAGTAGCTGCACTACGTTGCATTAAAAACAACACCAAAGCAAAACTGAGGCCCAGCCTGACAGCAGAGGAACAGCCAGCAGAAGCCAGCGCCGCAAAGGCAGACCCAAGTCACCAGGAAGTGGTATGCCTGGCGTTGTGAAGCTTTGAGAAGCTTCTTCTGGGGGAATTTGCTGCTTCTAGCTGAAATGCAAGCAGGTTTCTGGCAAAACAAAGCTTTCGCTGACAAGCAACGGTCATCAATGGCGACTGATGTAGACGCCCTCCCATAGATGCACACATCGTAATTCCCATCGGCAGCAGCCTGCAGCGAGAAAACGAGCCCAGACTTTCAAGCGACGAGAATCGGAGTTTCTGAGGCACCCACGCCGCCACGGCTGCCAAGAGGAAGATCCATCTCAGGCAAAGGAACCCAGCAATCGTGGCTGACAGGCAGCATGCGAGTGCTTGCAACCCTTCCAGAGCACCCTCCCAAAGCAGAGAGGGCCTCTTCTGCGCCTATCAGCAATGAGTTGCAACTATTGCTAAACGTGTCGGAGGAACAAAGTCAAAAAATGTCAAAAGATGCCTGCACCAGCTGACCGAGGTACAGTGCCAGGACCTGCTTCACACACACAGACTTTGGTGAGACGTACGCCCTCTGTCCAGCTCATGCTGTGCTTGTTGGAATCAGCATGAATCAGCATGAATCACTGAAAGGCTGTGCAGTTGCGACACTTGGAGAGGTAGCCCGACGAAGGCATCGTGCTGCTTGCTGCCCTTCCTTGCCTGTGTGATCCACGCACCCAGCAAGGCCGCCGCAGGTGATCTGCGCTCCCGAGCTAGTGTGGAGATGTTGAGAAGCCTCAGATCAGCATCTGGGCTCCAGGGAGGCTACACGCCATGAACGTGTTTTTGCCAGCAGGCCATCTCTCCAAGGCGCAGAAAGCAGGGCACGAAGGCTCGACCAACATATGCGAGGTGGAAGAAGAGCCGCCTCAGACACCACTGCTATCCACAGCAGACACCAAAGCACACAACACACACACAAAACGCTCAAAAACACAGTGACTGAGGCCTTGGCTGGGTGCTGCCCACGCCACTGCCTTTCTCATAGTCCTGGGAGATACCACAAGCCATGGCCTGCATCAAGGGGAAGCTTTAGCACAGGAACTCTCACTTCTGAATGTGGGAGCGGCGGCTGAAAGATTACGTCGAATTGCCCCCCCCCCCCCTATTTATTTGCCAACACGGATTTGGATCGCGACATGCCTTTGCGTGCTGCCAGAACAGACGTTGGCAGACATGTGGGCTTCAAAAACTACACGCACTAAACCGTAAAACGACCGAAGCCCGGTGCAGAGGGGGGGTGTCGAGGTAGGATTAGCTCTAGGTTTCAGTTGGCATGTTGGCAAGGGAGCGACTCTCGTTTGGGTTGTAGTGCTTGGGGTGGGTTTTGCATGTTGGTTGCCGTTGGTTAGTCGTCGCTTTCATTTCACCTCCTTCTTCGCCTTAAATGGAAAGTATGTCGCTGCGCTCGCCGCCTTACAGATGAGACGCCAGTCAGTACCGCGTGCATCTCACCTCGCTGAATTTGCCATTTCCTGGTTCTCCTGTTCGGTTCCTTTGGCCGGTTTGGTTGCGAGTGGGTTCGCCTGGTTGACGGTTTTGGTGTGTTGGGTCTTCAGTCGGTTTTTTGTTTTTGCATGAAAGGGCAAATACAGCCTCTTTGTCCAAACAACGTCCACGAAAGCCTAGCCGCGACAAGCCTACTGGGGGCCTCGGCCCACAAAAACAGGTCCCAAGCAGCTTTTCAGCAATCAGCAAAAAAGAAAGGGCACTCGAGCAAGTTTGGGGAACCCTTCTGACTTTTGGCTGAGTTGCCAGGTAAAGCAACGCAGCCAGTCCCGTCGTAGCGCCACTGAGCAACTCGTGCTGCGCAGCTCGTGAGCTTTGTGCCGCGCAGTTTGCCCGGCCCCAGTGCAGGACGGCCTGCAAGGTTGCAAATCAGCTCCTATAGGAAAAACTCGAGCCATGCAGGGCCTGTATGGTCATGAGGCCAGTCACTGCCCACTCTGCCGCGTTGGCATTTGTGAGCTGCTCCTGCACGGAACAAGAAGCAACATGATACCTTGTGATCGAAGCTTCTCTTCATGTCGCTCCATGTGCACTTGACGATGTCTGGAGGCATGGATTGTGCGCAAACTGAAGCCCTTGCCGGTGACAGATGTAGGCTTGTGCCTGTCAACGCTAAACTAAACTTCAGCCCCTGCGAGGAGAGATGCTGCAATATACAATGTTGATCGCAGTGTTGTTGTTTGTGCAGGGACCATGGCAGATCGAATGCGATCGGCTGGAGCCGTGACGCCATCAGCGGGGTGAAAAGATCCAAGCGCGCCCTAAACAGGTCAAGGGGCAATTTATTTGACTGAAGACCATGCAAGTTGCAGACAAAACCATGCAGAGCATTGCAGAACTGCTGCCGTCACTAGATGTAGTAACTTAGTAGATACATGCTCAAACACGGCCATGGAGCATGGCGTTTCTCTCTGTGAGCGCTGGCCGTCTTCGACGCCATTGCACACCTGCGGCCCTGTGGTGCAGTGAAAAGCATCCGCCTGAACCTGTGAGATGCGGCTCCTGAAGATTCGGTCTGCGTAGATGCGAAACTGCACCGTCGCGAAGAAACTCTTGAAATTTGCCCGAGACGCTCATGAGGAAGGACGTCGGTCGTGAGCCCGCGAGCAGTTCCAACACGTCAATCTGGTTGCATGACTCAGTGGCTGCTTCTCTCAGCTTCTCTTTGTTTAACACTTTGCTGCAGGCTCATCGCTCATCTGCAGAAAAGAATTGCCCTCAAGCCCAAATCGAGTGCTCGCTTCTTGCATCTCAAGCTGTGCCTGAGCCATTCAAAAGCGCACTGGTGGCCGTAAGCCGACTCTCCAGCGCAGGTCACTCGTGGGCCAAGGGCGGGGGCTGGCAAAACATCCGGTTCAGGGCTCAATGACTTCGTAAGGCTGACTGACTTTTGACACGCTTTATGCGCGCACACACACAGAGAAGTTTTGCCAAACGCGGCCCGCACGAAGCGCTTGCTTGACAAGGGCTCGTGATGCGGGCAGCGCTTGAGAGCGCTAGCAGTCCCGCACGCTTTGAATGGCAGCGTGCTGACCGCTGGCAGTAATATGTCCTTACACGAGCTTCTCTGTCGGCAGTGAGACTTCATGTCTTCGCGCTCTGGAACGTTCCTTTTTCTGAGGAGGCCTTAAGGCCCTAATTGCATCTCCCTTCTGAAGTGTACGGAGTGGATGCATATGCCCGTGTTGCCACGAGTTGACTGGATTTATAACTTGTTATGACTTCTTTCGTCCCAGAGGCTGCAGGAAAAACATTGTCTATGAGCTTAGCGCATAGCCGTCTTGGCACAGGGGTCCCTGCAGGGCAGACACCACCATGTCGATCTTGTGAATCATCTGCTTCTTGGCAGACTTGTTCACCAAAATCTGCAGATGCTTGCTTGCATTCAGCCACAGCGCAACATCCTCGGCCTCCGTGACATAGACCCCTCCTCAGGAGGTTGATAGCGATTTCCTACAGAAGCGACAATCAGTAGTAAGGTCCTTAAGGGTGTGGGGGGTCTCGCACTGTACATTCAAAGTTGAGGAGCTGCCAGAAAAGTCTGCAGCATCGAAGAGCAGGTTCTTGGACTTCAGCGTTGCTTTCACCGAGTCGCTGGCACCTCCTGCACAGCATTGACAACATGGGGGTTCCGAAATTAGGGGTACTGGGTACCTTCTTGGGGTCCTTATGATAAGGGAATGCTGCTATTTGAGATTTAGATTAGGAGTCCCGTTTCGTAAACCTCCACATCAGCTGCGGACAGCATCTCTCTCTCATGGTCAAGCTGAACAGCTGAGGCAGGTGGACTATGGTGGACTCAGATTACACGGCTGTTGTTGGCCGTCCTGGGTGCGCTGCAAATGTGGGCGACAAAGGAATGTACTCCTCAGCAGAGGCCGAGAAGGCAGCACCAATATGCCTCCTGACGCCTCTTGCCTGCACAATCCTTACAGGCCGTCACCTCCAGTGTTGCGGTGTGACCAATTTCGAAGGAGCCCTACGAAGCTGGTGTGCCATGACATCTAAACAGGTCCAGACATCAATGATTCCTAGCTAGAAATATGATAGCTTGCTTTGGCATGACAGCTCGAAAGTGCATCATTCGGAAATTCAGCCAAGGCACACCCTCAAGCTCTCCACCAAACTCCAGCAAGGCCTTCGTCAAGAGGCGCTCAGCTTCACCTGAGTGACAAGGACCGGTGTGACATACCAGGAGTTTGTCATCCCGTCAGCGGGAAAGTTGGCAGTCGAGGTGCAGCACTCTGCCGCTGATGTTCCCAAGCCCTGCAGGCTCAGATTGCCAGCGCTGGGCATGAGCCAGTCGCCAACAGCAGGCGCCTTGCCATGCCGAAAGCGGCATCACGGAACATGAGGGGGGTTCCGGAACTGGGGGGTGCCTTATCAGGGTCCTTTTTGTTAAGGGAATCCTACTATTTGGGGGTGTATATTATTAGGGGTCCCTTATTCTCGTAAACTCCCATGAGTCCATGAGAATGATCGCTAAGAACCCTGCCTCCACGAGCATCTCCATGGAGGCCTTGCGGCCAAAGGACACCATCGGAGGGGCAGGATGGGCTTCAGATTTCTCCTGACAAGCTCAAGATAAAGGGTTTGGGGTTTAGGGTTTTGGGGTTTAGGGGCTGTTTTCAACCAACCAGAGCTTGCAGTGTGGCGTCGCGTTTTGAGTGGATGCCGCTGTTCCACGGCCCTGAGAACGGATAGGCCCTAACTAGGAGTGGCAGATGTTTATGTTGACACCGTCATGGCATGTTTTCCAGAGCAGTGTGAGATGATGGTCGTGGTTTCGGCCAGAATCGGATCGGGTTCTTTCATGTTGATTAACGCGAACACAATGCTCCAGAGCTGAAAACACTGGAAGGTCTGTTGGAGGGCAGAACGCCTGAAGCCCTGATGAAAACGGATGGTTTGTACGCAGCAGTCTCATATGCTACAGGACACTTCGGGGCGGTTTGAACTTTGCCTTCGCAGGAAAAAAAGTTGCGGGCTCCAGCCTCTTTGGGCTTGGGGAGGGGCCCTCGCTTTCCACTGAAAGGCTGCGCTATGGCATCCTATGGCTTCGGAATGTTGAGCTGCGAAACATGCACGTGAATACACTTGAATGCACGACTCATGGTCTCGATTGCTCGATTGCTCTCTTCTGTTGTCTAAATCGAACCTCCTTTGGCATCGGCGCAGGGGCCGGGGTCTTCAGCGGCAGCGGCATGTACCACGTGCCGACGGACGGCCTGGTAAGGCCATGTGTCCATGTGCGATGTACAAATAGCTTGAAGTGACAGTGCCCCACCATTCCACACATCCAGATACATAGCAAGTGCCGGCCTGAGAGTGAAGGGTGCGCTTGCGGCGGACTCCTGCAATGCATGCTTTTGAAACCTGCATCGTGTGAACACCAAAGAATGCCTGACTGTCCTCCTCGACAGCGCCAATCAAGTCGCCTCCGCCTTCGCGAACGGATTTCATGAGAGCAGCGCGGGCATCGCCACGGGAGGCCTGGCTAAGGCATCGTGAATCTTCAGCGCCGCGGTGTATGCGCAGACTTATTTGGCCCCTTTGCGCCAGGCACGCTTCCATGAGCAACCCTTCTTGCACTGGGGCCCAAGTGTGAAGCCTCTGGCTCTTGCTTCGGTGGAGGAGCTGGTGGCTCGAGCACATTGACCTCAACTTCTCAGAGACCTTTACGATGTGAGGTTCAGGGAGCCCAGAGAATTTAGAGGGAAGCCAGAGGAGCCCTCAGAAGCCAGAAATTTCTTGCCAGGTCTCCGCAGGCTTCTCCGCCGGCTTCTCTGGTGCGGGAGCTTGTGGCCCTTCCTTAGATCAAAGAGAGACTTGGTGAGCTGAGGGCTTATACCAAGCAGAGCTATACGTCCATGCCAAAGTGCTCCGGGCACACCAGCTTTCCTTGGGTCTGATTTTTCATTTGCTTTTCCATGACATGCAGAAGCCACACTGCTGCCTCACCAGATCAGAGGCAGAGTGGCAGGAACTTGCACATGAACTCAACGGGATCTTCTGGCTTCATCCTGTCTCGTCAAAGCGATGAACTTTTCAAACAGAATGAGTTCGGCAGGGGTGACAGGCAGTTCAGGAAGCTTTCCGCGAGCCATCCTCAGCAGCGTTCGGAGGCATTCGGAAAGCCTCTGCTCGATTCCATGCTTCGCCAGGTACCCCACAGCAGCGTCCTCGAACCCAAACACAGCAAGCGAGTGGGTAGGAGAAAGGGACAGGGAGAGGCAGAGAGAGAGAGAGAATAGAGAGAGAGAGGGTGAGGAGGACAGGGAGAAAGAGCGAAAGAGAGACAGAGAGAGAAAGAGGGAGAGAGAGAAAGAGGGAGAGAGAGAAAGAGAGAGACAGAGAGAGAGAGAGAGCGCGACAGAGAAACACGAAGGAAGGGAGAGATGGAGGGTCGATAAAGAAAGATTATGAGACGCATGGAGAGATAGAGAGATGAAATGATGGATGGATCGATCGGTAAATCCGTGGTCTTGGAGAGAAGGGAAGTTCAAGGTGAGGGGCAGTTCAGTGGAGCAAGTTCAAGCGACACCGCGGGGGAGCCAGCAACTGGGCAACACTTCATGCCTCACTACTGTAGCCCCCTACCACCAGCTCGCACGGAAGTTCTGACGCGCAGGTGACCCAGCCGAGGCCTTCGTCTCGGTCTCAATCTCCCGGCGTTGTTTGGCGGTGTCCTCAGCCTTCAGCTCCTTGCTGCTCGAGCTGACCTTGATTCAGCAAAGGCAGAAGAGAAACACCAGAGAAACACCATAGAAACCCAATAGAAACACCCCGTGATGCACCCCTCGTGTTGCTGAGCCGCACGAAGCTTCATGCCCTCTGCTTTGGGATCGGAGGAGATCACCTTGACCTATGGGGTATGTATGGTGCATGAACACTACATGGCACAGTTGGCTTGCAAGAGTCCTGCCTCATCCATGCCGCTAGATGCCTGAGTATCAGCAAGGCCTCTTTTTCAGCCGTCGTGAGCTACGTGTGCTTCGTGAGCTGACAAGCCAAGGCTCTGGGTCAACCTGCACTGAGCACGTGCCCACGAGCTGGTAGACATCGATCCGCGCTTTGCGCTTCTCTTCAGGAATCGGAAAATGATACTTTGCGGAGTTCTTGTCGAAACGTCGCCTCAAGAAAGCACCGTCTCGTACGTCACAGTTCTGGGACAGAAACCAGCGCCACCCCTCCGAAACATCTGCATCACATCACATTCAAGGTAGGGACAGTCAGGCGCAATGTTAGGGCAAGGCACTGCTTCAGATTGTCACCAAGGCGAACGCTGACGAAGCAGCCCTGGGGAACCTCACTCGCGGCCTCGACCAAGAGCTCCATTTGTCCTCACTTCGGCTTAGAGCGACAGCAACGTGCTGCAACGTGCTCTATACAGCGGCGCTTGCAGATCGGCCAAGTGCGGAACAAAGTGGCAAGGCGAATGTTAATGAGCGGGGTTGTATGCTGCTCTTGGGCTAAAATGCTTCAGACAAGAATGTAAGCAGGGCATTCGCGATCGCGGCAGCTCTGTCGTCTCAATCTCCCTTAGTATGCAGCGGACCAAGACAAGACACATCGTGAGCACAGGGCGCACTTATTGTCGCTCGAGGGCATTGGCGGTGCCATGTCACTTCCAGCCCCTTCAACAAGAGATAAAGTGCGTCGCAGCCATGTTGCCTATGCAGGTGTATGTTACTGCATGTAGTTATCTTCGTAAACCCCCATTTATGAGGGTTGAGGCCAGAAGTCCGACGAAGGCGGCCCGCCACGCTGGGCGCCGGGGGGGGGAGATATCGGTGCCACGAAGGAAGCGAGCCTATCCCTGCAAGTCCGGGACTGGAACAGCTATTGCATGTGTAGGGCTTACCGCATCTTAGAGCCTTAGAGCCTAGGTGGGTTTAGTATCTCTTGGGCGATCTTGAACATGGCTGTTTAAGGTCATTTCTCTGACGCATGCACGAGCTATCCAGGTCCCAGCCTCCCAGGTCTATTATGCTATTGGTGAGCAGGTTAGCTCCTTTCGGAGAGGCTAACCGCAACCACCAGTCAAGACCCACACCTCGGACTGTCCCAGACACTTTGATAGATGCAAATCGGCAACAGCATTCAGCATCTGTCAACGTCTCTGGTGGCCAGAGCCAAGGCGTGTGTGCGCGTAGCTAAACTTTGCAAAAAGAGCTTGGCACTCAAAAGCTCGGCACTCCCAAACAAGGCTCAGTCATGAAAGCCCCTTTGGGCGATGCAGTGCAATGAGTTGGTTACATGACTTCGATGGCTCTTCAGCGGAATGGGCAAGTGAAAAGCAGTCCCATGGTGTCTTGCCGGCTGGCAGGCCAAAAGTTGCACAGTATTGACCTGAAGGCCCATGTTAGTTTATATAACCACCACGGATTACCATGGAGCCAAGTGCTGCACCTCCTGCCCATAAGCGGAGCATCTTGGGGGTGGCCGAGAGGGCGCAAGCAGCTTGTCGGAATCTGAACCGAAGCCCATATGGGCCCAAACTGCTTGCGGGGCCACGGGGGCCAAGCGATTCTCTAAATTTCCGCGCTGTGTTTCCAATATGCTCGAGCTGCTCGGGCTACCCTAAGTTTCTAAGTATAAGTATAAGAGGCCGCGTTCTAGAAGAGGCCCTTAAAATGTCAGCTGGGAGTTCAATATTGGGACAGCTGCGCAGATGGGCAAAACTGGTATGGTAGGTCCTAAAAAGACCGCGGAATTAGCGATCCTCACGAACCTGCTGAAGGGCCTCTGTGGACTCGGGCACGATCCAAGCCCACATAGAGGATGCGCTTAATCTTTGTCTCAAACCTGAGATTGACATCTGGCTGCTCTCTCGTTTCCAATCGACGGCTGATTTCTCGCCATCCACATAGGTGGCTACGTGATGTCTGCCTCCTCTACTAGCAATCGAAGCGCCGACCGGCCACAACATGGTGTCTGGTGAGCGTAGCCCGAGCATGCCCGAGCTATGCAAAGGCAGGACCGCTTAACACCTCACCTGAAAATCTCTCCTGTGCCCGTGAACCCTGCGCGGAGTGCAAGCGCTTACAACTACATGGCACCATCGCTTCTGAGCACACCACAGTCACTAACCCAAAAGCCCTAACTCCCCAAAACCCTTGCCCATGACCCTAAACCCTGCCAAACCCCCAAACTCAAACCCTTAACATGCCCAAGCCCTCACCACTGCGTCCAAGAGACCCATGCCTTCCTGAAGCAGCTTCGCGCGCACGCAGCAAAGCCGTTGAGGGGTCACGCCTGAGCGGCGTCGTTCCCTCGTGCCAAGAAGCCCTGCCTTTTTGGAGTTTTGGGGGGTCTATCGGGAAGCAAGGGGCATTGGCTTCCACTGAAACTGTAGCTGGTCTGAGATACACTGAACCCTAAACCAACCTTGTTCTGAGCCCTCAAACTTGAAAGCCTTTGACTGCTGCCCAGCTGCACATTCCAAACATTGAGGGAATCGATCCACTCGTGCATCTGGCCTCGGCCTTCAGCTCAGCTTCGGGAACCCTCAACACACTGCTCCAGATCTGCTCAGGGTCCGGGGTTGAGATGATGATGATGATGATGATGATGATGATGATGATGATGACGATGATGATCGTGATCATCATCATCATCATCATCATCATCACAAGAAACGTTGAGGCGATTCTAGACCCTTGAATCTTGGACGCCCTGTAAGAACCCTCAATCCCCCCGAACAGCACTTCATGGTGCTTAGGACATACGGGAGGAGGTCGCAATTGCTGCAGGGCACTCTCTGCATCTGCCAGCAACAGCATTTCATAGAGCTCTTCCGGCATCCTGCAGATCTAGGGCGCTCGAGCTTTATGAGTCCAGGTTAGGTTTGCCGCTTTTGTTTACCGAATTCAGCTGTTTCAGGGTGCATGGAGGCCTTCCCAGTTCTCCGAAGACGAAGACCTCCACCAAACATCGCAGTGATTTCAAGTACCTTCGATGCAACACGGCGCGATTGCCAAGCATGTGGAGGCTGTTCTAAAACAGATTTCATGCGGGGTCGTTTGTTGAAAAGGAGTACCTGCAACTGGTTCGAGTAAATTTTCGCCGAGACTCCTGGAGCCTGCGAGACTCCTTACAAGAACGTCACAGTTTTGGCTTTGTGCCAACTCTCTCATCAGTTTGTTTAGTTGCGGTCTAGGCTCAGGAATTTCTGGCATCCCGCAATGTAGGTCGGCATCATCGCCGCCGCCTGGCACGCTGTACCCCACACTGCACGCCCTTCTACATGCACGAAGGCTGACGTGCAACTCACAAACCTCCACTTCGGAGGGGTGGAGGCAGTAACGGTCGATCCAGAGCAAGGGCTCCCTCTGGCATGCCTGCACCATAAACAGCTCAACATTGCACAGAAAACAGCTCATGCAAAACCCTCCACGTCGGCCGTGGCCTTCTTGAAGGCCTCTCTCCATTGCTGGAGCGCAATAAACCTCAAGGCAAGAAGCCCTTAAACCCTTGGCCGGGAGTGGCCGGGACATAGCGGGACAGCACCCCCATGGCCCCGCCCAGGTTGCAAACGCTGCCGCTAAGCCCAAGGCAGCGAGGAGGTGTCCTCACTCCACGAATACCTTGAAAGGCAAAAAACTACGACACTTGCCCAAGAGCCTGTCCGAAGAGTCGCAACAATGTTGCGTGCCTTATTTTGGAGATGCTGACAGAAATGGGAAGACTTGCTGAGTGCACGGGCGAAATGAAGGCATCAACAAAGCCAAACTGGGCAGGCTCCTCGGCATCGTCTCATCAGCCCAGGCGTGGGTGCAGAATGAGGGAGAACTCCCCAAGAAGTCTATACAAGTCTAGAAAGAAGTCTACCGAGTGCCGCAAAGCATCCGACAGGGCATAGAGCTCACGCTGTTCGGGCTGGGTTGTTGGCATCAGGAAGTGCTCAGGATACACCTGGGGCCGGAATCCAATATATCGGGGAACGAGGTACTGCCGCATGCACGGCACCTGCGAGATCCTGCGAGCTGAGCTGAGCTGAGTTGGACACCCTGTCTGCTGGGACAGCGCCTCGGCATCTCCGGATAGCTGTCGATCAGAGCTGACGCTTCTGCCAAAGCCGTTCTTGATTACATGCCAAGCTGCGGAAGCTGCTCTGCCCTTCGAGAATCACCTGACACAGCTGGCCCTCAGGTTCTTGGAGGGCACTGAACAAGCTACTGCACCGGGCTCAGAAAGAAACTGCCGAGCACCTCGTCCGCCGCGCGCCCGCCAAGAAGCTCGTGCAGCCCGGATCCCACAGTGCTACCAAGCCGGCATTGTGCAAACCATATCCTTGGACAAAACGCGTGCGAGATTCCAACTTGAACAAACAGAACACCGCGATAGTCGACATGCCTTGGATGCTAGGTTGATGGCTGCATTCGGCGGCGGAACCTGAAGAGAGCATGTTCTCTTTCCTCAACTTTTGGTCTCACAAGCCAATCTGAGATTCTTGTTTGCCCGGCACCTCGGGTGCGCGACCACTCCGCCGAGCAGTGCCAGCACAATGCCCACGATGACTCCGATGACGTGCACATGCAACCTCGGCGGAGGACGGATGGCAAGCAAGCAAGCGCTACGGGGATCCCAAGAATTCGAACTTCGGAAACTGCAGCAAGCCACTCACCGGCAGAACCGGCAGGGATCAGGACGGAATGCTTCGCCGCGAAGCTGAAGACTCCGATTGCCACCCACGACTGCCAACAAGAAGCCCAGGCAACAACAGAGGCCCACCCAAGGTCCACGCCCCCAGGTTCACTGCATTTCGCTACCATGAGATCCAGCAACTGAGACCGGGTCGAAGCCGGTAGCAGCATATAGACGCTTCAGTAGCCTGCGCCCGGAAATGCTTAAGAGGTCATGTGTTACTGTGTTACTGTGTTACTGTGCTGCCATTCGATCCCTATATCTCGGCATGCCCTGGCAGTGGCCTCATTGAATCGATTCCAGGGGAGCATAACTGATCGATCAATATGCAGCATGCAAAACCTGGCCGGGCTTGTCTCCACTTGCATACAGATCATTGCAATACATAGGTCTGCGCAGCAATCTCGAAACAGTAGAGTATGCGAGCAGGAGGCAGACGACTATGAGGCCAGCAGCCACGTCAGCAACGGCAATTGCCTCACATCACAGCGCAATAGGCATCATGCAGCATAGCATTGAAACTTGCCTGAACTCGGGCTTCTAGCCTCACCATTGCAGTACAAGCTGCTGAGGCTGCCCAGCACGGTACGATGACATCGTTGTAGGTCTGAGCTCTTCTAAGCTCGGGTGTTCCAGTTGTAGATTCTACAACTCTCAGGGGCCCCCCTCAGGCTGGAGAACAGAAAAGTGCATGGCGCAGGTTCAAGTTCTTCCAAGCCGCACATGCGAGGGTTCTCGCGTGAAGCCCGGCCGAGGTCCCCAGGTGGGTGATGAATATGCCTCGCTCGCACGACACGAGCCTAACTGGCCCAACAACAAGGAGACCGTCCCTGAAAAAAATCCCCCGAAGACACAGGCAAGGCACCAGAGGGGAGTGCGATGCAGCCGAAGAGCCTTGCAGTACTCTGAATGACATCTTAGAGAGGCTTTGAAAACCAACTTTACGCCAGGACGCAGTCTCAACCAGCGCTGTATCCTTCATACCAAGTGTCAGAATCAAACATGCGCAGTGTCTGCACTCGTCAAGCAACAGCTACCTGGCAACTACCTCCTTTCAGAGCCAACCCCAACTTCAGTTTTACAAGCGCCCCAAATGTCCATCGGTCTGCAGGGATGACTGACAGGAGGAGCAGCACATTGGCCAAGGCAGCACAGAGAGCCTCAAATCAACATGTCCAGGGTCTCTGAGTAGCTACATTCCATCATGCATACTACTTCTCCGATTGAGGCGATCGCAAATCCCGCAAGATACATGAAGACCAGCAGTGCCTTGGTAAGGAGCAAAAGGATCTCTCTGTGTGAATGAGCTTAAAAAGGTTCTTGGTTGGGACATTGCGGCTCCTTTCTGTATCTCTGCGCTGCGCGACTTCCCTTGAGACGTGCTAATGTTCCATCGGTACTGCTCTACTCTTACTATCACATACAATACACATTCTAATTAGTCACTATTGTGAGGCTTGGGAAGCCCAGTTGCGGAATCATCGGGGCGAATCTGACCAATCACCAGCAGCCTTGGCATTATGCAAGGATCATGCTGTACTGGATTACTTGACATCTGCACACAAAGCCCCTCTGAGGGCTGCGAAGCCGAGATGGAGGCGCGATTGCCGCCATCGCGAAACAGCACCCTGCTGTCCTTGGCTTCTCAAGCTGTCATCGTCAGGAACTCCGCACTTACTGGAAGTACTACTTACTAGCAGAGATCCACGGATAATCCGAATGGTTTTGGGACGGGCCCCTGCTGGAATCCGTTCGAGGCTCAAGGTCGGAATCCGTATGCTGACTCTGCGGCGGGCAGCCTGCCAGAAAGAAAGGGAGCACATGGGAGCAATGTCAGCCCATGGCTGCCTTGCCTTTCAACGCTCTCTGCTAGCATCGGCAAGGCATGGTTTTTACGCAGGTGCGGACATGCCACCTCTTATATGCATGCCTCGACGACGCATGCCTGTGCAACTGCGAGAGCAGGGCCACGCAAGGCCTCCTGATTTGCTCGCTGCAGCCGGGCAATCAACGCCGACAGCCGATCTGCATCAACAGGTCTTGGACCTTTCCGAGGCTTGTCACGGCTCTCTTTTCTTTCATCGCGGACTCATTGACAAACTCCCGCAGCCTGGATCAGGCACATCAGACTTTATGTGTCCTTCAGGATCAAGGATGACCGAATATCCTGCAGCGGGCTTTAGCTTCAAGCAGCGTCTGGACATACATTGACATGGACGGAAGTCCTTCTGCATTTTCGAAGGTGAGGGAGAGGGTTCCGATCTGCGCCCTCAACCTCCACGTCTCTCCCTAAACACGCCGTTATTCATGCCAGTTCCACCACTCAAGAAACCACGTTTGCCCTGCGGAGGAGGGGAACAAATGAAAATGTGTTGCTGTGTATCAGCGTAACACATTCCTGGTGTCATGCTCTTAGGGCCTGAGGGCATTGCAGACGGCTAACAGAGCTAACATCCCCTCAAGGTAGACCTAAGATTAAAGGTGATGTGGCCAGATCGGGAATCGGAACCCAACAGGTTGTCTATGGCAGTTTCGGATCCCAGTGGCTTGGAACATTCCCACGGGGCCTGGATTCTTCAACAGAGCCCAAACGGGGGTTTCCGAAATTAGGGGTACCTTCTTGGGGTCCTTATTGTAAGGGAAACCTACCGTAGGGGGGTTCTTTTTTTCAGGGGTCCCCTATTTTCGTGAACTCCCAAATATGTTCAAACTGCCCAAAGATGGCGGCACTCAAAACCTGTCGAAGGCTTCCTGAGCAGCACTGAGGGCCCCATCATGGCGTGGTCCCACTTCAACCCACCAGAGAGAGCAGACACGCCTCTCATCGGGCTCTGGCAACTTCTTGTCAGCCGGTGGCCTACCAAGCAGAAACATCCAAAAGCACCGAAACCTGATACCCAGAAGGGCTTGATGCCACAAGCCATGGCCGGTGCTGGAGCTACACAACAAATTTTAGCAGCGAAAACAGAGAATCTGCCCGCGTGCCTGTACCACTGGTCCTGCCAGGCGACGTCTTCCGCATGATATCTGATATGCACTTCTGGGGAGCAGGCCCTTACCTATACTATCCTATACTATATATACGACTCCCCTAGACGGTATCCCAGGAACAGTCCCGGCCTGGACTGCCAACACCGAGTCAGAAACTGGCTCCTCGTCATCTGTGAAGGCACCTTGCGAGTGAAGCAGCCCGATTTCTTGGCACAGCTCAGGCACGGTCAGGATCTGTCCGGGTACCCTATCGCAGCGTCTGGAATCCTACAGTGCAGTCCCAAGGAGCCAATCTGCTTGGCGAAAACACGTGGTCCTAGCAGGTCTGGATTTTAACGGCGCCGAAGCTGCGTGCGGCTGAGCTCACATGAGGCACCTGTTGCTGCTTGCAGGTGCTGTAGGGGGAGGGTCTTGATTCGCACGCAAAGTCCTTTCTTCTCGGGAACATCTGGGTCGACACCTAGAGCGGAAATTCCATCTGCAAGTGTGCACATGCGTACGCTGGTACTACACAGATGCAGCGCACTCTTGCCACGAGAGATACCAGTACACACACACACATCACAGCGCAGCCACCCTACTGCTGCTTGGGGCTCTGGCAGCAGCTCGCGCAATAACCAGACATGCACACCTGGCATTCCAGATGCTCGGGCCTCTCTATAGCTCGGTTGAACTGGCGAGCTAAGCTCCGCACCTCTCAAGAAGGCCCCCTTGCTGAAGGTCACATGGGCATGCTGAAAAAATATCAACGTCAGAAGCTGTTTGCACACCTAATATGCCGCATGAATGCCTTAGACCGTACCTTCTGCTTCGATGTCGCAGGCTTCTTCCACAGCTAAGCGTCGTTTCTCTGCTTACCCGATGCCCACCCATGATAGTGCGGCATGAGCCTTTGCGTCCAAGCCACAGGATGATGGATTTCTCACATGAAATTCATCAACCCGTAGAAGCGAGGACTGGAATTCCACTTTGCAAAGCAATGCAGGACCAGGAATCAGGGTTCCAGGTTCTTATTTGGTTGAGGTTCTTGGAGTGATCTTAGGCTCTGCTTGGACTGCCGAGAGCAACTTGAGGCAACAAGCGCTTCACAAAACTGTCCATGCTTGCGGATGCTCATTTTGCCACGCTGCGCATTCCTAGCTCCATCCAAAGAAACGCATGACACTCCGCAGCCAAACACCAGCAGCTAGCATCTAGATTTGACAGAGTTGCCTCACTGTGCCGACGTCTGCTTCCTAACTACTGCGCACTGTGCACAGCGTGCAGATCGCTATATCGAAGGATCGGCTGCCGACGTGACATGCGCAGCCTGGCTGAAGTCTTGTAGATGGCAGTCGTGTCAGCCGCTGCTTCTGCCATGTCCAGACTGCATGAAGGCTGACGCGCAGCCTAGTTTGTAGTGTTCTTCTGTTTGCTGAGATTTAAGCCGTTTGCGCGGGACTACATAACTTCAGGAGCCTATAGCTGTCCCGATTCAGTTTTGCAGGCACATGCGTGTTAAGCGCTCCGCTGGACACGGTGTGTAAAGGCAAGATTCTGCGGATCGCGCCGCGCAGCGACTCAAGATGCAGGCGATGGTTTGTCGAGCTTGTCTGCCCGCTTCAAGATGTCCTCTGCAAGGTGAACTGACATGCCAGCAGTGGGCTTTCGGGCATGCACAGTGCCTGGAACTTCCGGATATGCTCCAGGAAGACATCTGCATGCGGTCGCTGCGGCTTCTGCGCGTTGATGTGGACCTGGCAAGGCACCGCAAATGGCATCACGATGCCTGCCGCCTTATCGTGCAACGGCAGCATCTTGGACAGAAGCCATGTCTCCATCCAGGTAGAACTCCACTTCGCCACATGGCTGCAACTCCTTCATTGCCATTACTGGTGACCATTCTTTCTTCCTTGCTGCCGTGTCATCAAGGCCTATCCAAGAAAAGAACCGCCTGAGAGCACCTCGCAGGTGTCTGAGGCCATGGCGCCATCTAACGGCGTGCCAACTCTCTGGTGCACCAGCTGTCGGGTCTTGTGCATGACCTGACCGCTTCCAGGCACGCACGACCGAAGTGTGGTCGAAACACTCAGCTGGGGCTGCTGCACACATCAGCTGGTCACGAAGACCCTCCCCGTCCATTTCACATAGCTGTGCCAACCTGAAGAGCCAAAGGTTGGCAAAGCACGGTTGCTTGACTTGGGTTGAAGTTTGCCATCAGTGCAAGTAAGCATCGGTCATCATGAAAAAACGCTATTTAGGGGTTTCCATACCACCGAACAGCAAAGGCGCAAGAACTAATTGGGGGGGGGGGATCCGGCATCTCGGGTGCGCACTTGGAGGTCTGCAGAGAGGTGTAGAGCTTCATGTAGGAGCCAATGGTTGGCAAAGCCTGCTGTTGCCTCACCTCCGCTCTCACACTGCCCTACAATGGCAGAAACTCAGTAAGCACTTTCGGTAAGCTGCTGCCAGACAGTCTTGGTCTCTACGCGAAGGTTCATGGGTGATTATGGTAAAGTTATGAGTAAGGTAAGGTCTAACCTTTTTGGTTTGCTGAGTTTGCCGAGATCTGCACCCACAGCTACCCCTGGACCTTCAAGATTCGCATGAAAACCTTGCCTCTTGCAGGAAAAGAGTCAGCTGCCGCTGGTGCGCTTCATTAGCCGTGAAGTTCTCCAAGTCTCGGAACGAGGACACAAGGACCAAGCACACAACCATGTTCAGAATTAGGGTCACCTGTGCGGCCCCTTGTATTTAGGGTAAAAAGGACAACAATTTGGTTAACTCGCCGTGTGGTGGCAGATGCCTGTAAGAGCAACGGACATTTGCACCATGCACATTGGTATGGCTAAGGGCATTGCTGTCCAGATCGGGCATAGAGGCCGCAACGAACTTGGGGCACGCGTATGAGAACAAGTCCTGTCGAGACAGTGGTTGCCTCATAGAGCATCACAAGTTCCAGCAAAAACCATACAATAACTCGGCATGCGAGGCGTGCAGGAGCCCTCCGGAGCAACTATGCAGGCTTAGTCTCGGGAATGATGCTCGCCACAAGGTGAGCAATGAGTTTACACGTGTTTGCAGACAGCCAACATCTCCCAACTGTTCCCGAGAAATCTTCACCAGGCAACAAACAAGTCGTAGGCATCTGCCCAACCTTTCGAACATAATTAGGTCTATTCTCTTCATCGAGTGCGCACGCTGGTCTACACTTGCGCAGTACCATGCTTGACATAGCTTTTGCACGAATCTTGCTATTCTCCAACATTTCACCATTTCACCTGTATGCTGCTGAATGCCGTCGAATGCATGCCCTATCAACCTTTCTCTCTGCCCACAATAGGCTCCTCGAAGCAAGCTTCATTGCCCTGCTGCAAGCGCATCTGCTTGTCTGCAGGGTCGGAGCAGGCAAAAGCACCGAAATCAAATTGGTGTGTGCAGTGGGGTCAGCAGTTCACAGGTAGTTCAAGTCCCATGGCCTGCATGCTTCTCTCTGATGGGTTTCTCGAGTGATTCGTCCAGCGGTTGGGGACAAAGCGCATTGGAGATCAGCAGCAGCACGTACATCTGATCCTCCCGGCCGTGCTGTGTCTACGGGGCACAACTGCTTTAGCTGCAGCTTTGTTGGTGTCGCGCCTGCTTCTTGAGCATCTGATCATACTGATAGGACAGCGAGTTCACCGAGGAGATTTTGGAGAGGAAGACGAGAATGTCTTGGAAGGTGCGGGATGCATCCACGTATCGGCGCATCATCATGTACCTCACACGCCCACGAGTTCCTGCACCGCAAGACTGCATGTCAGAAACAGATACAGGCGCACGCAAAGCCCATGTAGTAAAACACGGTGACGTGGCAGGCGGGAATTCTGTAGAACAAAGGCACCTGATGCGTGTTCTAGGATCCAGGCGCAAATCAGAAAAAGATCACTGCCATTATCTGCCATTCCGGCCATTCCCTTTGACTTCCGGTGCAGCTTCCTGCCCCCGCCAGCGCGCACACACGCACACACGCGCCTTCACGCAAGCACGCACACACACACACACACTCACTCACTCACGCACGCACGCACGCACTCACTCACTCGCTCACACACCCAAACAAACAAAACATCCAACGACGAGACAAGCACTTCCACGCAAGAGGCGTAGTCACACACCCAGGGCATGTTACGAGCATGAATGGTGGGCATCCTCAATGGCGGTTGATTGCTATTGAACCCTTCTACCGTCTTCCACCTTCGCATATGCTGCACTTGTCACAAATCTGTCTTTCTTGCTTGGTCTTCTGTTAGGGAATGATGAGAACTGTTCGGGAGAAGCTGCCTCTGCACGGAAGTCGATGTTCTCAATCGTTTCCTGGGCGACATGATGTCAACACTGGAGTCAACACCCTCGTGTCATTCAGTCCGATTTTAGATGGAAATAACAATAGCAATGAAACTATCAATGATACTAATCATAATGGAAGTCGGCACACTGAGTTTGAACAACAGAGGGAGGGTTCACCTCATCCACATCTCTGTTCAGTCTTGGAGTGCTGGCATGGGGGTGGCATCTGGACTGCAAAGAGTAAGGTGCAAAAAAATGAGCGGCCCAGTAAAAACAAGGGCTGATTTCCTAGGCGGGGAACCCTAGGGTGGGCCGCAATGTGCTTACAATCTTTGCAGCTGTTTGCATGTGAGCGTCCATCGCAAGGCGATAGTCCCCGAGCAAGCTGTGCATTCGCAGTAGCTGCATCAAGGCAAAATAGCCGATCAGTCGCGTCGACTCGTCCTGGAGACTCGTAGCCGGCTGTCCCCGACAAAACTTGCCACCACACGCTGCCAGCCCTTAAGCCCCGAGCTGTGAAAGCGGCTCCTGTCATGCAACACAAGCCTCTGCAAATACCGCGATGTAGCAGCTTCATCCATCATGGGACAATGCGACGATCTGCCTTGGCCATTGCCTCCATCTGGATTAGCGAGCCACTCCTCAATCAAAGAGTAGCGCACGAGCTGGTGCAAATAGCTGAGGACCTTGAAGCAACACCAGGCATCTATTTTGACTACATGCCCTGCCAGGGCCTTGGTGGTCTCGAAGACACCAGGGTTGTCGACGAGCTGCTTGACATCTTGGTCCTGCACCAGTATAGTGGAAATTGGGCACTCCAGACTCCAAACGACCAGAAACCAAAGCCGCTGGCCTTCTGCAGCTTGGCTGCCTTGTGGCAGTACGTACTGTACGTCCTCAGCTTTGCAAAATGTTTCACCTTGATCAGTCATGCCGCACACTCAATGTAAGCACTGGCTGAGGTCTAGTCTGATAGTGGTACACAAACTCGTCCAGAATGTCCCACAGCCACTGCGCCGGAAGCGCAATCCCGAGATCCTTCCAGCGCGTAGCAAACTGCTTGTGACTCGCGTGCGTCATGGATTGCTGTTCATACATGAGCAACCGAAATCAACTGCCTCCCCATCGGAAAGGTTCTCAATCATCAAATCCAGGAGCTGGGTGTAATTCTTCCACGAGCCAATTCTGTCCTGCAGATGCCAAGTGGTGGAAGATCCCAGTGGTCCCAGCGGCGTGCGCGCCAAATTGATCGGCACAGAAATTATAGGGATGATAGGGTTAATCCCCCGACCTCGGGCAGTAGAGCTCTAGTAGTGTCTCAGGTATTCACCACTTAATCCTCCACCGAGGATGCTGGATGCTGCGCCCCTGCCTTCTTTCGTGATTGTTTGCCAGGAATGGGTATCCCCCCTAACCGACCGGCATCCGCAAGCCACCGAGCGTGAGGCTGCCAACACTCGATGCACATCCTTTGGGCTGCTCACGGGCCCTCTCCTATGGACCATCTTGAGCTGCTGGGTCTATGTATGTCTGTATGGACACCATAACGTCTTACAGTCCTTGTGCATGGACCTCCTGTGGGCCCCATACGTGTTTTTGGTCGCTGGTGTTCTCCAACTCCATCTGCGGGTTTGGGATTTCCTTGACCTCCGACGGTCCCCTATGCATCCCCTCTAACAGGCCCGGAATTAGCTTAGGTATTCTTTCCCCCTCTAAATTCCTCCAACCGCCTAGAGCAGCTATGGGCTTTTCATGGACCCCCTGCGGACTATGCACCTCCCCAACATATGGATGCATGTCTGGGCCATGTATGGGCCCCTTCTATGGACCTCTGGTGGACAACCCTGAAACTTCGAAGGCCATGACATGAAGGCTTAGAGCTTAGGGTTCCGCCACATTCAACTTGCCACTTACGCATTCGGGCTTGCTGGCTTTGAGGTACTGGAGAGTTTGCATTCTAATCTTATCGCCTTATCACCGGGAACCCCTAGCACCCAAGAGATGCAGGAGGCTTGTGAATGATGTGCACCATTGCGGGGTCCGGTCAGATGCTACTTCGCATGATTGCTCCACGCCCATGCCGAGGCGTGTCGCGCGGCCTTAAGATTAGGCTTATAGCATGCCTAGGTCAAACCACAGCAGTGCAGTCGGTGTCCTCGAAGAGGACAGGGTTCAGTCTGGCATAGATGTGCCTGCCCCAGACTCAGAACTGAACCCTGCACCAATACTGCCTGAGGATTTGGAGTTGAGGGTATGGGATGTAAGGGGTGCCCCCAGCCTGTAGTACAGCTCCTGTGGGGCTAAGACAAGGCAAAACGAGCTGAACAAGCCGCGGCTGCACACCAAAAACAAAGTCCTTGTAGAGGATGAGGAACAGTGCCTCACCATGTCCAAGAGCATCGCCGACAGCGTATGCGCTCGGCCACTTCCTAAACCAGGGGCATCTAAGATTTAGGGTTTGCAGTTTAGTGTGCGACTTACGTTTCCAGCATGCAGAGTAAAACAAAGCCAAATGCCATCAAGCCGTCAACAGGCTGACCGATACAGTTTGACACCAAGTCTCGTCTTGTTGTAGTACTTCTCGGTGAGTTGATTGAAATCTGTCTCCTTGGCTGCATGAATGGTTGGTACTTGTTTTTACGACAAGATAACCCATGTTTTGTTCGGAAGGTCACGAGACCATGCCATGTGCGACCAAGTCAGGTGTCATAGAGCCTGTTGATGTCGGGAATGTTGCTGGACCTCGGCAGAACTACGGACTTGACGCATAGACCTCGTGGCATCTCCTGGACTTTGCGAAGCTCCGCTTAAACCCCAAACCGTAACCCTAAACCCTAAACCCTAAACCCTAAACCCTAGGCCCTAGGCCCTGGGCCCTCAAAAAGGCAGCTGGAGGTACATGGCCATATGGCCTCTTGCAGCTAGGCTCGGAACTTAATCGAGTCCAGCAGTCCTTGGGCACGTGGCATTTGTGCAAAGAGGCTACGTTACAGAGCCACCGACACAAAGGTTAAATCATACCAGGTACTGTCATCTGCTAGCGGTGCAGCCAGGCGGCTTCCCAAGAAATGATCGACTGCATCTGGAATCACCTGCACCACACATCTGTGCGTCAACTTAGCTTCAGCTTCTGTAGTCCTGCAGCCATCGGTGAGTCCATGGGCATCCCAACCTCGGCCTTGCGCTGGGCCTGACTTTCCTCCACATCGCTGCCCTGCACAGAGCACGATGCCATACTGCGGCCCTTTCGTAAGGCACGGGAAGACTCACGGAACACACGAGACGCATCACCACAGTAAATCTCCTAGCCTCGTCACCCATGCTCACACCTCACAGCATGTCACATCATCAGCGTGTATCAGCTAAGAATACGTGTAACCCTCAGCATTGGCAACTGCTGTTTGTTAAGATCGTGACCGAATGAGATTCTTGTCGACCGACTGACTACCCACCGTCCACAAAACTGGACAAGAAGTGGCGTGCGGCAGCAAACTTTGTTTGAAGTTACGAATGGCAGCTCTCGTCGACACCGCAGATTGTCAACGCCCGGGAGGCTTGGAGTCTGACTTGGAACATGTGGACCTACAGTTCCTAGCGCAGCAAGCAAATCCTGTCTCAACACGCCGGTCCCTTTTTCTGGAGGTGCGTGCCGGGAGTTGAAGCAGTTCAACGCCAAGTCTCGGGCTTCCGGTTCTAATTTGCTTACACTTCGGTTATGAGTGTCAGCTCAGGTGGCATGCCGCAGTGTGCTGTTGGCTGCCTGTAGCCATCGCCTCCTTGCACTTCCGCATCTGTCCTTACTTCTCGGTCTTCACCAAGATGTTCGCGGTACTCCTCGTCGTCCTTGCGCGACAGCACTGCTGCTTCTCAGCTGGCAATTGGAACTGATCTCAGCATCGTTCCGCGCATGTCCGTGCAAGTCCTACATGCCTGCAGCGCCTGCACCTTAGCCTTGTCTAGCATACGATTCTCATGTCCGGCCTGGGATGCTCAGACAAGGTTTAAGCTAGTACGAGTAAGGATGGACGGAGCCCTTGTTTCCTTCAGGTCCGCCCCGGCGAAACCCAACCGCTCGGACCACGCTGCCAGAAGATTGTGAGTCATCCTGTCAGCTCACACGACCACGTGAGGGCACCGTGACCCCTGCACTGCTCACGGAACGTTCAGGGCCTCGCTTTTGTCGCCACCACCGCCTCCTTGCACGACTTGGTTCACAGCCTCATGCAGTCCTGGGAAGCTGCTGCAGTGGTAAGCAGTACAAATTTGACCGGACAGTCTCTGCGGAGCGTCCACGAACTATTGACTGAACATTCATGAATGGAACCATGAGAGCCATCGTAGCTGAGAACTTGAGGCACCCCCTATAAGGTATCGCACGAATTCAAGGCTGTCAGGTTCCCAAAACCACTGAAACCTCTGTGCTGCTTCGGCTCAACCGATGGCAGCAGTGATGCTGAACACGTCAGGTCAAGAGGGCAAGCTCTCGACTGGTGAACCTCAACTTAATGTTATCATTATTATTCGTTATTCGATATTGCTATTTTTGTATGATTATCAGTATTATTGTATGATTGTGATTCTTATTACTATTACTATTATTATTATGATTACTACTACTACTTCTACTACTACTACTACTACTACTACTACTACTACTACTACTACTACTACTACTACTACTACTACTGCTATTACAATTATGACTGTTATTATTGCCATTTTTGTTATTGTCATTGTTTCTGGGCTTCAAGCGGCCAGGGGCTTCGTGCGCCCAGCAGATCCCAGTAGCAGAAATCAGTTTGGAGGCACGTGAGCCACCTGCTTCCGCATTGTTGGAACTTTTCTTTGTTGTATGGGCCGATAATTACTAAAAAAAGCTTGTATCACCATGATCCGTACAACAGCCTAAGTCCTCACAAAGGGGGGGGGGGAGATAGTCGGAGAGTACAGGGGGTCCAACATTAGACATCAGGCAGCGGCTCAGTTTCGAAGCGTTAAGGAGACTGGGCAGACTGAATGCCATCAAGCAGCGAGTTCATGTGCTCTATCCAACGTCGGACATTCGGGTACCTGGTAGCGGAGAATGAGGAAGAAGATGTGAGCACACACTGCTTCGATGCATCGCTTAGTTTGGTCAATACGTGCAGTACGGAAGAACACACGTCAACATGTTCCGGGTTCGCGAGAGCATCGGAGTCCGCCGTCTAGTCTAGCGACTCTAGTGATATCATTCAGTTGAACCATGACCATCTGGCAAGCTGCTTGGAGAGATCCTCGTGCTTTACGATGCTGATTTCATTCAGGTCGTCCTTGGAAGCCTCAAACCCGCCGACCTCGCTTTTGGTCTCTAGGTGCAAGCATCTGAATGAGAGCTGTTTTCTACTCTCAGTATGGACCTCGCGACCCCCACCATACCCATCCACCTAGTCGCAACACCCAGGACTCTTTGTCGCAGCTGCGGCGCGTAGGGGCAGTGCAGGAGCTTCTCTTCAAGGTCCTCAAAGGCTCTGAATGCTCTGAAAGTCTTGTCACGTACCCGTCGTCATCTGCAGTGCTCCTGAATGTGGCTCAGGTTGGAAGGCTCCTTTGGCTCCCTCGGGACCTGACGAAGAATGCATCGGAAATGCCGAACGGGCCGAAGGTCATCGCACCCATGTTCATACGAGTACAGCTGCACACAGCTGCATCGAGAGAATCATGAGGAATCACGAAACAAGGAGCCCTGGAAGCCACAAGATTGCTCCGTCTACGTGGTTGCATCGATTTGCTGCGCACATGTAGGCATTTTCAGGTTACACACTTACGCCGCAGTAGTGGTGCTGCATTCCATTTACAAGTTGCGGTGCATAGGGCACAGAGGCGAAGTTGTGGGCACTACAGTATCGCAGGGATGCCTGAATGACAAGCAACATCTGACTATTGGATGCCACTGCCACTTGCCAACAGTATTCAGCCCGAGTCACTTTCGCCTTACACACCTCCACGGGTTGTCGGGGTCCGCGAATGAAGGGCAAAAAATCAATGCCTCCTGCACACCAGAAAGTCCCAGCATTACTGCACTCAAGCCAGAGCTTTGCAAACAAAGCTCGGTCCCATAAATGGCACGAGCGCACTTGGGACCCGAACACCTTGACACAGAGATGAACTTGGTGTGCTATTGCTTTATGGTCGGGGTCACGTCTACCAGGGTTAAGACTTAAGAACCTGCTCTTTGCAATGGGCCACAAAGACATTCAGACACTTCACTATACTTCACTCCTGATACAGGCTCATGAACCTACTGGCATGCCCTCGTCAGAAATCTCTTCCCTCTCTCTCTCTGCGTAACCACCGTTGCCGCTCACAGACACTTAAGCGCCCAACCATCGGATGTTTGGTAAGTTTCCTGACTGTGAATCGGTGTTGCTGCACGACAGCATGACGAACGAGAAAAGGCAGCTCAAAGAAAACATGCACAGCCAGGTGTCCAACAGGCAACACAAGCATCTTCCCGAAGCAGTCAGTGTCGAGTTGAGCATGTGCACGTGACGCGGGCGCTGCTTGTCCTGCGACTCCAAGCTTTCAGGAAAGGCAGAAAAGAAGGGATGCATAGGGATGCAAAGGGGCAAAGGGAATTCCTAGAGGTCATCGTATGTGCGGAGTCCGGAGGATCTGCAGGTCGGTATCGGATGTCGAGGGCTCGCGACTGGAAGTCGGTGCAGTTGGAGCAGGAGACAAGCTCGCGATACTGCCCCTGTGAGCGACTGAAGGACGAAGGACCCAAGGATCCAAGGATTATCGGATCTGCGGTTCTCTTGCGTGTTAAACTTATTTCAACTTGGGATGCATGGCCACTGGCCTGCCCTGCAAACCAGCCCTCCAAGTCATACTTCATGGTGGCCTGCAGGCGGCCGAAAATGCTGCTGTACCCAGTAGAAATTCCAATGGACTCTTAAATACCTGCGCCGATGTTTATGTACGCAGATAGCCCTCCACCGCGTGCTAAGCCCCCAGCAGCGTCATTAAGCTCTCCAGACACAACTTTGACAACTCCTCGACAAGATCAAGCAGCGGGATCTAGCGGCTCTTGCAGCACTTAGAACAATTTCAGATATGTGTACTGCGGTGCCCCTTCCTGACTGCGGCCCAAGTCTCTATAAGAAACCCCCAGACTTTGGTAGAACTCTTCTGCGCAGCGCAGCATCTCTGAGTGCCTGGATGGAGGGAGCAGCATCTGAGTCGCGGGAGGGCGGGGGCGGGGGGAAGAGCTTTATGGAAGTTAGGATTCGCCCCGGTGTATCAGCCCTCATATCTGCCTCCAGGTCACATCTGCTGCGACAGCTCAGAGTCAGCCGCTGTGATGCAAAACTGCTCCACCTTGTCGAACTGATGCACGCGAAAGATCCCTCGGTTCTCCCTGCCGGCTTTGCCCAGCTCAGTCCTCGAGTCACAACGGTTGCCGCTGCGTGGATCCCAAATCCCAAAGCCCTTCCCGGCTCTTCACGAAGAGACAAAGAGTCCGGAAGCACGTGGAGAGCCCGGCGTAGCGCAAGGGAAGGACTTCCGCGTCGAGCACCTCTTTCCTTGGCGAAAGTCGGCTGAGAGTTTGGGGATGTTGAGGGCTCAGGATTTGAGAGGCTTTGGGCTTCAGGGGTTGAGGCTCTGATTTGAGTCTATGGCAGACAAGGGTCGCATGAAAGGCACAGAGCGGCTGCTCCGACGTGGCGATAAGATACTGCGCATGCCACATGAAAGATGGTGAAAGACGCCGACCACCAAAATACAAAGAAGCGCTTCAAGAAACTCTGACTGGATCGGTGCAGAAAGGAGATCATGAAGCTGCAATGAAGTTGCCGGTGAGCCGGGGGTTTACGAACATAAGGGACCCCCCAAAGTAGGATCCCTTTAAAATAAGGACCCCATTAAGGACCCCTAATTTCGTAACCCTCAGCAATCCCTGCTTACCTTCTCCATCTCTTCTGCAACTTCGCCTGTGCAATCGAGTGCAAATGAGGCAGTACTCAGGCAAACCCCGACTGATTGCAGAAGCAAGAATGCCGTCCTTGGCCCCCCTTTGTGACTTTGTACAGCTGTTGATCAAAGTCATCCAGCTGAGCAACTCCAGCCATGAGCTCCTTCCTCAGAGGGCAAGGCCACCGAACCCAGGCTTGAACATGCAATCCTTCATGCCTGGTTTCCTCATGATGAACTTGCGGGACTAAGTCTCCTCATGAAATATGGCGGCTGCACAGCACGATACCCACCTGAGGCAACGCGCACCAACCTGAGCCTAGCAGGCCTTGCAGCTTGTGCCCGAATGAGCTGCTTCTTCAAAGCAAGCTGCGTGCACGCAGAAAAGCCAGACCAAAGTTGATCAAGGCCTGGTTGAGAAGAACTCCTGCGATGATGCTGCAGCCAGGATCAACCAGGGGTGCGATGCGGAACGAGACTGCATTGTTCTTCTGGCCTGCATCTTCAAGGAAGTAGCCGCGGCTTCCTGATGAACGGTTGAGATTCGATCGGGACAAGGGGACATCGAAGGAGAGCGTGCTGGCCTGCAACCTTGCACCCTCTCTCTGGATCATATCCGCCAATGCCTTCACGAAACTTTCATGCGACAGATCAAGGTGCCCATGGTGGCTTGTGTGTTTTGCAGGCAAGGTGCGCCAAAGCAACTCATCATGGCCGAGAAGGCTCCTGGAGCCCCGACCCTGAAGAGAAGAAGAAGAAGAAGAAGAAGAAGCAAAGCAATAACAACAATAAGTAAGAAGCAATTTCAGTTTCAACAAGTTGAAGGAACCGATCAGGCCATGCAGCAGTGAAGTCCTCCCAAGGTCGTCATGGCTGACATGTGCCTTGAGAGAGGAGCATCTTGTTCCGGCTCACCAAAGCTACCGGATCATGGCGCTTGGTAGCCCTTGACTACTCGATCCACACTCGGGACTTGAGCTCGACGCGGGATGCGCGGCCGAAGTGCCCGATGGCCAGGTACTGATGACCTGCCGGTTGGGACATCGAGGAACCGAGGAATATGCTCTAGCGGCCTGCTAAGTCTTTTCCGAGGACCGCCCTGAAAAGCCTCATTGTCGGCTTCATTCTGCGAAATCGGAACTGAGGGATCCACAAAGTTGCCTTAATGGTCAAAAATCGCGACAGAGGAGGCGTGACCCGCAGATGGGCTCTCCCTGGAGTGTTGCAACAACGCGGCCAAGCTTGCCAAGTGCTCCATCCCGGAGCTTCTCACATTGCAGGGTTTGAAGCCTGGGCAGTGTAGAGCATGATCGCTTGTGGTTGTCCAAGCCCGAACCATACATCTCACCAAGTCATGTGCGGCAACTGAGCCTCAAACTCCAGCTCCTTTAGTTGCTCTCGAATCAGGGCAGCTTGCTTCAGCTCCTCGTCGCAAGGCTCCTTGAGCTTCTTCCTCCGGGCAATGACGTCCTGAAGTGCGTTCAGGAAAACCAAGGGCAACTCAGGGCAACTAGTGCGAGAGTCGGGGCACCTTTACCATGATCTGAGGCGCGCTCCTTCTGCAGCGCGTTGAGTTGTGTGTGCAGCTCCCTCGCGCCTTAATGATGCTGCACGCATCTCGGAAGTTCGCTCCTCCGCCTGTTTGTTGCGCTAAGTTCAAGTTGCTCTTGCACATGCTTCAAATCGTATGTGGCTGTTTCTAGTAGGGTGGATGCCGAAGCAAAAACCACGACAAAGTCAGCAACCGCAGATTGAATAAAAGTCTCGCGTTTGAGCAAATCACTAACTGATGCCGTTACCAGCCAAGTTACCTGTGTTCCCGACAGAAGTTGTACGTGTATTCGTGTGCATATTTGTTTGTGAAAAATTATATCCGCTTCATAACTGACCAGTATTGGCCAGTTTAAACTACTTAAAACAATCTTAGCTTGTCGTGGTCTATAAGCCCTCCCACGAGAGACCAACCCTGACATTCATGTTACCCAGTCGCGACAACTAGTCAAACAGTGACAGCGCCTCTATCGCAAAACTCAAGCTCTTGCCCCAGACCCCGAAACCAAACTCCGGGGCGAGCCGCACGTGGTCTTCTCCCGCCAGGACCTGGGTCTTCAGTGCCAGAGTTTTAAGTAGGTCAAGATACTTTCACACGAAGCCCCATGACTCCTATCTCGGCAGCGCGAGCTTCCTTGAGAGGCTCGTTGAACACAATAAACACAATGGCCGAGGCGCGTGTCTAACTCCAGCACTTCATCAACAAGCCTTGGAGCAGAAGGCAAGTGGCAAAGTGGTCAAAGCTTGGCTTGGTTCGTCCTCGCAGTACTTAGCCCATCCAGCTGGCGGGCCAAGGTTCACAATGTAAAAGAAGCAAGTGTCTAACGCCTCAATTCGAGGGGCGCATCTGCATCCGCTTTGAAGCGCTGGCGCTGCGCTTGCCGCACCAGGTGTGGATCACCAGACCTCCACGCTTAACGCCACATTAACAGAAGACGTAGCATGCAAGCAAGTGCATGTCGAATGGCGGTTGAAGGTTCTTAGCAGCTTTGCTCCATGCTGCAGCATGTGGTATGGCTTACCGTCTGCAACACATCCGCAGCTAGGAGCCGGCCTGTCAGCGCGAAGCCAGTTGACATCAATGGGCATGGGCACGAACAGGGAAAAGTTAATCGATAACCCAAATCCCATAGACCCTTCTCCTGAAGATGCTTTAACCGGATTCTGGTGGGAGTCCAGTAGCCCTCTGTGAGCCTCTGTGAGCTGGATGTAGGGCTCTGAGAGACGAACCCTTACTTACATTGTCAGGGCTTGTCGAATTGAGCAATTGCAAAAGCGCGGCGTAATGTACAGATCACAAGCTTCGGAGGACAGTCCGCCTCTAGGTTGATACTGTCGGATGAGTGGGAGAATTGGCTTTTTTCCGATGCCATGGACATTCGACATTTGTGGTGCTGGGATCTATCAGGGCATCTCGCGAGTCGGCAGAAGAGATACGACTGCAAAAAAAAACCACACGCGACCTACAAGATTCAGGGTCCAAGGTGCCAATAAGCACTCATTTTATTTGCATAGTAATGTGTTGGTTAATGGGTTGTGCCATATCTGCCTGTTTTTATGCTAGTTTTGTTTCTACACACGCATTGGGTGTGGCTTGCAAGCGAGTGTCTCAGCAGCTGTCCTTACACTCTTGTGTACCTATGGGAAGGGAGGGGTTGAGGTTAAGGCGAAAACCTTAAAAAATGCAAAAAACAGGCAGTAGAAAATCCCAGATGATAGTTGTCTGCGTTGTGTTGTTGTTGCTAGTTATATTGGGGCTTCGGCAAGCGCAAGACAAGCATCCCAACACCAACACAGACAACACCCAACTGCAGATGGGTGCCATGCTGAATAGTCTCATGCAACTTTCTGTCGTACTAAGCCCGAAAACTCGTGGTCGACTGCAAGCAGGCCCTGTACACGGTGGGCCGTGTAGGCTCTTACGAAGTACAAGTAGGCGGCTAGGGATTTGTTGTGGAAACACACCAGCCCTGCACAATCCCACACGGAACCCCAAACCATAGGCCTCAGGCGTCGCCAATATGAAACCTTTTAGGGGTTTCCGAAACTAGGGGTACCTTAATTACAAGGGATTCTTACTATTTGGGGGTCTATATTAGGAGTCCCTGATTTCGGGAACCCCCATTTAGGGCAGAGGCGGTATAGGCCTCCAGTTGGTTCAACTCAGCTTGGTGTTGGAAGTTTGAAATCCAGCGACAGCAATGCGCCTTTGTGAGGCTTTTTCCTCCGGCCAGGCCAAAGACAGGGTCAATGGAGGGCTCTATGGAGGTGTTGAACATTCCCGACATTGCCCTTCTAATAGTTCTTCTCAAGGTCAATAGAGAGCTGTCCAGCACATTCAGAAAAAGAGAGGGCGCGAGGGAAAAGAAGGGCAACGAAGGTGGCAATCTACGCTTAGCTATCCACGGTAGTAGGGATCCACATTTCCCAGCTGCAACACCGGCCAGGATGCGGAGCCTGTACATGCACTGAACGGCTATGCCATGCAGCTTGCAGCGGTTCGTTGACAGTGCTGGGGTTTAGGGTTTAGGATGTAGGGTTTAGGGTTTTGGGGGATTGTTGCGAACCTAGACCCGCGATTCAGGTGTCTTCTGCTGAAAAAGTGAAGAGCTGGTACGAGCCACCACGCTGAGGAAGGCGTGAACAGACATTTGCGGCTTTTGCCGAGAGCAAATTTTGCAAAAGGGGCACCCAGTAGGAGAGGATGCAAGTATGCTGTCAGCCCATGTACGACTATGCGTCCGACCAAGCAGGAGCCCCGGTTTGCATCAGATTCTTTCCATGAGTCTATACAGACAGGTCCGATATGTGTGCATCTCAGATGTCACAGCCAACGAAGACCTTCCACGACAGTACCAAAAAGTTGGCTGGAAGGAAACATTGACCCAAGCACAACACTCGTCGCTCAGGCCTGGTCGATTCATGTCTCAACACTATGTTGAGGGACAAACCTGCAAGCCCACACCAGCAGCCACGTCAATCAGAATGCCGATGCATCCGCAGAAGAAATGCTTACTCTGGCCTGGGTGAGATATGCCGGGAAGACGAACACCTAAACAGCCAGGGTTGTTGCCTTCATGCGTGGCGACATGCCCTCCCAAGCAGGCTCTCCGGAGTTTGGAGGAGGCCTGCTCAGCACTGGAGAAAGTTGCCATGTGCCCAGATATGCTGGCGACCTTGACATGAGACCATGAAACCAACCTTCTTCTGATAGTCTGACAAGGCTTGCTCAGAAGAGTCCGGTCAAGCGGGACATGAAAAAAATTGACAGGTCCTCGACGCTGCCAAATTCGGCACCTGCTTCGGCCTGCGGTCACACATTCCTGTCCCTTTCGCATGTCTGTAGCGCTTCGCTCGATACTGTGGTCAAGTTGGTTAAGACAAAGCGCTTGTGGCGCTTCAAGCAAAAAACGAAGCAATAGACGCCGGACAATCGGACAGAGAGACAGACAGACAGACACTGAGACGGAGAGACACAGAGACACCGAGAAAGACAGCCAGACTTACTCCTGGTGGTAGCGACCTCTAAAGAATTCTAAAGACCTTTCTAAAAGGCTAACGCAAACCCAGCGGCACTGTACTGTCATAGCGATGCCTCACGAGAGCAGGGGGGGCCTTCTGTGGCGCCAGCTTGCTCTGCTGCACCCACTTATGACCTGCACCGTCATGAAGTGCAAGTGGCATGAAGTGGCACTGCGCAGCAGCCTGCATGAACGAAGATGTATGCCGAACCGCTTCGGTCAACTCCTCCGTGCTCGTCCCCAAAGGCTCCAATGGCTGCCTGTCGCAGATCACCATATTCGTTTGATTCCCAAGAGATATCGGCAAATTATACAGGCCCGATGTAAACTCGCAGGCATGGCCGTAGAATCAGAAGTGCTGACGCTCTTTCCGAACCCGTCGTCTGCATCAAGATCCTGCCCATGAATGACAGATCGCATGACGCAAGGGGCGCATGACCTTCCTTGTATACAGACTGGCACGCGTCTGGCGAGTGCATGCCTCTGCTAGGCCCGCGTTTTAGATCACGCGTCCAGGGCAACTGTCTGTGAATTTTGACAGTGCTCATTAAAGGATCGGGGATTGGTGCTTCTTTGCTGCTACTCAGCTACTGCCTGCTCGAGGTTACCTTGCCCACATGTCTGGCCCCAGTATGCTGCCACCATGCGCCTCGGGAACCAACTGCTGCTGCTGCACCCACTGCCTGTGCAAGCGGGCCAGAAGCAACTCCAGCAAAAGATGCTAAACTGCTAGACTACGACTGGCAGCGAAAGCTGTGAAAAGAAGAAACCAACTTTAACTTGCAAGAATCACTGCAAGTCTTGCCACTGGCCACTGCTTTCCACTCCTTCCACTGCTGCAACCAGCTTTGAGTTTGCTTCCCTAAACCCTAAACCCATGTACAAGGCTCGATCAACCCTTCGGCTGGCGAGTTGCCCCCCATGTCGCTTGAAAACATAGGCTGCTCCGCTGCCCCTGGGCTGGTACATGCTGGCTCGTGCAACCCTAAACCCGGGACGCCGACTTCAGTCACCTCTGAGCTCACAGCTTTCCCCTGGAACGGTGGCCATAAGCACCGACCAGGCAAGTCTTCCCGGACTCTGACCTCTACAGTGAGAGTCGAGAGTCTGGACAGGAAAGCAGATCGTGAACGACTCCCCATCTAAGCTCGCGGGACGCTGAGAACGTCTGAGGCGCTGGAACAAAGGACAAATGCGGCTAGGAGAATGATGTGAAAGTTCTGGGAACCCGGCAAGCTAACGCTGCAGCCGAAGTGATCTCCTGCTGCTGTGTCATTCGCCACAAGTCTGGTTGGTTGAGACCTCAGCTGCTTCAACTTCCCGTGGCAACTTCGAAGACATGCCTGCACAACAATGAGCAGTGACTTCCCTACTCCAGAAGCCCCACCTGCTCCAAGGAGCTTGGACAAAGCCTAAGGCCCTTGCTTGACATGGCGGGGGGCAGGGGGGGGGGGGGGGGGGGGGCAGAGGACTTAAACGAACACCCTGCCAATATTCTGGGGACCTGGCCAGTTCGTTCCATTGAAACTATACACATAAACCGCTCCGCTGGCCTTGCCAACGGTATCGTCCTCTAAGGCAGTGCACGTACTCTGCCCATCTCCGCTCATGATGAAGACATGATCTCAAAGCGCTCCTCTTCGGCCCCAATCATGATGGTGGTCTTGCTCTGGCTGAGGCTGGTCCCAAATTTGGAGCTATTCTTCAACTTGGCAAGCAAGCATAAGCAAGCCGTAAGATGCTTGAGGGTGTGGCAGGTAGTGTGTGAAAACATGTATATATGGGTCCAAAAACCATCGCGGGGTGGTGTGGGGGTTAGAGGCGGTTTTGGCAGGGGGGGGGGGCTATCAATTTGTTTGAGGTTCCAGAGTTTAGGAACGCGCTGCTGTTGTGGAGCGGCTTTGAGATCAATTTCACGACATGGCTACCAAGGGAAAGGGTCACGTTCTGCGCTGCAAAAGCCGCGAGTTTTCCAGCATTCACCAAAACAACACCTCATTTGACACACCCTGAAACATGCAAAAAACAACAAGGCGAAACGTACAACATCAACAGAACAACTTGACAGAAATTGGACACGTGGGGATGTATATGTATAGGTATAGGCGTGTATATGTATATAACGTGTTGGCTCATGCACGCATCATGACACAGAGCACTGTCCAGGTTCCCGGCGTTTTGGGGAGGTGCCAGTTTTGCCTTCAGGACCTTGAGGCTCAATATCATGCCACGAGCTGAATGCAGCAAGAGCCAAGAAACCCCGAGCGGACAACTGCTCGTGCATCCCTGAGCTTGTGCATCCCTGAGCTTCGAGCCCAGTCTTTGCCTTTTACGTGAAAAAGATAGATTGCAGCAGACGCATTCTTCGCGGCATTCCCGGCAGACGTGACAACCGCCATGTCTCCAAAAAGGCCGACCCTGCAATGCACAGCTCCACTTGTGACTGACCGGCACAAGGTGTCTCTTTGGGATTGGGAAACCTACATAGAGGTGCTCCTGTGGTGACGGGAGACCAGGGTTTGCTTGCATCAACAGCACCAGGACTCTTCTTACCAACTGAGAAGCATTCTGATTAGCCTTATCATACTTCTTCTTGCTCTGAAAACTATTGCATATTGCTACTGCTCTTGCTGTTTGTTAGCACTTCTTTGGACAGAGCTGCTCTCATTCACCTCACAGTCAAGAAATTGCCAAGGCCTGGAGCCGAATCGCTCGTTCTCCACGGCGTCCTCTGCGTGAAGATTAGTCGATGGGTGAAGAACAACTGTAAGAAGTACTCATCATAGGAATGCTAGTTTCAAGAAGTGAAAATTAAGGGCCTCACAACTCACTCAGGTGCTCATGCAAAGGGGTGCTTCGTAGGGTGAGGTGTGCTGATGCGTGGACGCGTGGCTCTGGCAGCAAAAAACCGATGGATCACGACCGAATCCAACGTTAAAGGTCCGAAAGGATCAGAACTACCGCGCCCGGATTCCCCATGCTGGTACACCACACCAACCATCAGAGACCGGTGGTCCTCTGGAGACAGCTTGGCTTCCTGTTCCCAGACCTAAGGTGCGGCTTCAAGCCATGGAGAAGGAAAAGATCCAACGGTTGCAGCAGAGCACGAGTGGAAAGCCAGCCAGCAGCTTTAGTCCTACCACTGTACCACAATCGGGGCTCGCCTAAAGCACGAGACGTGTCGAGACGTGTGGGTGGATCAACGTAGCATAAGAGCAGTGTAGTCAACGCAAACAGCCTGCGGCGGCAAGACCGGGCTTCAGGTTGAGGGATATTCTGAGAACATTGAGTAGTCAACAAGATCCCAGCTCAAACCTCCTGCATGCAACTGTGGTGCGTCGAACGCCCGGCGAAATACGTAGGCCGAGCCACTGTCCTGCAACGTGGTTCGTACCCAATCGGGTCGGTTAGAGGTCCAGTCGATGGTTCCAAGTTTCAGGGCAGTCCACCTACGAAAGAAAGGCCATGGAAAGAAGACGTGCTCCATGTTCGGTGATCACTCGATATTGGGCAACAGGCTGGTGCTCACGGTGAGTCCGGCTCAGTCCTTCTTCCCATTCAAACCATCGCGGTAGGCACCCACCAAAATTCTGCCACCCGCAATGCTAACCTCAGCCAAAGCTCTGCCAGGGCTTGCTATTCAGCTTGCAGCCAAATCCCAATTTCTTTCTGGGAATGACTTTCCGGTTCATATTGCAGGAACCACAGAAGCAGCCTGTTGAAGTACCTAATCCGCATCCCACACGAGCACTACTGCTGCATGGATGGAAGAGTCACTTGGCTGGGGTGTCGACGCTGTTGCCAAAGAACGAGTTTCGAAAACCATCGTCAGCCGTCAGTTTTGCCTGTGCGACACATCATGATGCCTCATGTCGCCATGTTGCAGGGCGAGGCGTTGCAGACGCGTGTTCGCGATATTGGGCTGGGCCTGCTCCACAAAAGTGTTCGCTTTGCGGACAAATACCTGCGAATGTCAGTCCGAGTCATGAGAAATCGAATAGGCCATCTGGCTTCAAGCGCGTCCCTCGCATAGGTATTCTGCTGCATGCTATAAAGCAGGGACACGTAAGCAGCCCCGCTATCGTCCCCACGATCGTTGTCGCCAGGAGCGCCGACCTCATGTGTGGCATGGTGCGGCCTGTTGAAATGAAAGCGAATGAAACCACATCTTCTTGCTAGCATCCATGGATGCATCTTACATCTTGAACGTGCTGGCCCCAATAACCAAGCCCGACATTGGCCGCGAAATCCGTAAAACAAGGGGATGCCCTCCAAAGCCCTCCGATGTGGAGCTTGGCAGTTTGCAGATGTTGGCAGTTTGCTGAGCTTCTCTGAGCTTCCAGCTACCACAGTGTCACCTTGCTGCATTGCACAGCTACAGTAGCATCTCGGGACAGCATGCATGACTACTGTTCTTGAACTACTATCGGTACTGTTGTGTGGCTTTCTTGAAGCAGCATGTGCGAGCTTCACCAGAGCGAAAGACGGACGAGCCTGATATTCCAATGCTCCTGCCAGTGGCCCAAAGGGGACCCCAGAGACAAAAGGGATTTTTCTGTCTCGGATGGCAGGCTGGGTAGGCCCTAATTAGTGGGTCTGGGGGCGTTCGGGCCGGCGGCTTGCGTGGACACGGTTGCTCAGCAGCAGCTCGCGAATGCTTGGGATCACATGCGTCACTTTCAGAGGCGGCTGCACTCCCTGTCCTTCCGAAACTGTCCTGGAAGCTGCGCTCGGACGTTTGCAGCCGCACAGGGTGGTCAATGGCCTAGCCGGGACGAAACAGCTTGTTTCAGGCTGCTGGCTTCTTTCGAGCAGGGTTGGCATGCTGACCTGGATGGGAAAGGAGAGTTGCAACATGGCTGCATAATCGTATCTTGAAAAGCAGACAAGAAACACGTTACAAGCACATTGCCGCGCGAGATACAGAACACAAGGTTTCAGGTCGGCAGGTACTGCACACATCGGCGCCTTGCACTGCATGGTGTGACACGAATAGTTTGCCTGCAACGCGAAATGTCAGGCGCGATCGACAGTCTGGCGGTCTGATCCCTGATTCAAAGTCGGCTGCCACGGTGGGCCTGCTTGATGTCGCCAACTCTGTCACGATGTTGGAACACAACACAAGCAGTTTTTATGCGGCCATGTCCGAGCAGGCTTACAAATCGAATGTCATACACGGTCAAGGACCAGCGCCTCTGGGCAGTCGTGGCCAGTTAGGCAGCTGCGATGCGAAAGGATGGGCCGTGTCCACAGCTCGCACCTGTCCCAAGACAGGAGCCTGGCCTGTCACCTCTGGGCAACGGTACAACACACAGGACAGGTACCACTCTGCCGAGATTCAGTCCAAAGGAACATCTATGTCGAGCCAATACTTCGGGCTCGCTGCACTTAACACTGCACTGAACTCCACGGGGCTGGCGTGCGGCTAAGATGGGCGAGATTATGCGCCTGCGTGACTTGTTGTTGTACTCGACTCCGGTACAATTGTCCTTGCCAGAGGAACTATGTTGTGGTCTTTCATAAGTCACACACTGTGTACTTTTACGACGTGATATAAATGCCGCTAGCAGCAAGCGGTCCTCGCCAAGTCGCTCGCATTTCTGCTTACATTCCTCCAGATGGCTTGCATTTGTTGCATTGACCGTCTTGTCACCTGGGCACGGCAATTCGGCAACGAAGAACTCTACAGACATGAGAAGGCTGAAATACCAAAAGGGCTTACGAAAGTCTCCCCGACCTAAGACTGCATGAGCTTCGCCAATTGCCAGGAGCTGTGGGCTGAAAAACAATCCTAGCTCTGAGGTGCTCACCGTCAACTGTGGCGTCATCTGCCGACAGCCTGCAGACCTCAGGCAGCGATGCATAGCTTGAGTGCTTTGGCCTAGAGACCACGTGGTCAAACCTCCATGAAGTGTGTGCCAAGCACTGCAACCGCGCTGCGGTATTCATGCCACAGGAGTGCCAGACACAGTTCTCGGTGACCACCTGACCGTGTCATCTCCATCCACGCCAAAAAGCACAACCCCTCCCCCAAAAAACTGGTCCCTCCAAGAAAGGTGCCCGCAAACCCTCTCAACATTCCCAATACCGGTCCATGGCACTGTGGGCGTGTCACCCTCACCAACACCAACGACAATGTCCTCTGCATCATTGGGAAAGGGAACTAAGGTTGAAAGCGGGAATTCGGGGGTTTAGGGAGCTCAGGTCTTGGGAAATTTTTCAACAGGGTTTACTGAGTTTACTGAGTTTAAGGTGGACACGAAATGGCTTGTTTGCCAGCTTTGCTTGGACGAAGAATGACGAGACCTTTGAGAAGTTCAGGAGCCCCAAAAAGCGTCCTTCTTGACAACGCCATGGGAACTCGCCTCCACCAGGCGGGTTTTGGGGCCCGGGGATTCTGAGGTGGAGGGGTTCAACCTGCGCCAAAAAATGGAATCATAGTCTATCCAGCTCCATTGCCTAAAAAGCGGGACTAGCGGTTGCGGTAGACAGAGCCTACCTCCTGGGCTTGGTTGCGGCACAGGGAAGTCAAGGACATTCGAGGCTAAAAGCTCTGCTGGCTTCATAAGCTCCGCAACTCTCCCCCAGCACACCATGTCGGGCCGGGGAAAGTGAGCTCCGAGCCTCGTCCTCCAGCACAAGTCCGGATGCGAGAAATTTCTCGGGGTTGACCTCAATGGGCTGTGGCGCCACACTGCAGAGTCCTTCCCCCAGCATGCTGTCTCCATGTGCGCTGAGAGCTGTGCGCGATGTTGCGCTCCGGAGTTGCTACGCCCTAGGATCCAGCTGGCACGAGCGGAGTATGGAGAGTGCAGCGCTGTTGCATCCCCGGGACTCTGTCTAGCGGAGGCTGAGCAAAGGGCCTCCTTTGGCTGACTGATCCAAAACGACGTTGAGTGTTAGGAGCGTCAGTATCATGAGGCCTGTGCAGCTTTTGAGGCCCGGGTTCCCGAGTTGCAGTGGGCCAGTCAGCTCAGAAGTCCGGCCTGACAAGGCGTAGCACACCGCTGCAGGCACACGGCTTTGCGGTGACTGGCCTTGGTCCAGAGATGTCTGGTCCAGTGGATGGCACTTCAGATTCGTCCCAAGGCTGTCTGATCTATGAAGACTCGTCGCTGGGATTGCGGCCATCCCTGTGTGCAAGCGAATTAGTATCACCTGCTCTCGGAACTTCAAGAGCACGGGGAAACAGCCCTCTCACATGCTAAGACACGGAGCCTCTTCTTCTGTTGCCTTCGTCGAGGCACTGTTTGCTACCACCTGCATGTTCCAAACCCAGAAGCATGTACAAAAACATACAAAAACCAAGCACTTCGCGATCGTACGTCTTCGGGCCTAAAAGGCATCCGTTCTCATCGGAAGATGATGACCAGGCTGCCAGCGGCTCCTGCAAACTCAGCGGCGCGTTGCTGCCGTCAGGTTTCAAGTTCGGGCTTGCGTTGGGTCCTTGCAGCGGTCACCATACTCCATGAGAGCCCAGCCCTGAATTAAGTGCTTACGCCTGCCGTTCTTCACTGCGTTGATGTGCACTTGTGGGGTGTGAGTCGTTGGTCAACTTGCTTGGCAAAATTTTCTACATGGGGCGCATGCTTGCGTAGTGCTGCACGATGCTTGCACATCACGCCTGACTTGGATCGTGCAATAGAATCTTCATACAGACATGTGTCTCTCAAAGCTCATGGATGGCTGATCAGAGACCATGGAAACTGATCTAGCAAGTCCCGCGCTGCTGTTGTAGAGAAGTTCCACAATAGTTAACAGCACTCGCATCCATGCAGATGGATAGGCAGAACACATAAAGCACCCTTCGAGGGCTCAAGCAATGATATAGTACTTCTCCCGGCAGGCCCTCATTCATTCTTGCTCGTCGATTGCTCGGCGTCTGCTGCCGTGCTGATGACATATAACGGTCTAGGAAGGTTTGTGCTATCTCTTACATTCTCTCACATTCCAAACGTCCCCCAGGCAGGGGGCGAGAAGTCGATACCTGTACCCACTCAGATGCTGCTCAAGCCTCATTCCATTTGTGCTCGTAAAGATACCACAGACGAGTCTGCACTAGATGCTTGGCTTGTCAAGTTCTTGCCAGTTCACCTGTTCAGCTCCTGGCTGTGTGATGCTTTTGAAGAGCTGACCACCTTGTTTCCGGAACCTCCCTCGTTGCTGTGACACTACACATTTTACCAAGAACCCCGTCCCCCTCGCCTCAAAAAAAGATTGACACACTGTCATGCTGCTCGGCGAACTTGAATGACAAGCAGAATCACAGAAGCTGCACGTGCGAAAAGAGAAGCTACCAAAGTGCTTTGTTTCCGAACTCCACCTGGCATCAGGGCTTAGGAATAGTTCGTCGGCCAACTCAGCTGGAAGCTTTCCTGCCAGCTCTGCTGCGCCCCAGCAGATGAGGAAGGACACGTATGTTATTGCAGGTTGTGTTTTCGATAAGACTGCTGATAGCAAGCTGCTGTTCGACTCAGCTGCCGCGATTGACAAGTAAGTCGCAACCTCCCATCAGGCAAGATCACCAGATGAGATTGCGAGGCATCAGCCTTCAACTCTTTGAGTTCAGGTCATGCTCTTGCCACGCTGAGGGAAACATGGGAGAAGCATGGAGAAGCCACTATCAGCTACAAGTCCCAAGTTTCCCAAGGCCGGAAAGCAAAAAAGTGGTGGACGCATTGGCATGACTTGCAATGCCTGGGTCCGCAACCGCTAAGGAATCTACAACTTTGGTGCTCCTTGTGGAGCAGAACATGGGTTTGTCCCAAGGTCTAGAATCGTTCTGAATCGTTCTACGCATCCAAAGTGGCCACCTTGTGGGCGTCCAAACAAAAAGGTGAGGAAAGTTATGAAGCCTTCAGCCGTTGTGCCGCGGCCGCTTAACCCTGACCCACTACGACAATGGATGAGCACGATGTGTGTTGACATAAGCACGCATAGCACGAATTATCCAAAACTATATGTACACACACACACTAGAGTTTTTGCGTCCGTCGGGATGTCCGGTTGGTGTAACTTCGCACGCCACACGTGGTCTAGCGCGGCTCTCGCCTAGGCACTTCGTCTGCGGGCCGTTCGCGGTGCTTCGAAAATCGTGCTCCCACCATGGGCGGTGGCAGAACTGCCGTCGCTTCTGGGTCTTTGCGAGTGTGGCTGGTGTCACACATTACCTGTAATCCTGGTTCCCGCTTTGCTGCCTCCTGGCTCGATCTCTAAATATACATACCCAGGAATCGCATGCACTCGACATACATTACATTCATGCACGCTACTTAAAGGACAATACCTACATGCATACACAGCATACACAGCATGCACAGCATACACAGCATACACGACATACACAGCATACACAACATTCAACACATACAATACATACAACACACACGCACACAACACATGCGAAGCATGCATAGCATGTGACATACGAAACATACACAGCATAGCATACATAACCTTCATGCCATACGAACATACGCGACATCTGCAAGATACATAACATACATACCATGCATGACATATTATACATAGTTAACATCCGCAACCTACACAACATGCATAACATGCGTAACCTACATAACCTACAAAACCTACACGACGTACGTGGCCTACATAACATAACATACACAGAATATACTGTATACATTACCTCATGCACTGCCTACATTCGCTACATAGCATAACTCAAGCACGGACTACATACACTGCATTCCACATTGCGTGCGTTACATACAGAGGGCGAAGGACAGCCAGGTCTCCGAGGTGGCAGTCACATGCTTGCGTAGTCGTGGCAAGTGACTCATGGCGATGCACTTGCTGAAGACGCAGTAAAGCATTCGAACTTTTCGGGGGGTTGCAAGCTGTAAGGTCTGATCGGCTCGCAGATGTTTTGTACGAATTGGGTAGGCGGGGGGGGGGGCCAAGGTCGAGGATGCGGCATCTTCTGATAACTCAAGCCAGAGGCGCCCTCCCCTGAGATATCAGGCCAAAGGTGCCCCAAGTCCTGTATGGAGCTAGCTTCGTGATTATTGCATTCATACATAGTGCAAACATTCCAGACATTTCATCCATCCCATACAGTCAATACATTCTATTAATAGCATGCAGAACAAACATAGCGTACATAACATACATGGCATGCACATCTGGCATAACAGTATAAGGGGAGTCACACACACACCATAAAGAATTACATAAAACATATCACGACACACCACAACATGAGAGAACATGACATTAACATACAAACCTAAACATAGCGTCATAGTACGAACACAACACAAACCACGTGCAAATGCACGCCCATACGTACATACATTCGATCTTACATTACGTACATGCATACGTACAGTTTGCAACACATAGCATACATAGCGTGCAGCATATCGTAGCATATTGCATACATCAGTTGCCTGACTCAAGAGCCGAACGGAACACCACCCTGCCGTTATTTAAACATTAGGTTTGTGTGTATACATGTGGGGTTTACGATATTCGGGGGGTACCTTACTGGGATCCTCTCATTATAAAAGCATCCTACGATTATGGGGATCTATATTGAGGGTCCCCTATTTTCACTGTTCTTTCGCCGGACAACTTGCCGTGCCATTGCGCACAACGTGCCGAGGGCCGATGCTAGTCCAAGGCTCTAAGTCATCAACTCAGTCACCGCTGCCTGCGTGTGGGTAAATCAGGGTCCTTTTGGGGGTCCTTCTTTTCAGGTTCATGGACGTACTATATCTGGGACCCAAAAAGGACCCTAAATTAGAGAACTACAAAGGTGTCTGAGTCTGCAAGCACAGCGAGTCAGGCAAAGCAACTCACTCTATGGATGGTCCCTGCATTGTTTCACTATCGTACTCTCTATGGGCCTTCGGAAGCGGCGCAGAGCCCTTTGAAAACATTATGCGGGGGTTGTGAACCTTTAGCTGCCGTAAACACCAAGTCCTTTTTCCAGGCGAAGGCCGTCTAGGGGTCCCGATTTGTCGGTGAGGTATCATTTTCAAACAGACACATCTTTTTTGATACTAAGGCTCTGTGATACTAAGGCTTCAGGGCACCCAGCACCGTCCACCGGTGCGTGATGCCATGAGACCCACAGCAAGTGTGCAAAGATAGCGTTTGTAGTCGTACTGATGGGAAGTACTAGAGGTTCATGGTACCATTTAACCAATTATTCCTGTACTTATGACCCACTGATTAAGCCCCTTAAGTGTCCTAATATGGTTACAAGTAGGTCAAAGAAGTACCATGGAACTCCAAGTAGATGACGCTTGGAGCACATGCCAGCACCAGGCTCTGGATAATAGCAAATGCACAGATCACTACACACTTGAACTACTATTCTACTGATTCCGCTGACTTGCCTGGCAAGAAAGTTCCATCCAATGTCCAGTATATTGCGCATGTGAAGGCCGAACAAACACCCGAGAAATGCCCAGGCCTGTCACTTCCGGGGCTGGGCCAATCGAGGGTTGGCGGAGCGGGTGAGGCGCAGAGAGAGACCTCCTCTCCCCAGCCATCATGCGCAGCTCTTCTTTCCAAGGGATTCCTGGTCAGGTTCTGGGCAAGGAGCAACGTCGCAAATTGGTCTCCGACACATCTTCTTCGTGCTACCTCTATCGGGCACACGGTTAGTAAGTTTAGGGCAAGGCTGGTGTGGTTCTCCGGAACTCCCTGCTCCCTCGCAAGCCGAGCGGCCGGTACATCAGGGAGTTCTCTGTGCCTTGTCGAGGCCACGCCTGTGCTGACCGGAGTGCCAAGACATGTCGAAGACGTCCCGGGACCAAGGTGGGCCAACGTAGCACAGCTACTACAAGGAGCTGCAGCCAAGGCGCTGCTCGCCGCATCCGTTCGTGTGAAGGTGCTCCGCGGCACTCCGCCCACGGCCCGCTGGGAGTCGCACCCTTCACCGGGATCACAGGCATCCTGGAAACACAAGTCCGTGATCCGAGCTTGTCGAGGTACTGTATGCACAGAGTATACATGAACGCGCTATGCGGGATGCTACTCATCTACTGTACTCTTTTCACGGGTGACCAGAGCTCGAAGCGACGTCGTGCCTGTGCGCACCAGGAACAAGCCGCTTGCCACGAGGGCTAGCTGGCACACCTTGCACCAAGTTCGGCAATCCCGGCACCGGATCAAATCCTTGGCAAGGCAAAGAGACTAGAATCACAAGGCAGCCATCTCGCCATCACAGCCCGGCCCATCGCAGCCTCACGACACCGGACGTATCCCTAAGACAGCTCGTCCACGAACCCACCGGAACGTTCTTGAGGACATTCGTTCACCACGTGCGATGATTGGGCCGTGTTCATGAGATGCGCAAAGGTTCAGTTCCCCTCCCCCCCATCCTCCCCGGGCAAAGAATTGTTGTAAACAACCGGTTGCACCAGCAAGCTAAAGCCGTCCGAATAAAAGAAGCTGTTCCGGAGTTGTGCTAGCCTGGATGTCGAGATAGAGGCTAGGGATGAGGGGCGCGTTGAAGTCCCGCTCAGGGAGAAGTGCATCCAGCAAGACTCTCCAAACGCAACCGTCCTCACCACGACGTGCGCCTCCTCTCCCAAGAGGTGTTTTTTGCTCAAGGCAGGGGTGTGTTCAGCAAAAGAGTCGGTGGGTCCTCCTGGGGCCCTCTATCCAAGCCCCAACTGGAATAAAAACCCCGCCTCACATGGCCAACACTCGTACTAGCAAACATCCGATTTGTCTCCAAAGTCTTTCCTGCCGGGCTGTGGGGCCGGCGGACGAGGCTCTAAGGAATCTTGCGCACTCAACGGACGTGCACCAGCATGCTGCTCAACTGCACACCAACTCACTTACTCTCACCGCTTCCTGAGACCACCGCGAGTAATTGTAGGTGCGGTGGTGGGTCGCATGAAGGTTCCTGATCCGCTGAGTCGCAGGCCGCGTGTCAAATCAGTTTCCATGCACAAGGCAAGACTTTGTCTCTTCTGAAGGAAGGGGTCTCAAAACAGAACCCACAGTAGAATGGAAAACTGCTCGTCCTCCTCTTGTTTCCCTGCCCTGCTCCTGCTCCTCCTCCTCCTCCTCATCAGTCATCATCAGTCATCATCAGTTATCATCAGTCATCATTAGTCATCATCATCATCATCAGCATCATCATCATCATCATCATCATCAGTCATCACCATCAGTCATCATCAGTCATCATCACCATCATCATCATCAGCAGCAGCATCGTCATCACCGTCGCCATCATCCTCATCCTTTATTCCGTCCTCTCGGCTCGCTCATCTCAAAGGGGCTTCTGAGAGAGGCGCCTGTGCCGGTGAACTTGTGGAAGATGGACTTGGCACTGCGGGGCGGCTCAACCGCCCAGTTGCGAGGGGGGCCTTGGCCACTGCCCTCGTTTTGGGCCTCTTCCCGCGTAGCCATGGCGGTGGCCATGGGAAACCAACACTGTTCTCAACAGTTACCAAGAATGGCCGTGAAAGAAAGCCTCTCTCTCCCAAAGCAAACCTTAGCAGCCCTAGCACAGCAGTGGGAGCATTGGGCTACGAACTGCGCAGCTGCGTGCAAATCTGGGACAAGGGCCGTCAAGGCCTTATTGTAGGGAAGAGGATCAGACAGCTGCGGAGAGGGAAAAAAGACCATGCGAACGTCACACCAAAAATCAAGCGCCCCTGAGGCGCTTCAGTGTCTCAGCCAATCCTTTAGCTAGGTGTCTTTAATCCGCTCCCGTGCAGCAGTAGTCGCCCCAGCCAGCAACTCAGGACCAGCTCTTCTGGTTGACCTGCAAACTTGATGGCATCGGGCGAATGCGGCCTCAAGGTCTTAAGATTGTTGATGGGTTAAAAATCGTCAGAGCTGCTGGGCACTGCTTGGCAGCCAGCCCGTCTTGAAATCAAGAGCATGCCGCCGAAAAGAGACACTCTTAGAGTGTGCCTGTCAGCAAGATGCAAGACGATCTGATAGTCTGAACCAGATTTGATAATTTAAGATGCGCCAACCAAGCGCGCAGATTACACATGCACTAAAGAGTAGAGTGGTAAGACCCGTTCACGCTGCAGCACGCGGGCGCAGGACGTGTCCACCCACTCGTTGAAACTCGTCTTGGCAAGGCAAAGGACAAATGCAACCAAACCATCACCTCCCACGCCAAAGGATTCCATGGGGTTTGCAGCAAGCCAGATCCCCCCGGCTGCATGAGCTCCTTTGATGCAGCGTTGAGGATCAAAGCCATGCTGGGCGATGGACTGGAGCTTGTGGGCCAAGGTCGCTTCTTCATCGGCGCGCTTCAGACGCGTTCCATGCCAGACAACATCCTCTCGAAGCCTTGGGCCACTCCCAGAATCCAGCTCCACCTCCAGGTATTCTTGGCCAAGGCTCTTGTTCTCGATGCGCTGGACTACGACCCCTCCCAGAGCCTCACGAAGGTCGACTCCAGGCGGCCTCCGAAGGCGCGAGGCCCCGCCACTCTGAAGATACAGGGAAATGACGGCTTCGGCCTCAGCAGAGTTACTGGGCAGCAAGACAGTACCCGCAACGTCGTCTCCCAGATCAGGGAGCCTCTGAAGAACTCCCTGGATCAGTGGATCACGAATACTTACCCGGCGCGAGCGGGACTGCGAGCGGGGTGACAGCTCAGGAGATAGACTTCGGAATCGAAACTCTGCACCGGAACTCGTGCCTGCACTACTGGAAGGATCCGATGCCATAAGCTGGTAGTGAATGGTGTAGGCTGGGAGGAACTGACTTGGATCCTCCACATCGAACTCAATGGCATCCTTAGGACGATCCATGGCCCCTCCCAGCTTGGATTTCGCGACCTGCGGCCCGCAAAACAACACACACATCGACATCAATCTTGCATGAAATCCTTTTCCCGGCTCATCACCCTGATGGCCTGACAGCTCCAACTGGCGCTCAACCGCTAAACCGCAGTCTGACGCCACACGGAGGGGAGCAGCGGGTCTCGAACGGAAGCCGTGGAAGCAGATTTCATTCAACTGGTTTGCGTCCGATGGCGTGAAGAAAACAACTCCGCAGTCACTCGCGGTGTCCCCTCCGCCATGCAGCTGCAGGAAGGTTCCGAAGGTCTCCGGGTTGACAACTCGCTCAATCCGTTGTATTTTGGCCACGGCACGGGGAATAGCCTCGCAAAAGAGTTGCGCGACTCGCCACTTATCTGAAGCACCAGGGGGCTCCATACCATGCTCCAAAGCATGAATAGCTGTAGAGGTCCGCTCTTGCAATGTCGGAGAGGAGTTGCGGCCCTTGCGCTCGCAGGATGGGCTGCGGAGCCGCCTGGAGATGTGACCGAAGGCCTTTCCTCCTGCAGGGCAAGAAGGCTTCATCTTTGGTGTCCCTACGGCCCTCTATAGACAACTTGACGCTGAACGGCTTAACGCGCTTTGGTGAAACTTTCTCGTATGTGTCGTACGCGCGACTGGAATGGAGTTGGTGCGCGCAGAGCGATCCTTCCGGCGACGATGGCTCGGGATTGGAATCGGAGCTGGCCAAGAGTGATCTCTTGGCGGATGGATGCTTCCGGTGTCCTGCATATTGAGATATGGCTTGGTCAACATTCTTCTGCAATGCGTCGGCAAGTCCTGGATCAGAGCTCTCCCCTGCAAGCTCTTGAGAGTGCGTTGGACGACTCAGGCGCGAGAAGCTTCCACTTCGCTGTCCTCTCGAGAGGGTGCAACTCGGAAGCTTCGCCATTTGAAACAATCGCCTACATGATTACATGGGTTTGTGGTTTGTTTTTACGTGCGGGCCTCCTTCACATGCCAACTTCTTCTGATCAATAAGACAGCAGTGTTGCTACAGGCTACAGTTACAATACTGGCTCATGCTTGCCCCTTCCTCCCCGCAGCTCCTCGCATCGATTCCGTGGCAGCGGTTGGGGACTTTGGAATTTGAAGAGACTTTGTTGCACCCACCCGCTTCGGCGTGGCATGCGAGTGGCATCCGGAACCTGAAAGACAAGGGCGGAGCAGCTGCTGTTGGTTGCTCCAGAGAAGTACAAGGACTACGAATACGGCCTGCGCGTCGCTTCTGCAACTTGATACGCAAGTTTTACCTAGAATGTGTGCACCTGCATGCAGCTGCGCAGCCTTGCGTTGGGGAATCTGGTGCCGATTTTCGGCTGGATGTTGCAAACGTCACACTCCTGGGTGGGGTGGCGCGAGAAGCCTAGATTGATGTCGCTGACACGGCTGCGCCAGGGCACTTGTGATGTGAGCTAGAAGGTGAAGAAGGTGAAGAAGGTGAAGGTGGATCCCAAGCACCTCCAGCCAGGTTGTGTCAACCCTTGACGATAAAAAAGGCAGCCGAGCGGCCCAGGGCCTGATGGGGTTCGGATTGAAGAAGCTCGCGCCCTGGCAGCTTACAAGGCTTCAGCGCATCTTGGGGCCCTTGTGTCTTTGCCTGCGATTTTTTTCATAGAGCGCCTCCACATGGAAACGGGCCTATGGCCTAGCCATAAGCATGCTACAAATAAGGGCAGGTCACATTGTAGTGGTATTGTAGCATCTGCAACTGAACGCTGCAGGGAGCAGCACGGTAACCAGAGCTGCCTGCTGAGACTTTCCTAGCTACCGCTGCGACACGAGCATCTCAAGGCTGCGGCACCCATGTTGATGCATGTCCTCCTCAGTCTGCTATACAGCTGACTTTGCGCCATCTGCTGCCATCGTCCCATTTGATTTCTGGGGGCCCTGTGGCCAAAGGTCCATCCAACATCCCACCTTGCCAAACCCCCCGCAGCTCAGGTTTTCCACCCAGCGGTGTCCAATCCACCCAAAACTGCCGCTGTACTCCAGCAATTCGAAATACCAGAGGCGCACCTTGGATGTTGGTCGAGCGAAGCTCCCACGTCTTGCCGCCTTTGCTGCCGGTGATGACTGCTGTGCCGTCCCGGACAGATATGCTGGCCTTCCCGCCAAGTGATTCAGGAATGGTCCAGGTGCCATTGAAGACCGAACCCTCGCACATCTCGGCCGCAGAGGCACTGGCCGGTAAGGCCATCGAGGTGGAGAGGAGACCACCCCAAAATTCTCGTCGAAGCTGGGGCTTCCTGGAAATCTTGCGGCTCCCCCGGCAGGACATGGCTATCAGAGACGTCCACAGAACTGCTGTCCTGGCTCCACATGGACCATCTCGAGGCTGGGAAGAACTGGGAACGTGAGTCTTCGGAAGCCAAGGCTTTGTCAAAGCCTGGTGGGCCCCTACAAAGACCACATCATTGCCAGCCAGGGCCGAGGTCGGAGCCCAGAGCATGAGGCCTCTGAGGCCCCTGAGGCCAATACAAGCCAAGGAGCCAACAGGGGCCAAACTTGAGCCCTTGCCATAGTCTTTTAATGCTGACTTCCCAGGCTCACAGTTCAGCAGACACCTTGAGGATTAACAAAACTCTGGGTGCTCTGAGGGGCTAGGACGGCTGGTCATTGATGTCCTGACTGTTTACTTGCTGGCCTCCCAACGGACTTCGAGCGCAAAGCTGGCTTGGACTCCATCTCCTCTGCAAGGGGTGATAGCAGCAAGCAGTCGCCATCGAACTTGGGGTGCTTCAGGTTCATGTCTTGTGATCCTTGTGCCGGAAACCATCTCCGCTGAGGATTCGAATCGCATTCACAATTCAAAAGATCTAGATGCTTTACACCCCCCCTTGAATTTTCTGGCCTCTCGTCGCGGCCTGGAAGGGGAGCGACCTCAAATCTGATGTCATGTGCTATATCACAAACAAGCTACCCCGGACTGAAGTGGAAATGATCGCACCGCACAGCACTGCCCTCGCATCTTTTGAACAGGGAGCCCCGGTAATCTTTCCCACATGGGTCTTTCGAGGCCGCTGCTCCAGCGCCGTGCGGGTGCGGGCCTGAGCCATATCAAGCTTGGGACCTGACATCTACGATCTGCTCCACGAGCAATCCAATCCAGGGTGATGGCAGGACTACCAAGGTAACCCTGCAGCTAACAACAAATCCCTTCGGGGCCCTGGCTGGGACGGCTGCACGGGGTCCTGAAGGCATCTGAAGGTCCGAGGTTTGAGGTTCTTGGACAAATTGACTGATTCTGAAAAGGTGCCTAAAGAGGGCACTCATAAGTACTCACCTCGAAAAATGCAGAATTTGGCACAACCCTCACTTGAAGCGGCACAAGCACCTGCAATTGCAGCAGTGCTGCAAACATAGTCGGCAACAACTGGGGCGCCTCTTCCTGGGGCTTCGAAGAGCTCGCTTTGAGGCCTAAGCCAGCGGCAGATGTCGAAAAGATTTGCCAACTAATCTTGAGTCAAGCAGTTCAATACCCTCATCCAGGCATGTTGACCCCAGGCATGTTGAAATCAGGAGTGACGGCTGCGGATGGCGCCTCGAGCCACGTGAATATGCCGCCGTGCCGGTGAAAGCCCCTGCAAAGCTCGCTGTGTCAACAGCTCTTGGCAACTATCGTTCAAACACAGTATAGATAATCCTAGAACAAAGCGGGCAGGGCTTTGCACTCCGAATTGGTTCCTTTTGGGCCCTGTTGACGACTTGGGTTTGTTTCGACCCCCTGTCCAGACTGTCCAGGCTGGATTGAGGGCTCTTTTCGAGCCCTCCAAGGCTTTTGTTCGGATTGAGGAGTTTGGGAAGGGGGATTTGGGGCCGGCAGGAATGCTTGCATTGTGGGTTTGGACGGGTTTCATGTCACGGAAGCAAGCTTGCACGGCTAAAAAAAGGTCGGGGTCGCCGCCCCCATTTTGCAAATGCAATGCTCGCAAGAAGGGTTCGGAAAGGATTCAGAGGATAGAGAGCAAGCTTGCACGACTTAACAAAGAAGGGGGGGTTGGGGGGTGTGCAGCCCATTTGCAAACACATGCTCGCGTGATGGGTTTGAACAGGATTCGTGCAGTACGGGATTGATGCAAGCAGGTACGTTTAACGAAGCGGGAGGTTGAGGAGGCGTTGAAGCAAGCATTGCAGGGCTTAAACCTAGGCCAAGCATTGCACGGCTGAGAACGACGCCCCAAAACAAGCTCGCATGGTGGAACAGGATTCATGTGCTTTGACGCAAGCATTGCACAGCTCAAAAGTGAGGCCTAAAACAAGCTGGACTTCCTTCCTTCTTTGATTACTTCCTTCCTTCCCTCTCTTCCTTCCTTACAGCTTCTCCTAGCCAAAAACGGAAGAAACAGCGATTTCCTCTTGAAGTATGCAGGGTATTTTATTTGATTGCAACTTGTATTCTTCGATGTTGCTCTGTTTTGTTCTGCTTGCGTGTTCGTGCTCGTCGCCCCACTACAGAACACTCGGCAGCATGAAAACAAAATACAATAGTCGTGCAGTGGAGGTCACTTCAGGCACTGGGCCTGATTCGAAGTTGGACTATCCACGGAGCCTCGATTGCTCTCCTGCACATGTCAGGACCAAAAGCGCGTACATCATGCCGACTCCCAAGAGCATGAAGAGCAAAGAGGCATCTGACACACACTCATTATGGCACATTCTGACACACGCTTGGTCTTAGCAAGCTCCTGCACCCCACCGGTGGGAGTGCTAGGAATGGCATCGGAGATGGTCGAACCCTGCCTGAGCTCAAAGAGTCGGAGACCATGGCGACAGAGCTGAGCTGAGCACGCAAAACATGTGAAAACGCGAGCTGCAGAGCTGGAGAATGCGAGAGAACGGAGACGACCTTTTTCAAACCGGCGGTCCGACCAGCATGGTTTCGGCACTCTTGGCACCGTCGAGTGGAAAACCGCGAAAACTGTGTGATTTGAGCGTCCTCCCTGCTTGGCAGGCAGGCAAGCTCTGCTCATTGAAGGCCCCTACACTGCCCCGAACCACCTCTCTTGCTCAGGCATTGAGCGTTTGCAGCCTAGGCTTCGAGATCTTGACCGGCCAGGCGCATGTCACAGCGAAAGGCCCGTCTATACCTTCATACCCGTCAGTACGGTCCACAAAAGATGACAGTTTTTTAGACCGCAGTATGCCAGTAGGAGGCCTTTTCGAGCCCGGAACAAACAGGGGGGGTGGCAAAGGGTGGCGATTGGTGATTTGGAGCTGTCGCCTTTTTCAGGGCTACATACTAGGATCATCCAGAACGAGGCTTGAGGGCCCACCATGCCACAAGAACATTGCAGCGTGGTGGGGGGCGTGAGGGGGCGGAGGCAACTTAGGGGAAGCGATATCGCCGCCGAGGAGCTGCTTCTGGAACCTCGCGCGCTCGACATGTTGCGTGCTCAGGATCTCAAAAGGGTTTAGGTTTAAGGTTTGGGGTTTAGGTCTTCCCTGGATCTGCACAGAGGTGCCAAGACGCTGTGCTTCCGAAAGCCAAATCGCGTGGAAGCCGATGGGCACCCGCCGCGGAACCGAGTATTCAACCACGGGCGTCGATGAGAATGTCTTGGCCTCCGATCCCACACTCTCCTCACCTCACCTTTTCACAGCCTATCTTTGGGATGTTCCCCTTATACCAGCAGCCCTTAATTCTAGTACTTGTACCCCCTATGATAATCCCTATTAAGGACTGTTAGTATAAGGGGGAATAATCCAACCAACTATAGTTAAAATCACCGCAATGTTCCAGGAGCTGTTCCAAGGCAAGCTGCATCATACACTGTGAAGGTCGACTCCTGGGTCTTCTCATTGAACAGCAGCGCCACCATGTAGCCATCATCCTGCAGCGCACAGGTGCTGACAAAGCCAGCGGTGCAGCCACGTTGAACTGCGCATGACACAGCACACCTAGCAACACCTCTTCGATCCGAGAATACGCAAAAGACCAGGTCCTCCTCGCCCGTGCCATTGCGGGGTGCAAATATGGGCTCGCCTCCAATAACATCGTCAGGATAGTGAATGACCTCGATTCGTGGCTCCAGACACAGACGCTGTTGATGCCAGTGTCCTATCATCGCTTTTCACACGCGCATGACTTTTAGGACCGAGGTCGTCCTCCAGCAACTGGGACTGCTCCTCTACCCCTTCTGTGACAGGGAAGATGCTGGCAAGACACACCATCCAGCTTGCATTCTTCAAAGTCCCATTTCAGCATGCCGCGGAAGTTGAAGTCGCCTAAGAGCAGGATTTCTCTGGCTGCGCGGGCTGCATTGAAGGAAGACTGAGGAAGAACCGCATTGGCAACGCCACAGCCTGTGCCCGAAGATAGCCAAGAGTCATCCTGGAACCTGAAGCCCGGAGTAGCCATGACGCACCTCACCGAACACCGTATCAAGAATAGCACGAGACTGCCTGGAGTGCTTTTGGATTGACAGGCTTGGCAAGGGATTCTGCACGCAATTGAACAAATTGAGCTTCCATGCAGCGAAGCCCAGGAAGCAGGCCCGCTTGCCGATGCGGTCGTCTCGTATGCGAGGGAACTCTGTCGTGTACTGGTCCGCCCCAGCCACCTTCTCAATCTGTACCTTACTCAAACAGGGTATGTCATCTTGGTGAGTAGCTGCCACTGTCTTCAGGGAACCGTCTCAGCTAAGGGGCAGCCTTGGAGGCAAGATCGATCACAACTCGATGCATGCGTCCAAGCCCAATACCTCCTAGGATGCCATCATTGGCGCCTTCCTCCAGGGCCCGAAGGGTCTGCTTAGACTCGATCTGATTGCTATGCCCTGTGCTGCACTCCGTGTGTTCACAGCTGGAAGGAACAAAAATCCTCGTAGTACTCAACAGGCGACCACAAAACGATCTTGCCGCTCTCATCGTAGGCATAGCAGGTGTGCACAATCCTCAGGCTGAGATTCAATCTGTCCACAGTGGACTTGGGAGGTCCGAACGTAGGGGTACCTTACTTCGAATTCCTTACCATAAGGGAATCCTACTATTTGGGGACTACACTAGGGGTCCCTTGCTTTCGTAAACCCCCCACTTTGGAGTCGCGGAAGCAATGAATGCCGAGGGTCTCGGCTGCCTCATTGGCCTCAATCCAAATCATGCTTTCCTTGGATGCCCATCGATACTAGGGGTACCATATTGGGGTCCTTATTCTAAGGGACTCCTACTATTTGGGGGTATATTAACAGGGGCCCCTTATTCCCGCAAACCCCCCAAATCAAAATAGTGGTGATGGAACCCAGGCCGAGCAACGGAAGACAGCTTCTCATTTCGCGGGTGAATGCCAAAGCGCAGTTTCCTGCCCTGACCGAGTGCTTCAGGGACGTTCATGTGTAAACTTTTCCAGCGCGCGTCAGTTCCGAAAGTCACAGCTGCACCCGACGATCGGAAGCTCTGGACGACCCGATGTTCCTAAATCCACAAGCGGGTCAGGAATCGCAAAAGAAGAAAAACAGAGCTTTGAGGGATTTTAACTTCACATCCTGGCAGACCCAGTTTATCTAGGCAACGGAACAAGAAATCCCAAGTTGGGTTTTCTAATTTAGCTTTGCGTCGGAACAAGCACAAGCAAGAAACTCACGGGGTGTGAGTTCCTCATTTCTCCCTGTTTCAGAAGCCCCCCGGAAAACCTCTTCCGTTTGTAAGACCCAGAGAAGCCCAAAGACCCCCCTGAGAGCGAACCGATGGAGATTCTAGAGACCCCCCAGCAGCAAGCCGTCGATGGCTGACCGTATCGAGTGAGGCGCAGCCTCGACACGACAAGAAAACCAAGATACTAAGATGCTGTAACAAAATCAGACTGTCCTGACCAAAGCGATTGCTTCAAACACACCCACTCCAGGTGCTTTTCAAATCAGAAACAGCAGTAACAGTGCAGGCCCCAAAGGGACTTCATTGTTTTGGCGCTCCTATGAACGAGGAACGTGCTGCCTAATGCTGTCACTGCCGCAACAGACCTTCCGCGGCCAAGGACGGTCAAGCGTCGTGAACTGTTGCCGATTTCCTCCCTGTGCTGCTGTTCGCCGCGACTCGTGGCTCATTCAGGCGGATTGGGGGCAGGGGGCGGGGGTTCTCTTCAGCGGTCCCTTCTGTTGCCTACATGACCCTTCAACATTCATACCTTCAGGCCCTCAGGCATGCTTTGTTATTTGCAACTCAAGCATCTTGAGCTGTCAGACTTTGGTGGTCACTTGTTGCAAGCCCCTTGCCGGTTACAGCAACTGACATTCTGGTGGTTTTACGAAAACAAGGGCCCCTTATAATAGACCCCCCAAATAATAGTAGGATTCCCTTAAACACAAGGGATCCCAATAATTAAGGCATATCCAGCCTGGTCGAAGTTCCAGAGCGGCTGCCCTTTCACGACCCCGTCCGGTGTGAAACGGGTGGAGCCATCCACGAGGACCATGTAGTTCTCCGTGATGAACATGTCATGGTGGAATCCCTGCACTTTTATATCCACGTCCAGTCTGTCCACCAACCTACCTTGCAGGTTTACAGCAAACATTCCTGAAGTGAAGCAGCTCCATTGGCCGTGATTTTCATGACTCTCGTTGATGATCGACACCTGTTGCTAGACCCTGCTAGACGAACAGACTGACAGCCGAGGGTGCCGTTGAATACGCGGCCCGCGTAGAAGTTGTTCGCTGCCAGCTTGCGCCCGTGAAAGAAGGTCTCCCCCGTCCGGAAGTCAAACTTGGGGTGTGCCTGAGTCCCATCGCATCCTAAACAAGGCCCTCGTCTGTTTGCATAAGCTTTAGGTGTCTGAGTCGTTTACCACCTGTGGTAGAACCCTTTCACAAGGACGAGCCCATCCCTAGACTGGCAATCCTCGATTTGAGATCTCTCAACTCTCCTGAACATCCCGGAACCCGAGACTCCACCGTCAGTGGCAGAATTGGGACCATGGCATGACACCAACAGGTGGAGCCCAAGTTACCGAGATGGATTCGTGAAGTGTTCCACCCAAAGTATCGAAACCCAGGCTCCTTGGAACGCCGGCCTCAGGGATGCTGAGGCATGCTCAAGCTGAAGAAAGCCCTACAAAGCCCTCATTTCTCAGCAACAGCTCACCGCAAATCCCGCCTGATCTAATGCGAACTGGAACGGCGCGCCACCCTCATTCAGCGCCCAAAGCTTTCCTTCTGGCGTGTATCCTGCCCAATAGACAAGACTACCTCTTCGAGAACGGAATTCATGATCAAACCTTGCGGCAGCATTTAACCCTGTGTCCTATGGCCGTGTTCGCCGTTGATGCATTGAAGCTTGCATCCAAGTTGGCCAATTTCGTCTTTTTGGGAACCTAGGGCTTCTACCGCTTCAGCGGCTTCGGATTCGGATCGAGTCCGCAAACATGTTCAAGCACGCTTCCAGAACCTTAGAGCTTGCAGAAAGCCAAGGTGCTACTGTCATGATCTTGATGAGACCCGACAAGCCATGGAATTCTCCGATACGGGTGAACCATTCCTTGCCGTACTCTTTCTCGAAAAGATATCGCGGAGTCTCCATGAACTTGCAGCTGTATGTAGCCTGCGACTCGGCATATTACATTCTTATTATTATTATGATTACTATTTTTGTTACGATTATTCGTATTAATTATTGTGAATTATCATTATGATGTTATGCATATAATATATATATATATATATATATACTGCATAATGTGTACAACATATATATATATAATACACATATATATATATATATATATATTCTACCATATCCGCCGACCCCTGCTTTAGCGGGGGGAGGCGTCAGTGAAGACCCATTTGCCCTCATGCCCAAACCCCCCCGCCCTCACCCCCTCGACCTCACCCTTACCCTCTTAGGGGCTCCAGCGCATGCCCCCCCACCTCCCCCCTAACCTTTTACTTGGAAATGAAGTGTTTTAGGGGCTCCAGTGCATGCCCGGACCCCCCCGCCCCCGCCTCCCCCCTTCTCACCCCTTCCCCTCTGCCCCCAACCTTGGCCCCCACCACCCCCCCCACCCCCCCCGCCTTCACCCCTTACCCCCCACCTCACCCCTACCCCTGACCTTTTACTTGGAAATGAAGTGTGTCTTAGTTGGAAATGAAGTGTTTGAGGGGCTCCAGTGCATGCCCGGACCCCCCCCGCCCCCCCCCGTCCCCCCCCGCCCCCCCCCGCCCACCCCGCCACTGCCCCCCCACCCCTTCACCTCTCCCCCCAACCTTTGCCCCCCGACCCCCCGCCCTTCAGCCCTTACCCCCACCTCACCCCGACCCCTGACCTTTTACTTGGAAATGAAGTGTGTCAGGACATTTGCAAGTAAAAGGCAAGGGGTAGGGGTGAGGTGGGGGGTAGTGCCCTAAACCCCTGACACACTTCATTTCCAAGTAAAAGGTCAGGGGTAGGGGTGAGGTGGGGTAAGGGGTGAGGGCGGGGGGGGGTGGGGGGGGCGGGGGCCAAGGTTGGGGGCAGAGGCGAAGAAGGGGTGAGAAGGGGGGGGGAGTGGGTGGGTGGGGGGGGGGGGGGCGGGGGGCGGCGGGGGGGGCGGGGGGGGGTCGGGCATGCACTGGAGCCCCTCAAACACGCAAAAGGCAAGTGAGGTGGGGGGTAGGGGTCCGGGCATGCCCTAAACCCCTGACACACTTCATTTCCAAGTAAAAGGTCAGGGGTAGGGGTGAGGTGGGGGGTAAGGGGTGAGGGCGGGGGGGTGGGGGCCAAGGTTGGGCCTGCCCCCCCCCCCCCCCGCTGCGAACCCTGCCCACCCTGCCGCGCCCGGCCTTCACCCCTTCACCTCTGCCCCCAACCCCCCCCCCGCCATCACCGCTTACCCCCCACCTCACCCCCGTTCGGCTCTCCTGGTTAAGGGGGTTGAGGGTTTAGTAGTTTGGGGTTTAAGGGTTCAGGGTTTCGAGTTTAAGGTGTGAGGTTTAGGGTTTAAGGTTGCGCGCCAACTCCCTGCGCGTGAAGACTCAATGTTTCGCCCCCCCCTGAACTCTAGAACCTATGGATATATGTAAGCGCAATGTAGGGGGTGTTTGTGTAAACCCTAGGGCCTCCTGTCGGGGTCGGCGGCATTGGCGGTAGCCATTAAATAAATAAATAAATATAAATATATATATATATATATATTATGTATAGTGGCAACCAGGACCAGCGTGTTGGATTTCGATGATAAGATCATGCTCAGTCAAAGTCGTCAAGTATCCAGGCTCTCTTGCCTTCCCCTCGGAGATGCGAACCTGCACGGACTCAAGCCGCATCGGCCAACGCATCTGAATGTTTTAAAAGGTGTGCGTGGGTGCTTTCTTACTGCATTGTTCAGCCAGGTTTCTGCGTGAACCATTCCATCCTCAGCATGGGACGGGTAGAAGATGGTAGACGTAAGTGCGCATGTCAATTTCACAGAAGCAGCCGTGACAGAAGCGTCTCTTTCTGAGGGCTTGTCTCCATCAAACGCATGGGTGCGCTTTGTCGGCGGCCAGTACTGCGCATTGGGGCCAACCCGCATGTAAGCACCGACCAAGTCCTTTGCTCCCAAGAAAAGAACAGAGAGAGTAGAAATGCGAACAGCGCAGGAGCAGCCGAGGATCTTGAGGGGGAGTCCCTGACTTCACGGTCAGCGAAAGAGGCTCGGATTCAGAAACAGGAACCAGCGCCCCGCCAAGCCTCAGGGGCATGCAGCAGGCAGGAGTATATCGAGAGTGTGATGTTTTTCTTCAACCTGTCGACTTTGTTGTGCAGGCTTCTGCCATAGAATCAGTGTCGTAGTGCATGTTTCTGATAATACATGATAATACCCAATGGAATGAGAGGTTTTGTGACTTATCAACGCACCCACCCTCGCGGGCCACGCTGGTGAACACTGCCAATCATCTAAGCAAGAGCTACTCAGTCGGACATGTCTGGTGACTCACCTCCAGTACTTAACCAATCGAGTTGCGAGTCCGCCCATTTCAGCGAGCTGGGCACATCCTGGAACAGGTCCAGCAGGCCGTCAAAGCATGAAGTGAGCGCTCCTGAGCATCAACAAATCAATCCTTTAGCCTCCGTGTAGCTTTGGCTTGCTAAAAATGAGTAGGTTGTGCAGCTGCAGCGCGCCGCGCCGCAAGCATAGCTCACGCCCGAAAGTTTCCAGCTCCAGATGGCTCGAGCAGAACTCATGAAAAGGAATCAAGCGAGTCGTGTCCAGGAATCAACCAGCTATCCGACAAGTCAGAACTCGCATCCAACGGGCGACCCGCGGCCCTCCTCTGTCAAGTTGACTCTTTGACAATATGAAACCACCGTCACATATACCGATACCAGTCAAACTTTGGTACGTGTGCACGACGCAAGTGCAAGTCGGGTGAGCAGCTTGGGCAGGGGCAAGCTGTCCGAAAGCCTATCGCTGTTAATTGAGCAGGAGATGTCTGGCGGCGCCCGGCCTCAATGCTCCACTTGCTTGCCACTCTCTCTCTCTCTCTCTCTCTCTCTCTCTCTCTCTCTCTCTCTCTCTCTCTCTCTCTAGCTTGCCACCTGCATACTGCATTCACGGCTGTATGGCTCGAAGAATCATGCTTTGATGGAATGAGTACCGGCTACAGGCATCGCACTCTCGGATCCCGCCTCGAATAGGAAGGATTGCCTTCCAGAAACTTTCGATCTTTCAAGAAGCTCTACCGGTGTCCTTCCGACTTCCTGTGACGGGAGTTCTCAGCTGCCATTGTCATGAGTACAATTGCGAATGCCTGTTTCATGCACACGCCGCCCAAAACATCACAATGCGTCGCGGCAGCGTCCGCGCGGGCGGGTTGTGCTGCAATAATGGGGTATGGTTTTGCCTTGCAACTTTAAATTTTCGGTCAACACCAAGGGACTTCAGCAAACGACAAAATACGCTTTCAATGGCTTTCAATAAACAAGGTTGGGCGCTCGGCTCTTCCGCTCACTGGCCCGGCAGTGTTGCGCACTTAGCTTAACACATGGGGCCCACCGTGAGCCGCACTGAGCAGAATGGACATCTACCAAAGAATGTGTCGGGTGATGGACAGCACACAGCGAGACACTCAAATATACTCTGCACTTCCCTCTGTACCTGGAAGCTTATTGAGGCGAACCGCATCATTGCTGGGAGGTCCCCTATCTTCTCACCAGGGTAACACCACCCCAGCATCGTTGCCTCTTCGCTGCTGTGCCCATGCAGTACAATGGGCTCACTCCGATTCGCTCCGTGAACATGCTCCAGTGCTGCTTGTGATCGTCTCCCACATAGTTAGTAACAGTAACAATTGTGGTGGACTGATGCTCTCGAACATGAGAGCCATCGCCCAGAAGGATGTCAGCTTTGACTATACTTCCTTCTGTCACGCTTTGCAGGAAGCTGGGGTCTGCCTGACTTGCTATCTCCTCCACCATGACGCTCTCGGCCCGAACTACTCCCAGGCCCTGCTGTAGGGATGGTCAGTTCATGTCAGTTATGAGCTTGGGGCCTAAAACCGAACACTTCATCCAGTTCCTCCGAAGACAGCTAGCAGCTCCATACCTAACCGATGGAATTTCCCAGAATTTCAGCTTGTCGCCGCTTGGTGTTGCAATCGGTCAACGTTCCTCGCTCCGCCGAGTGGAGGTTGCAGGACATGTCGGGGTTTTACAACATTAGGGGAGAACCCCCCCCCCCCCCATTTGCGGTCTTACTGCAAAAGTGTAAGCGGATGTACACCCCCCCTGCCAAGGCAAACCTCAAAAAAACCAGGCAGGGCTGCGTACAGAACTATTCTAGAACCAAAGAAAGATGAACCGAAAAGCACAACAACTGGTGTTGCACAAAAAAGTATCCCACTGCGCAGCCATGCCCTGCCTCACCACTGGAGCCCAAGCCTGGTCAGCATGGGAGGTATACTCGAGCCCAGAGACTCTGGGCTTCGGCTGGGAAACATGGCTTGTCATGGCTTGACTTACGGCATCCAGTAGCTCCGAAGCACTTTCGACACGGCCTGACGTCTCGCTGGCCGTCCTGGCAGGAGTTCACTCGAACGTTTTTTTTCCCTCCTTCCACTTGGTCGAACCTGGCACGCCTCAACGCATGGAGCTAGCGCACCAAGTCACTCCGATCCGAGCTAATGCCCATGAATTCACCTTATGGTCCTGCTTGCGCGGGGAATGCTCCCTGGCACCACGGTGGACGCATCCTCCTGCTCGGCACCACATTCTTCACAACAACACATGACATGATGTGCTCGCGTTCAGAAACTATGAGACACTGCTGGCAGTCGGCTGCAAGGACCGTTGGGTGCCCCAAAACGAGGTTGATGGGCAGCCACACATCGCGATCCGAACTGGCGAGCCCGGGCTACTCTCGAGCGCACGCCCGGCCAACCAACGACGTCAGGGCTTCTGAGGTCTTGTGGTGGACAGAAACCGAGGCTTCTGCGTTGAATCTCAAAGTGGACGGAGACGGATTGATTCATACGGGATTTTGGTTCTGTTGGTGGCCAAGACCAAAGATGCAAGCCGAGCACTTGAACCTAAAATCGACGGCCCCATATCTTTCAGCGTCCAGGTTCAAGGTTCGACTAGCATCCCTTCCAGTTCTTGCTCGAGTAAGCCGGAAGAGCACAACGAGCTGGCCGTTGTGCTGGAGTGGGGGTCTTGAAAGGGCGTAGTCTCATGCTGGGCGTCGAAACCGGCCCTTATGGAACAGGAACCCCCATTAGGTCCGAAGCCTCCACCCCGAAGCGAAGGGTTCATGGATCCTGACCCTAAACCCTAAACCCTAAATCCTAAACCCGCCCCTTTAGTAAGGGAGCACCGGAGAGCCACCTCCGGCAGTTCCTGCGATAGCAACCTCTCCGAGCGAGAGAAGAACCTCCAAGATGCAGACACCGTGTTGAGTTCTTCTATCGTTTAGGAGGCAGGGTTTAGGGTTTGGGGTTTAGGGTTTAGGGTTTCACAAGGTTCACAAGGGGAAATGTGACCTGGCCACTACTTGGTCTTCAACTGCAGTCTGCACTCGACCCCCTCGAACTGCGCGACGCTGAGCAAAGAGCCGCCGCGCCACATCTTCCACTGTGTGCTGCATGACCTTCTGCAGCATGTCTGCCTGCACAGCCCGGAACTCATCTCATACTCATCTCGCCCAAACTCATCTCCAACAGGGTTGCAGAACTGCCTTGTCTTTCGCACGGCACGATGTGGGACTTGAGGGGCTTGTTGGAGCGCCTCCAGGCTGAAATATAATTGGCTCTGCAGCATCTGCAGGCACAGCCCAAAGCTCCATGGGACTCAGGGATATAAAAAAGCTGGGGAGTTGCTGAGGCCTTCGTGAGGGCTCAGGCTGCCGGTCATCGGTTTTCGCGCTTCTGCCCGCCTGGTCACTCTGCTGTCGATGCCCCCGTGCTGCAGAGGCCTTTAGTAGTTTTCCTGTGGCCTGGGAATAGACTGAATAGACCCGAACACCCCATGCAGCTCCCTACGAACGACTTCGTTGTGGCCTGGAGGAGGTGAGGATCACCGGCGCTGGGTTGGGAAACTGCCGCGTCTCCTGTCAGGAAGACCCACGCTAAATAAACGTCAAAGTCAGGGTTTGAGATTCCAGCTGAGGGTTGTCGGGCTTCCAGGCTCGTAGCTAACAAGAGGAGGCGGCTATTTGCATGAAGCAGGCTTTTGAAACTAGATCCGTGTCGTTGCGAAGATGCAACGAGTACAGGCGAGCGTCCTTGGGAGGCTGCTGGCCCTCCCGCAGGGTGGTCCAGTCTTGGTGTCAAAACTATCCAATGAATGCTCCTGACTGTAAAGTGGGTGAAATCTGGTGAACGCCCGGAAGGGCTTTCTGCAGCTGAGGGCTAATCCGAGAACTCTTCTGGAGCGATGGGGCGTGCTGCCGTCTGCATAACCTGGCGGGCGTTCGTACTTGCTGCTGCGCTAATCTTGGGGGGCTTGGCGCAAAAAGCTACTCTTGGAGGATCTGCGACATGTTCCTGTTCCGGGTCTAAATCGAACTCACGGTCGGTTACTTTCTGGGGCAAGAAGCAGGATGTCTACATCGGAGGGTTTTATGCAAGATTCCCATGCCCAGCTGTACTACAGCAGCAACTGCACTGTCTGAAACATCGCAGGAGAGACCAAAACGATTACTCGCCGGCAGCATTGCTTGGGCTGTTGCCTGCCACCAGCTTACAAAACTCGAAGCTTCACTGTGAGATGTGTCATTGTAAGGGTTTTTTTCCGAATTGCCATAAGGTGCTATTCTGGGGTGCTGGAAGTAGAGGATCCCTGAAAAAGAAAGAAACCCCAGACCAAAGGATCAAAGGCAGAGCGCCCACGAACTCACAGGGTCATGGGACTGCCCCGATGGAGCATTCTCTACTTTCATAGGAATCTGGCCTAACGGATAAGACGTCGTGCAGGCATGGACGGACTAGAATGATACATCTTCTACATATCCGGAATATGATACTCCCAACAGATTTAGATTGGTGTTTCTAGTGTTCCATGTCTAGACAAATTCCAGGAGATACACTTTCCGATAAAAACCGACATGGAGCGCGGAAAGACACAAACCCCGCAACACAACGGAAAAACACAGGACGAATGTCATACGACACCTCATGTGCCATACAGCGAGATGTTACCTGGAAAACCTTGCAGCGCATATCCACCTGCCAGAAACGGTCTCGACATACGACGACGAACTGGAGTGACACTACGGCAATCACTTCGCAGCTGCAGGCGCCGTTGCCGCTCCTGGAAAACTCTCGCCGTCGAGCCCACTTTCGTGCATCCGTTATCCATGATCAACGGTCAACGGGTCGCGTTTGCATGCCATTCTAAGCCCGAGCCCCGATCGCGATAATATTCTTCGACGTGGTCCATGTCGGTGCCTTTCGAGTAGGATGACACTCACTTTGTACAGTGCTTTAACGGCAGACACAGCATCGCTGTGGCCCATCCCTTTGATCGCCTACCTCCAGAAAAACACAGATCAACAAACTCCGGAGTGTCCTCATCCACGCTGAGAGGCTACTGTCGACACTTTAGGTTATGTGGCAGTGGAAGAGTGGTAGGTTGCGGAATTGAGTGCTTGCACTCAATGCAGGATCGTTCTTGCAAGAACTACTTCGGAAACAAACATCCCTTATGATGGTATACGTGACTCAGCGACACCGCAGCAACATGATCTGAGGAAATGGAGTACTCTTTCCCGGACACCTAGAGGTTTGCTTGCTGTATACTGGGAACTCACAGTAGATACAGTAGACAGGAGTGTACACACTAAGAACGTGAAGTCCTCCACTGAAAGAGGGCGGGGCTACTTCTCCTCCAAAAACAATTCGAGAACCGGGTCCTACTCCAGGCCTCCGCGCAGTTTGCAGCGGCGCAAAGCTCTCCTTGCTCATCGTTTCATAGGCGGTTGGGGATTCAGCGGGGATGTTTAGGAGTCCAAGTTGCCCTTTGGGTGTAGGGCGGATGGCTGTGCAGATCAAGCAGGCATCAGCCACACTCTTTGCGCCGGCGCATAGCACAAGCATACATCGTGACGCTTGAGCTGTGGATCCCAGACATACAATGACATACAAACACAGCACCGTGCTCGTGCTGAGTCACCATCCTAGGTCCGAGGTGTTGATGTTACGATGTCCTCCGGGGCCAAGGATCCAGGTCTCAAGGCCCTGGCCACCCGAATTGACTCAAGAATCATTGATCGTTGGTGAATCGATTCCACGATGGTGGAATCATCGCATTGGCATTTTTTCGCTACAAGGCGTAGTGGCAGCTTTCTCACCTAGACCTCTGAAGAAGAGTGCTACATGAGTGCTACACAGAATCTGCGACTGCGTGCCACAACGCCGGAGCATCAGCTCCGGCCCCTGTTACAGGGTTGCAGACAGAGCGAGCCTACACACAGCGCAATATGGAGGCATCTCGGACGGGCCAAGAAACATCACAAGCACACTGGCGCGTTCATCTTGCTTTTGAATGATGGAGTCATTGAGTCATTGAGTCACTTAGAGCCGCCGCGCACTGCATGTCGACAGTTGATGAAAAACTGGTGCTCTCAGGACGGCACTCAGAAGTTGCCGGAGACTTGGCAAAAAAGGGGCAGCAACAAAAGCTGTGTTGTGTTGCAGAAAATGCTGATTCTCAAGAACATCTTCCTGACAGGATTGCATCCATGCTCGCTCTACCGGCGCTTTGCTCGTTGGCGGTGGGACCGCACTTTGCAACGAGGCAACAAACAACTGAGGAGACTCGTGCCGTTGAACCGCTGGGCCCAATGAAAAAACAAGCTCTCGCCTCGAGATGGCAAGGCTGAGCTTGCCCTTCCAAGATGCTTTAGAATGAAGAATTCCAGGCATGGGACTAAGAACAAATCACTTCTGCAGCGTTGGCTTCCTTAAGCTTTGCCGCTCTGTGGCATTTTCTAATACTGCTTGTTGTTCATCAGGTCAAGACTCAGCAGGGCCCATCTCGACACTTCACCAATCTCTCAGAGCCGAGGTCCAAACCTCCTGCGTGCGCTCAAGATGCTCAAAGAAGCGTGTGGCAGTGCTTTGTGAATTCCAGAAGTCGTGAGTCAGGCGCGGAGCTGAGACCCTGAACCGATTGACTCGTTGTTGGTGAGGTGGAGATCTGCGAATTACTTTGCTCATCTTTGCGCTACAGTCTTGTTGCAAGATTTTTGGGTTGTTGGCGTACCATACTGCGTGCCAAGCGGTACACCCAAAATTTGCTTGTCAGCAGAATAACAACATATAACAACAAGAACAGAAAGTAAAAGTGACAGAAGCCTAAAGAAATCACCAAGTTAAGCCCTCAAAACCCCCCCAAACCCCCCCAACCCCCCCCAACCCCCCCCCCCCAACCCCCCCCCAACCCCCCCCAACCCCCCCCAACCCCCCCCCCACCCCCCCCCACCCCCCCCCAACCCCCCCCAACCCCCCCCCAACCCCCCCCCAACCCCCCCCAACCCCCCCCTCCCCCCGCCCGGAGCCCCAAGTGCACCTCATCCTTCGTTGGCGCTTGCCTGAAACCGCTGGAAGTGCAGAGCCGACTCGGACGATGGCCAATTCGTTCGAGCCCTGGCACAAAGGTGTCGTGACAATCTAGGACCTAAAGTTCAAGGGTCCAGATCGCGTCCTGGGGGGGGTAATGGGGGTGCTGGGGGGAGGGGGGGGGGTACTAGAGCTCTTTGTGATTCTTAAGGACACAATGCTCCAGTGTCTTGCCACTTCTATCAGGCGTTCGGCGCTGCCAAAGAAGCCAGGCTGCTCGAACTCTTCCAGGGAAATTCGCAAAGGCGGTCTCCTGAGTGTGGCTGTTTGAAAGCTAAGACGAGACTCATGCGCCTGTCTCCGGTGTATTCTTAAAGAATGTCCGAAGATGCCCCTAGACCAAAGAGTAAGGCAGGCACGGGGTGTTGTCCAGCAAAACCAAGCTTTTGTAACGTGGATTTCCCTTCCTCATCCTTAGACTTGTTGAGTGATTCCACTGTCGCGACACAAGGTTCTTCTCACAGAAAGCAAAACTCGAACTTGGCCACGCGCTGTTCATCCCAGTGCTTTGCGAACTCCAATGTCGACGCAGAGCTACTGGCATATAACCTCAAAGAGACTCTGCACAGAACATGATGGCACACTCGCACATTCAAGCAGTCAATACAAAGTCCTGACAAAATGTGGAGACAGTAGAGGGAGAGGCAAAATGAAAGCTTCTCGCGGCTTCAACCAGCAACAGCAGCAACAAAAGCATCATCATCCTCGTACTCATCCTCATCACCATCAACAGCGTCGTCGCCGGCATCGGCTCATTCTAGCAAGGCCGCTCACAGCTTCAAAGCAGAACAGGCTAAACTGCATCCAAGGAACGAGGAGCAAACCACTCGTCTGGATTCTACTGACCGGTGCTGCCCACGCGATTGTGTCGCAACTTCTGGAACCCACAGGCACAGGGCGTGAATATCGAAGTCTGCACCTTTCGCATACGTGTTTCATCTGTTCAAATCATTCTCAACATTGGGGTTCAGCTTCTGGGAGTTTCGGGCTCTTCTTACAGGCCGGGTGCAGCATGTGCTGCAGACAGCTAGGCATGCACGAACGAAGCTAGCACTCGCAAAGGCCTTCCAGCAGTGCTAGCATTCTTCGCACCTGGCAGCAATGAGTGCAATTTCAGCTCGGGACGCAGATGATTGGGACACCATTTGAAACTAGCAGACCACCGCCGTGTCAAATAGGGGCTGGGCCCGATCTGGCTTTTGAGCAGCGTCACAGATTTTCACGTTCTGACCTCAGGCGTCAGGCAGCTCAGCGCGATCTCAAGAATCTCGAGGCCAGGGGTTGATGGCATGATTCGCGAGGTTGCATGAAAAGACATCAACCGTGCATTTGCAGCATGACAAGTTTGAGGAAGCTGCGGTTTCGGACAGCTAGTTCGAAGATCTCTTCCTTCAGCCTCTCCACATGCCTCGGCTGCACCCAAGCCGAGCTTGAATGTGTTGGAGAGTTCGGTGAAAGCTTCAAATCGCAACCAAGGTGCTTGGTGGCCTTCAGCTTAGTCCAAGCATCTGCATGGATGACTTCGTTCTCAATACCGTGTTTCAACACCTGCTGAAAGCCAGTGTGCGCATCGCGAACATGGCTTCCATCGATGCTAACCTCAGGACACGGGCACGGTGGCTCTGTCCCACCCCGGCGTGCCAGAAAGAGCTGACTGTAAGATACCGCAAGCCCAAGACAGCCAAGACACCGCATTGCCTGCTCGCCCGAAGAACTCCTCTTCGAAATCGTCACAGATGGATGTCTTGCCGGATGCTGGAGGCCCGAATAGCCACAGAGCCTCGGAAACATTGTCTGACATCTCAAAGACTCAGCCCCTGTCCCAGCTTAAGTCATCCGAATTCTGTTAGATAGCCCAAGGCTGGCCCTTGCTTACACGTAAATGCTCGCCGGAGAGCTGTTGGACTTTGCCCTTCCGGTATCCGCTCAACCTGGCTCAAGCCAACCAAATCGAAAATGCGCCGCCGCCTCAGCAAGGTGTACTTGAAAACTGCTTCAGTTGTTTCGGGGGGGGGGGGGGGGGGCGGGGCTTTGCGAACTCAATCTCACCTGCAAGTCATCTGCACACAGCCTTTTGCTCGACCACTCCCCTCCTCCCCTTGTTCCCTGTCCAGGAGACTCTTCCTCGGTGAATGGCTGTGTCAATTGCTCTTCCAAGTCCTGCGGTATCTGACCTGCGCACACGATGCCAGCCTAGCCCTAGACCACAGCCAACTGTATGAGAATGGATGCAACGCAGGAGGTGACATCCACTCATACAACAAGTCCCAACCTCGCACCACATGCGAACGCATCCGCTTGGAACCCTGGGAATCGTCGTCCACAGGCCGGTTGCGGTCCGCATTTCCAGGCGCCATGGGCATGTACTGCAGGCTTCCCATACCAAGGGTTCAGCTGTCAAAGTAGTACAATATAGGTTTGTGTATGAATACCGAATACCGCAGGATGCCAACCGGAGTCTTAGAGTGCTAATAAGAGGCAACGGCTACAAGTAGTGCTTTGATAGGTTGTGGAGGTATCGGTAGACTGAGCTGCAGTACGGCTGCTAGCTTGCAACATTGTGCTCTGAGCTTGGTCTCTACCGAACGTTACAGGAAGAGCTTCCTCAAGAGAGAAGAGCCCACATGCGGCGGCAGAAGAATAATGATCCCAGATTCCCTTCAGTTACTCGAGCTCGAGAACACTGTGCAAGAAGTGCAAACGCAATGAGACCACGCAGCAGACGAAACACTCGAGCAACGTCTGGTTCTTTTGCCGGACGATGATAAAATCATGAAGGGTCATTAACCTAGCATCCCATGCAGGGCATGTGCGTCACCGGAGTAGAGATCAGTGGGCAAAACGACAAGTTCAACTCGGAGCAGGAACAGTCACCTCGCACCAGTGGCTGAGGCTGATGCGACTGAATCAGATCGTACGTTGGACCTGTGCACACTTCCGTCCATTCGTGTCGCTGTTCGCTTGTCAGCAGAGCTCAGACAAACTAGCCGGCACCTGGACTATGAGCGGCGACAGCGCGGGCAGCTTACTCAGCCATAACACAGCTCTTGCTTGTGCTGAAGACTCACTCCTGCTTTAGGTAGACTCGATGTCTTGGATTGCCATGCCGAATGAGGCGGCACAGCGCGCAAGCTTTTCAGCAAAGGTTGTGAACAGTGTACAGATATCTAACAGGCATGCCTACCTGTACATGAAATGCATGTGTATATGTGTATACATGCTTGTACATGTATGTAAATCACTTGTCTAAGCCATGGCACACTACGTTCTGTTGGATCTGGGACGTCAAACAAAAAGCTCGAGCAGCACATGCCCTCGAATGCTGGCAAGAATGATTCACTGAGCATGTCTGTGTCCTGCTCATGCAACGATTTTGAAGAGTCCTCTGCCTATCTTCACGTGTGACGATTGGACCGCCCTCTGGCAACGTCTGAACACGATGCAGACACCTCCTCTTTTTGCACTCATGCCTCGCATCGAGAGGTGAAGCAGATCTTCTGCTCAACTCTCGGCAGGACATTCATTGTCTGCGGCAACATGGCGTTTCGCATCAGATGTGAAGCTCAAGACCGTCGTGACTGTCGACTTCCCATCTGGGGTCGGCGTGGACCTGGCGTTCACTGGTGCGGCCCTGGCGAGTTTCTCGTTTCTGCACTGGCACCCTCAACGCCACTCCCGACGTGAATGGGCGCGGCACGCGCATGGACTCCTTCTGCAGCACAGGCGAGAAGACTTGGCCCTTTGCTAAGCAGGACGGTCGCAGCAAGGGGAGGCTGAAGATGCTGAAGGCAGACTATTGGCAGCTAGTGGCACTAGTTTTCTTGTGTCCTATGGTCGGTGGAACCTGAGCTGCAGACTCCATCTTCTAGTCTTCGACTGGTTTCGACGCCTCCGGCAAACCAATGGGGAAGCGTTCGCAAGCCTCACACCTCGACAGACCTCAAACGTAACAAACTCTGAGCCCTAGAAACCCCGAAGCCCAAAACAAAGCCGGAACCCCACAAGCCTTAAGCCTTAAGCCCCCACAGAAGCGTTCAAACACAAATTATCACAAATTCAAGAACTCAAAAAAGCTAAAACGCCGGCGTGCCAGAGAGAGACTTCCTGAAGACCTCCAGCGCTGGGACGTCGAAGGCTACCGGCCCCCAGCCTAGGGGGTGTTAGGGTTTGTGGAGTTTGCCGAGTTTCGGATGTGGCGGGTTTTCATAGGGGCCTGTAGCGTTTGCAGGGTTCAGAGGTTTGGGATGGGTGATTCAGGGTTTAGGCTTGAAGCACGACGAGAGTTTGCCGCTAAGTCTGCCATCGCGACCAGATGCTACCGGACTCTCAGACATGTTTGCACAGGTCCAACGGTGATCATGCGCACAGGAAGAATAAGCCCAAACCAAATGACATCCAAGGTGGCTTGAAGAATCAAGCTGCAACTACTGCCTAGCATTCGTGAAGATGCGAGGGCATCCAGCCTTCGTGGACAGAGCCAGCAGAAGATTGCAAGTTGTTGCAGAAATTATTGCAACAGATCGTCTACTGCGCGACAAGCCCAAGTTCAGCCAAATTCTGCTAGGGGCGCTAGGGGTTGCAGGCCGGTGGGAGTTTGAAATTCAGATAGGGCTTCTGGGCTGTCACTTGGTCAACTGAGCGCAAGAGCTTAAACCCTTTAAGCGAAGAAAGAACGACTGAAGACAAGAATGACAAAGCTGCGATCTCAGATCTGCTCGCGGCAGACGGAACACAGAGGTCGGCTGGGAAACTGAAGATTTGCGGCATTGTGAGCATTCATTCTGGGAAAACCAGCATGAGAACTCGCACAACTACGATGACCACTGGTTCCGATTGGGTGGGCGTGTGTGTGTGTGTGTGTGTGTGTGTGTGTTGGTGTGTGTGTGTGTGTGTGTGTGTTGGTGTGTGTGTGTGTGTGTGTGTTGGTGTGTGTGTGTGTGTTGGTGTGTGTGTGTGTGTGTTGGTGTGTGTGTGTGTGTGTGTGTGTGTGTGTGTGTGTGTGTGTGTGTGTGTGTGTGTGTGTGTGTGTGTGTGTGTGTGTGTGTGTGTGTGTGTGTGTGTGTGTGTGTGTGTGTGTGTGTGGGTGTGCGGGGGGGGAGTGGGTGGTTTTGCCAGAAAGTCTTAGAAACTCCGAAGCGTTCGAGGCCGGTGCTTCCTGTGTTTTCGGCCTTGTCAGAGGCCTGGGAACATGCCGTGTTCATGTCGTTAGGCACGTTCTCCCGGACGATGTTGACAACTGCCAAGGAATGCTGCAGCTCAGCCCCTTGCCCAAACACGTAGTTCGAGTCGATCACCCAGCAGGTCATGCCTCAGAACATTTCCGACTCGAAGGCACTGAACAGCTGTCCAAGCAGTAAAAATGACGCCCATCGGGAATGGCTGGTAATAGCTGGTAAATTTGTGGTTTCCCGAAATTCGAAGTTCTAGCTTCAGAGATGGAATACTCATTGAATACTCGTTCCTAGCAGGCTTTGCAGGAATTGCCAGTAACTATCCGGGAAGGAAGTCGATCGTCTCTCTGGCTCCGAAAGTTTTTGGTTCGTCACAGAAGTCCGCAGGGAAGATGTTGGAAACACCCGGGTGGGTTCAGGCACATTGGTAGCCCCTGGTCACCATGCCCCTTGCCGGACATCGCCGAGAATCTACATGGCTTTGGGGTTATAGACTATAGACTATAGAGTTTAGCTAGGGTTGAGAATTAGTTGCCGAACTCAGGGAACATTCGCGACGGCAGGTGCATTGGCCCTACATGTCTGACAGATGACCGAAAGAAACCCGCACACGCTCAGGTTGCAACTTCATCAAGTCGATTTGCACGATGTGGCCCTCACCTCCTTCTACATCTCCGAGTTCTTGGCGACAGAAGAAAAGTGCTTGTGGTGAGGAGAGCATCCTTCTTGATGACAGCCAAGAGAAAAGCCACCATGCTATGCGCCAGGCTATCAATGTTGGCGGTCGTGAGGTTCTCTGAAACTTCTGCAGACATCCCACTCGCCAGTCCAAGCACACCTCAGACAGGCCCTGCGAGCCACGCAAGTGCCAAGTGCCACAAGTGTGAAGGGAGTCAGCTGGGCTTCTTGCGTACCAGTGCCTTTGCCGGCTCATCAGTGGCAAACTGGCAGAGCACGATGCGAAGAGCAGGAAACCACAGAAGATAAATGAGATAAACTAAGGACTGAGACCGCTGCAGCGACCCGCAGCCAAACCTTGGACAGGGGGAGCAGGCGGAGCAGTCAGCTCATTACTCGGGGCTCTCTTCGACAAGCCCTGCCCAGCTCAATGTGTCCCGGGCATGTGCAAGCTCTGTCAAAGGCTCGCTGGCGATGCCATGCCGCAGGGGCACCGGTGAGAAGGATACCTCTCCAGGAACTCCAAGGCAAGAGCGCAAGAGGGCAAGCCATGGCAAGCCTACGCAAGCAAGCGCAACTTAAGCAAAACGGAACCCTGACATAGCCTGACGTCCACCCCCGATGGCAATGAAAAACTCCCAAGAGTCGTCAAATCCCACAGGTGCACGAACTGCGACTGTAAAAGTACTGTATGCCTGTGAAGGCCCACCTCCACGGCAAAGATCGCCGGGGCACGCTTCTTCTCATCTTCAGTTAGTTGAAAATCTGCGCCTTCGGCGGCTGAAGGAGTGGAAGAGTCCGAGGGGTCTGTGCCAAGCAGCCAGTAAGCAGCCGGCCCCAGGCACCGTAGTGGAGCAGCTCCGTCGCGGTGTCTCCACGAAGAACCTGGCTGGCTTCATGAAGAAGCATTGCAAATTGCAGAGACACTCCATTCAAGGCAAGGAGGCTGCTCAAGAAAACGAGGCTGAACGGGAGAAGCCAGATAAGACACGGCAGAGGGACCTTGAAGTAGCCGCCCTGCTGCCACTCCATTCCAAAGGAATTGAGGAGCAACCAGTAGTCGCGGCCTGGGAGGAGTATAGCTCTTGGGACTATAGGCCGCGCAGTCCACACATCTTGAAGCCATGGGGCTGTTCATGTCTGTGCCCCAGCCAATTAGTGCGGCGCCATGCCTGGAGCTACAGTTCCACTCTTCCACAGTTGCCAGGTTTCACTCCCATTGCACGCTGCATCCAGACCTCCCAAGAGCATCGCCATGCTTGTGCTCGTAAATCCCACCTCACTGCAAAAGATATCAAGGTCCAACGTTGCGCTCATTCCTTCCGAGACCCGAACTCTCCGACCACGAAGTACTGTCAAAGAAGTCCTTCCCGCAGCATGCAAACGCGCAAGTGCAACGGGCCCTGACTGAGAGTCGCACAGGCACGCTCTTGCTCCACAGCTAGGGGTACGAGCCGTCGCATCAACTTCATTTCATGTCGTACCATGTTCAGCCTGCAGCTCAGGTTTGCCTCACTGTCCAGTGCTTCTTTGGTTTGTGTTTGAGGCCGTTCAGGTAAGCTGCCCAAGCCCAAGTTGCAGGCTGGACAAGCTCGGGAAAGTGGCCTCGATTACTCCTTGTAGATACCTCGTGCCCAAATAAGAGCTCAATCGGACGTTATAACATGAAATTGAGGGTTGTTCTATATCCTTGTTCCATGGCTGCCAATTAGGATCCCTTGCGCTTCGCCCTTGCGCCAACCTTGCGCGGGCTTGCCGCGCGAGGTTTTCGCAAGTACTAGTAGATGTGGAGGGTTTTGAATAAACATCGCCAAGAGATAGCTTGCGCAGAGCTTGCGTTCGCCCTTGCGCGAGCTTGCGCGCGCTCGAAAGGTGTGCACGTTTTATCACGACCGACATTTTCCCTAATCGACCTCCTAAGTATCTCACAAGAACCCGCCAAAAAGAACAACCCTCAAATGCGGACCCTAGAAATGAATGTGCACTTTCGAGTGGACAGTTCAGAGCCATACACTGGACCTAAGCCCTATTGAATTTCTATGTACGTTCCTGATCGAAATATTTTTGTGAGCATTTTGGGATGTTAACCATACAACCTTCATTCGAGCACATTAATGAGAATCGAGCAGGGTCGACTATCATATCACAAATGGAAAATACAATGTTCGAATGTTGTAACGATCAGAAAACTGGAGCACGTTGTTCTCGAGACGTAAGGGTGTTCATGAGACACGAATATTCTTAAAAGTAATTACCAGCATCCCCTAAGGGTTCTTATTGAAAAAATGCTTGTTCAGCTGCTTTCAAAAGACGCGCAACTTATACATTAACAAATGCAGGCTGTTTGTGCTAAATCTCGTGAAATGCCCCCGCGCGCAACACATGTGCACGATTTAAGCAATTGAAGACTTTTACAGGGTGTTCATATACAGGAAACTGATTGAACACGCTATTTGGTATCAGTTCAAGGCCATGTTCACGTTTCGAGTGGTTCGAACGTTAATGAAATTGTGATAGGGGTGTGTTTGACACTAGAAGCGAAATTGCTTGGAAAATGCACATTTGGACTAACCTCGAATGTGAAAAATCTAACACATCCAAAAACACACGGAGATTCTTCGGGCAAGTTTGGAGTCTTGGATTGTTGGACTTGCGTTTGTTTTCGGGATTCCAAACCCGTGTATCCCAGATAGTTCATATTGAGTAGAAGTAGAGGGAATGCATCAGAGTAGACAGTGAAGACAGGAGCCTTCACATGTCGGCGAGAGGGGAGGCGACAGTATATATATATATGCACACACATACACACATACACACATACACACATACACACATACACGCATACACGCATACATACACACATACACACATACACACATACACACATACACACATACACACATACACACATACACACATACATACATACATACATACATACATACATACATACATACATACATACATATGTATGTTGTGGTTTTCATTTCCTTGTTCCGAACCATGGTGACAGCTCCTTCCATCCAATCACAAATCTACAGCTGTTCTTGACAGGGCAGCCCGATACAACCTACAAAACACACACAGCTGGCCAATGCGGGTCCTGGTACAGGAGGAACGACACGTACAGAGGACCATCGGTAATGAGCTCCTCTGTGGCACGGTGGGCAAGCTACAAGCATGAGCCTCACAGTAGGAACAACTCAACATGCACCCGCATCAGTCCTGCATCATGTGACGCTCCAGCTCAGGCACGGTGTTGCCCTCCATGATCCCCAAGATCTTGAAATAGCTTGGGAGTCGCGTCTTAGTTGGCGCAAGAGTTGCAAGAGTCTAACAGTCCGCATCATCTTCGGAAGGGCAAGACTTGTGATGCACGCATCACACTCTCAGCCTTTACAGTCCAAATGGCCTTGGGGCATGCTGCAGGGAGCAGGTCACAGGCGACCGCGCTCGTGAGGTGGAAGACGCTTGGCAGGCACTTGCAGGAAGTGGTTTCCCTTGCATGGCGTGAGCACTGACCCTCACATGTGCGCTATACAAAGAACGAAACGGAACGTGCAAACGTGCATGAGCGAAAGCGATGCCAAAGAGCGTATCAGCATCTTCGTGACACATTGTGGCAGCTTCCGAACTCTTTGCGTGGGCCACGGCCGTCTTGAAGTCCGCAGCCTACATGAACTGCTTGCGGCTTACATATGGTCATCGAAATTATGATCCCTTTTGGGGTACCCTAAATATTAGGTGCCGTATTGTAGTAGGGATCCAAAAAGGGACCATAATTATGCCATAATTTTGACAACCACCCATACGTGTGACCTGTGGTGCTTCGAGAGGCCCAACATGCAGGGAAGAAGGTTATCAATTATCAATTGCCCCATGCTGCCACCCTGGGAGGCTTCCCGGGTTGTTCTGAACGAGGGCCCCCTGATGCATAACTTCTATACTGGGATGCTTTACAAAAGGAACCCTCTCGTTTGAAACCACCCCCCAGCATTCAGTCTGCCTCCATCGATATTGTCGACTGGTCGTGGAAGCACCGCATTCGATATGGTGAGCACGTTTCCCTGGCCACTCCGTGCTGCTTCATGTAGTAGAAAGCCTAAGCCGCGGGGTCCATGCGAAACCTCTTTGGCTCAAGGCTTTGTTTATACTTTAGGGCGTCGGGTAACAACCACCCAAGCATCGCAAAAAATTTCCTGCCTCGGCCGCACTTCCCCCGGAACATCCGTGATGCGCTGAGCACGAAACCAGCTCCTGCAGGGGCACCAGCGACGGAATCGGAGAAAGTCATACTGCTGAGGTTTGCATTCCTGGGCTGAGAGGAAGCTCAACGAAGCAGGCTCCTCACCTGCCATAACAATACACCAGTGCGTAACTGCCAACTCATGCAAACTACCAATCGGACCGTGCACACTCGCCATGCCTCCATGAAGCTTCACCAGACATTCACGGAAGGAGGCCACAGCTGTCGCAGCAAAAGCCCAACTGGAACCGCAGCTTCCTGGCTCCGAGTCTCCCAACGAGTCCCAACAGAAGCTCCTGTGCGGTCCTTGATGCCGGGAGATGCCACGCGGAAAGCACAGCGTCTTCTCCACACGCGGGTCAAAGTTGTCCGGGAGATCCAAGCCTCCAGAATGCAACGCACGCACACACACGCACACACACACACACACACACACACACCAACCAACCAGGCTCACATGGTGGGAACGAGTGCTCTTCGCCAGGCTCCCGCCCCTTCATGCCCCACTCTCGCTGGCCCTTAACCGCTCAGAGCATGCCCCAACGTCCAATGAAGCGGCTTGGGGGTTTCAGAACAAGCTGCCCATGCTCTTTTCTTTCTTCCGTCAGGGCGTGGAAGGGTCCGCCACTTCCGTGCATTGCGCACGCCCCCTCTTCCGCTCCACATCGAACAACTGCACAAGTCAGGCTTAGTGCAACACGCCGGCTGCTTTCTTGCTCTCTCTCTCTCTCTCTCTATTCGCAGGCGTGCCTTGCTCCTCGAAGGGGCGCTCCAGCTGATGGTCACGTCCAGCTGCAGCAGCGGCTTCTGAAGCAGAAGTGGGATCCCAGGAGAGCCTGTCCGGGATCTTGCGCACTTCTTGACTGTACTGCAACATACTGTGACTAGTGACTAGTCAGAGCTACTCAGCTACTCAGCTACTCAGCTACTCAGCATAGCCGAGCTGTGAGGAAGATTGTCGGAGTCGGATCCCCGTTGAATTCCCCCCAGATGTGCTTTGCAGCTTGCAGGATTCGACAAAATGCGCCTCCGCTCTGGCACCTGGCCGCCCAGTCGGCGGCTGGCATTGAAGAAGTCCTTCAAAAAAAGGACTGTCAAGTCACTGTCAAGTGTAACTAAATAAGAAGGAAATAATAATGCAACTTCACCTGGGAGGACCTTGTAAGACTCTACCTAGGTTTTGCAGTTCGGGTCCAGCGCTGTCTGCTCATCCTCCTGATGCACCATCTTGCACGGATATCGGCCTCTCAGGGTCTCAATACTACAACAGGTATACTGCATTATACCATATTATACCATATTATACCATATTATACCATATTATACCATATTATACCATACTATACCATATTATACCATACTATACCATATTATACCATATGATACCATATTATACCATATTATACCATATTATACCATATTCTACTATATTATACTATATCATAATCTATTTTACTATATTATACTATATTGTATTATTATGCTCTGTTACAAAGTGGGAAGGCTTGATTTGACCCTCCTTCGGCCTGCATAGACCTCAGGTGCCAGTGCCATCTCCTCCGGCACACTATGATCGAGGGCATATGACACCAGGACTTGCTCTTCGAAGGAGCCGCTGCTTCTGCCGAAAGCTTCAATCTCCTGCAGCTCAGCGCCACAGACTTTTTGTCAGACTGCAAGAGCAAGAGTCACTGGACTTCACATTCATGTTGATGGCGTTGATCCACGCCTCTCGCATCTCTAGCTGAAGTCTGAGCACCTGCAAGCTGAGTAAAATTGCCTTCACTACGATCATGACCACTTCTGGCGCAAGACTGTTTACAGACATTTACAGAGAGAAAAATGGCTCAGCCATGCTCATCCACAACAATCCCAAAGTCAATTAGGTTCCAATCTGGATGCGGAACTGGATCGATTGAGATGTATCGGCAAGGGGGTTGTGAGTTCAACAATCTCTTCGGCTGCCCTATGCAAGTGCTAGAGGACATGTCACACGCCTGTACGCAACCCGGTTCGCAAAGAAAAATTGAAGCTCCGAAGCCTAGCTTGAAGCTCCTGGGCCCTAAACCCTAAACCCTAAACCCTAAACCCTAAACCCTAAACCCTTAAGGCTACTGCGGGGGGGTCCACAAAACCCGAGTTTCGCCTTGCCCTCTGCGGGCTGCCGCGCCGCTGCGAGGATGCGGAGAAGCTGCAGCTGCGGGCGCTCTGGGCCTGAGAAGGCTTCGGACTTAGGATTCACAAAGGGCTAAGGCTTAAAAAAAGGGTCCAGGGTTTCAAAGTTTAGGATTCACAAAGGGCTAAGGCCTAAGGCTTCTAAAGGGTCCAGGGTTTCAAAGTCTTGGAACTAGCAAGGGTTTTAGAGTACAGGGCTTAGGGTTACATACTCCGATGGGGCAACTTCTTGAAACTATAAAGCCCCCAAGATCGGGGGCCGTGCAGGTATACGCTGCCAACATACTGGGGGCCATCGTGGGGAGGTTTGTAATTCAACAATATTCATTCCATTTCAAGTACTAGTAGTATAAATCATGTTAACCTTTGCTGCATGCCGCCGCATGCCGACAACTCAAGGGGCTGAATTAGGGCTAGGTTCGCAAATGGTGCTGATGATTTCATGTCCTCCCCTAATCCGAGCGCTCGATCTCGAGCTCACTCACCTTACTCACCTCATTCACCACACTCACGTCACTCACGCTTCTCACTGACATCCCAAGCCCGCTCGCATTCGGTCGCCTTCTCATTACCTGACTAGCAGGCAGTCGATCTTCTCTGGAATCTAACAACTTGTGCACACGGAGACACGCAAAAACAAACACGCACGTGCAATCAGGTCGAGTGCTCTCTCGCCGAAGGTTTACCGCGCTGGAACGGCAGTAGTATAGGCAAGTAGTACTCATTAACTCATACAAATTAAGGGACTTGCAAGAGGGTTCAGCTGCGAGAGCGAAGGTACATTTACACAGGGTGAGGTGGCTTGGTGAGGGCATCTTCCTTTGGCCGAGGACCCTCATGCACAACGCCCCGCCACCCTCGTCAGCCCTCTGCAGAAACTCAAAGAGTTGACTTGAACGGCTGTAGAGTGCGGGTTACATACACGCCAAAAAAACGCACGCATGCTCTCTCCTCACTCGTTAACTCATGACCTTTGTAGGCTCATCTCCTGCTTTGCATACAAGAGAGCAGGTTCACTGTTGTACTATTTTTGGATGGGTAAGGACACCATCAGAAGCCAAGCAGCAAAACGTCTTCCGCTGTTCATTGAAAACCGTTCGTGCCGTCTCGGCCGCCTCCTCGCATTCAGGACTCTTTCATGCTTCCATCTTCAAAGAAGCTGGGTCACGCAAATGATGGTGCGGTCGGCTGTGCAGGCAGGCTTAGCTCCTTGGCTTCTTGCCAGTTTGTCGGAATAAGGAGCTCAGCATCGTCGGCTGCACCTTACAGCATTACTGTCTTGTGGCTCAAGTGCGGTCCAAATCGTCGAACATCGCTGCATTGTCCGAGTTACTATGGGTCGCTTGATGGGTCGCTTGCTGATGGCATCCAGCCTCTACACTCCGCACCCTCTCACTGGGCCTTTGGCTGAAGAGGCTGCAAGCCAACGGCTTGACCTTCGTAACCTTCGGGTGGTGCGTTCAGGGTTTACGGCTGTAGGGTCAGGGCCTAGAAGAAACAGTTTACCGTTTTGGGTTTGCCGCGGCCTGGAAGATAGACAGGTCAGTGATGCGGTGCAAGTGGGCCACTTCAACCTCTACAGCTGTCCTCGGCTCTTCGACAAAAAACTTTCGGTGGTGCTCGAGTGCCTCGGGCCTCTGGCAACGACCATACCATCAAATTCTGACCAGGTGGCGGGACGAACTTGTTCGTCGGTTTCAGAAGCAGCTTGTAGATTGAGTAGCCTTCCATGTCCTTGCGTACCGTTCCAGCCACCGTGTAGTCTTGGCGTCGAACCGGTGCCAGCGTGAAGCCGTAGCACTTCTGCCGCATCTCATTGATGCGAAGAAGGGCGAACTCAAAGGCTTCATTGGCAGAAAGGAAGTTGTCAGGCAGAGCACACCACTCGCCTTTCTCGCAATGCTCTGTCACAGCTACCTCAGCTTCACGAGATACACGTCTCGGCAGAGCCCCCGAATTTCTGAACACATACCACAAGCTTCGACCGAGTGGCGGGTGCAAAATTCAAGCCTCCCGTGCTAGACATCACTCTGGGCAGGATGAGGAGCAGTAGCAGGCAGCGCACACCAGAGCTTTGGGCGTGCGTCGGGCTTGCAGGAAACCGTCGATTCGCCATGGCGCACATTGGCGCTTGTCCGCGGTTGTGGCGCGTTTTATGGCGCAACGCTGCTGGGTCCACTTTGGAACCTCTCTCTGACGCCGTGATGGCGTGTCTGGGCTCGGTGAGCAAAGAGGGCTGCTTACTTGCACTGCGACATTGTTGAGGTTGGAAGGTCTTACTGGCACGATGACTCTCCCAAGGTACGAAAGGGGTACTCCCTGCCTTCCTGCTCTGAACCAGAGAAAGAAGAACAGCTGAGGCATTCATGTTGCGGGCAGCCTTCCAACTTAATGGGCGTGTGAAAACATGATGAAACATGCAAACTCGACAAGGTTCCCACAAAGTTCACACGACCGACTGCAAAGAACTGGCGTAGAAAGGGCACATTCCAAACGCAAGTATGTGGGGGTCTCCACAAATAGGGGTACTCGTTGGGGGTCCCTTTGAGGGGATTCTATTCTGCTTATCCTTCGAGGCGGCCAGCTCTGCATAGGAGGGGCTGATGGCACATATCAACTCTTCAAAAGTCTGCCGCCGTTTCGCTCACAACTCGGCCTGACATATTCAGAGCACATGTCCTGGCTTCGGCGCTTTCAAACACAGGAGAAAATGAAAGAAACCCTAACCCCTAAACTGCCCTAAACCCAAAGTTATGAGGTGGTCTCATGCCTTTTGCTCTCCACAGCACGCTACTGCGCAGCGACTGAGCCGAGCCTTGGACCATGTGAGGGAATTCCAAGGAACGGAGTGGGAGGGCAGGTCAGATGTGATCGGCTGAGGTGGGCACTAGAAAAACTGCCGCTCGCGTCTGCGGACCTGCCCCTGCCGTGCCAGAATGTGCCAGACGCGTTTCTCAAAGTGGGCTTCGCCAGTGGAGGTATCCACACCCACCTTCTCCCTGTGGGTCTTCCGACAGCTTCTGCAGCCACAAAACGAGTTCGGCCCGTCGCTTGTCCTTCTGAAAGGCACAACATATCGCTCGACAGCTCCCTGCTCTCAAGCGCTTGCCACGCTCTACAAGTCCAGCCATTTATGCCTATGTGGGCGTCACTCTCAAGCAAGCAGTCCTGGACCACGTCTATGGCCGATCGGCCAGAACCTCATGATTCAGCGAACTCCATGAAATTCAGGCGCCCTAAGAACTAAACTCCAGAAGCTTCAGCCGGGCGAAAATATCAAAACAAAAACACAAAAGAACATGACCTTGGGCTGCTACAGTCTCGCTGCGACGCATCGGCTCCATGGCCTCAGGGGTTTAGGCTTCGGCGAGGGCGTCAGGTTACGGGCTCTTTTTGTAAGGGCTTTCTTTAAAAGGGGGGCCTTAATCGGGTCCTGCAGGTCTTCTGCTGGAGCTTCCTGCCGAAGCGCACCCTGAGCGGCCCGACGTACCAGTGCCGTGACGGCCTTCTGCACCGCCTGAACTTGCGCCTCCTTGCAAGAAGTACTGAGCCACATTTGACATGGAGCCTTCACCTCTCAAGAGGAAAGGGCACCATGGAGGCCTGCATTTTGTGGGGCTCAGGAAAGCAAACGTGCTAGCCCCCAGAATCTTAAACCCCTTGCAAAGCAGTTTGAGAACTACCTCCGCAACCCCTCGGATGCACTGAACTAAGCAGCAAGTCATCACATATTCTGGCACACATGCACGCGGTTGAGCTAGACTTCGTCTGGGCGCAGCCTTCCTCAAGTCACTGTTTTCAGGACGTATCATGTGAGACCAAGCACACTTATTCTAGCGGCCAAATAATACAAAAGAGAGCCAGATCGAATTCATTCTGCAATTGTGCAGTTTAGGTGCTCATACTACCCGCGCCTCCTGCTCGTTTCTTCGATAGCCATGAGAGATGTCATTCTCATAGCAGTACTCGTCACCAATGCCTGTGCTGGGACAGACTCACGAAACGGTCCAAAGGGATATTTTGGGGAGAACGATGGAGAACGGCAAGCAGTCACCATTGCCCCGGTTGCCCCTTAAGCATGCCTCACAAGCTTGGTCAGACAGACATGGTTAGAGCGGCGGTGTTGTGAAGACTGCAGCGCCGCTTGGCGGGTCATTCAGGCGAGCTACCAGCTACAGCTGCTGGGAAGGCATCGCAGAATCACAACCAAAATAGCTCACATGCCGGCCTGATGGATCAAAGCTCGTAGTCATGACAAGACCCTCTGTACCTGAACACTCTTGCGTGTCAGGGCAACTCATGGGCTTTGGGCAGTTGATGGCACTTGCTATTCTCGTGAGTGGCGCGCGCGCCCTTGGCAACGTTGAGAGAGCTGCGTGAAGAGCCTTAGGTTCACTAGACACTGTCTCGCCTCACTCGACGACAGGCCTCCCGGACTGACCTGCCAACATCAGCATGCTGCCAGCAAACACTGCGTCCTTCACGGTCGACCACATTTGAGCTCGCCTTGGCAGGCTTCGCAATGCATCACAAGACTTCACAAGAACGCTCGAGAAACCAGCAGCCGATGTTTATGATGTTTGATGAGAGCTGCACGCGACCCTCTAACAACGCATGGACCACCTGCAGTCTCACTTCCATATTTTCACAAACTGCATGGGCTCTGAACTTCCCTGTACCTTTTGAACTTCAATGCTGTTTGTTCAGCTGCCTCGGGTCTTGGAACGAGGGCGGCGTAGTGCAGGGCCTGGCCAGGAAATTTCTTCGGGTGCCCCGATTCGTGGCCTAAAACTCTCAAAGAAAAGCAAACCTCTTGTCCTCAATCCTGCGGAGCAGGCCGTGTAGCCATAGTGGGTCATGCAGTCAGCTGCCTCGCAATGGCGCAACGACCGCGCTGAAACCGCGAACATCTTGAAACATGTAAAGTTTGTAAAGACCAAACCAAGCCGAGGCACAGCCCGATGACAAAGCAGCCAGAGAATGGCAGCATGCCTCGAGAGGGCTTGGAATTCTTGGGATTCTCGAGCTTCTTCGTTCAGATGGGTTCAGGCTCTGATCGCACCGTTTGCGGGCTCCTTCTCGGATTCTCGTTCTGTCTCGGTTTGGCCGTACGGACACACGCAGATCCATCAGCTTTCAGCTGGCAGAGCTTTACTTTCAAATCTCACCTGCGTCATCAGACGCCCTCGAAGACTCGAGAAAGACAAATCATGGCATCTACGAAGTCAAGGCCACCCTCCAATTAGGTAATTGATTGGCGGGCACCCAGTCCTTTGTGTCTTGAAACTTGGCGGGCATTCCGAGGACCATCTGGGGTGGGCAATGGGCTCGGCTGGGTACTCCATCCATCTTCTGGGGACCAATGCGAGGACCATCGGTGCTAAAAGGTAGCTGCATGGCTTCACCAGTGATCGCTGAGGCTCGCACTGGCCGCTGGCAGCTGCCACCATTAGCCTTCGAACTTGCGCAAAAGCGACTCAGCAGCGCACTGCATTGATGGCCAAGGTGCCCCGTCCGCCCATTTTGGTCGGCGGCATCTATGCTGGCTCCTGGCACGTTCAAGTGAGTCGTGGTCTCCGCATTCTGCACACCCTCGCATCACGGCAGCATCACAAAACGGCACCTGCTTTCAGCAACACCTGTCCATGCAGGCCCAAAAATTCAGGCACTTGACGATGCAGCGGCGAGGCCTCCATCACTTCGAGCCGGCCACGTTTTGCGGCCAGGTGCAATGGATATGCCCCCACCTCATCTGGAACCCCGGCACGGCTATGCCTTCACCCGAACTCGCTTCAAGGATGGCCTGTGTGAAGCCGACGCCATAGGCGCCAGTGTCGGCCGGAACATTGGGATCGGCGCCTTGTATGCGTCTTGGATGTTGAGATTTCTTGGAGACTTAGCGCCTGTGGCCTGTGATTTTCAAAAGGCTCACATGTGCACCCCCCCCCCCCGGGACCAGAGCTTCAGCAAAACATCACGCCAGAAACCGCTCCGAGCAAAGTGCGAAGATGCAGCAGCAGCTCCAGAACAGCCTGACCAGAGCGCACACAAGCTTAAGCAGCTTTTTAAGATATGCGCAGGGGAAGAAATACAAAGGTCTGAAAATGTCTGAAACAACTACGGAGCACACATGCCATCTCGAAAGGACTCTCTCGTCTCAGGACATTGGCAGGACGACCTGGTGCCCATGGTCTGCTGCACATCGCAGCCTTATTGGACAAGTCTTGCCTTCAGGGCCTTCAGTGCTTCTAACAGCTTGATGGTGGGGGTTTCCGAAAATAGGGGGTACCCTTTTTGGGTCTCCCTTTAAAGGGGTATTCTATTTGGGGGCAGAAAAAAGGGGTACCCTCAATTTGGGAAACACCCATTGTAGTTCAACACTCATCTGGGGTCTGGGCGCATCCGGCAGACTTGGCATTCTCCGCCTTAGGAGAAGAGGTCAGTATACATGTCGCGACAATCGCAGGATGCCTCAGGAAAAAGAAAGTCATTCCAAACAAACAGAGCATGACCGAGGTCTGTGAGAGCGGGGCCGTGCTAAGTATCGGCGCAAGCGAAACCTACCGACACATCACATCGACCGACACGGGCCATCTGCTCAGAGCAGTGGCTTTCCTTTTGGCTTTCTGGGTCTCAGGCGCGAGTTTTGCAGAAAGTTCAGAGCCAGAGCCTTCTATCAGCAATCGGAGATGCTGAAACTGGTCTAGCAGTATTGAAGTATTGGATGCTGATCCTCAGGACACGGCCGAGAAGTTCCTCAGCCTTGCGGAGCGCTCCGCTTTCTGGCTCCTCGGACTCGTCGGCCCACTCATCACTGCGCCTTTCCTCCCAGAGAAGTTCATGACCACAAGTACAGGCTCGAAGCGCAGCGCGAGGAAGAGCCGCTAGGATCACGTTTCCCGAGTCAAGCGTCGCCTTCTCGAAGAGCTGGCGCCACAGCCAATATTCCGCAGGTTTCACCTTTGGCTACCAGGAAAGGGGACTGTCTGGACATTTTTGGGACGGTGACCCGTTGCAACCTGGGACGCCAGGGCTCCCCCTAGTTACAGACCCTACAGAACCTCTCGCGAGAACGTAGGAACCCCTGAACACCCTAGGAGAGCATGGCAAAGACCTGCCCTAAAACTCAAAGCTTGGTTCCTAGTTCTGCCCTCACAACAGCGGGTCCTGCGGGGCCTGGCGTTGGCCCGAGGGTTCACAAAGGCAGTTTCGCACCACGCTCCTTCCCGCATCCTCTTGTACTGTGGTTGTGAGTATTATGATTCATATTGCAATGTTTCGAAGGCTCAAAATTGTGTGAGCAATGGGAGAGAACAGCGCCGCGAAGGGTTTTAAACGTTCGGGGCATGTTGTCGGGAAAGGACCCAAATACTGGAAGGGCCACCCCGCATGATCACGCACAACTCCCTCAACCAATGCAAAGCTCAGTTCCACGCTGCCGCTGCCACGTCGCGGCACAGCAACGTGGCCTGTGAGAATGAACCTCATGACCTATCTTTTGACCTCGCAACCGCCCCCTGATACCCCTTGGCGTGACTATTCAAGACTATTCAACGAAGGTGCCTCCAGGAGCGACTCCGCTTCCAGGCACTGCAGGACCTCCGGGGAAACCCAAGCAACCAAACCAAAACTCAAGATTCCGGGCATGGAGGCCAAGGAGCGCAGTGTTGTGTAAGACTCCCTGTCTTCCCCCTAGGCCCTATGCGAACCAACGCCCGAAACCACGAGTGGCACGCCTTGGCCAGCTCGGCTTCAGAAAGTTGCAGGAGCCAGGCCGGCATCTCTTGACCGCCGAAGCAGACACTCAACAGCAAATGAGCGGAGATGAAGAATCAAAACAGCTAAAGTGGTTCATTCTTGGGACTATAGGGGGGGGGTGGTGGGGAGAACTGGTGGCGAACTCCGGGTGCTCAGCTGATTATTGTGTTAGATTTGCTGAGCGCGGAAAACGGCTCCGCAGCATATGTTGTCAGAAGGCAACGCCTATTCAGCTTAGACATTCTGCAAAGGCATCGATTTCTATTGGACAGGGACGGCACAAACTAGTGACGCACAACCGAGTCTTGACTTAAGGCACAGTCATGCACAGTCGCAGAACCCGTAGCTGATTATGCCTGCATGCAGATGTGCTCCGCGAGCTTCATTGGAAATTCTGCCGATCTCGGATTAGAAGGGCCACGGGCCGTTTCAAAATGAGTCCATGCTGGCTGCTGAAAGCCCAAGAGTCCACCGTGACGTGCGTTTTCTCCAACATTGTCATCCCCTGGCTAGTCTGAAAAACGACCTCCTACCCCAAGCCATTGATACTTTAAGATTCTTGGTTCATGAGAATCATATTCAGAGCCAGGTGCCTGTTCAGCTAGTCCATGTCTTGGCCCGACCCACGGCTTCGGAAAGCACTGTCTTCTCTGGGCGGGCGCAGTGATTTTCGCGGGTTGAATCGAGGAACAGCCGTCTTTTGTGTGAGGCAGGCCCCTGCATGAGGCCGCTTGGCTGTCCCGATAGCCCATGCCTGATCCGTAAGTTCTTGAAAGTAGAGGCCCGCTGGGGTGTCAGGGAATTCAGAGCTTCGCACATGTGTAGTTGAGCTGAACTATTCCGCCATGCTAGGAAACCCTGCAATGCTTCATGAGGCCTGTGCTACGAGCGCCATTTAGACTGAAAGAATGAAGAGCGCAAATGGCACAGCGAGCCCATTGTCATTGTTGAACCACGATGTCGCCACCCGGCTGCAATAGGGAAAGACTTGCACTGCATCTTCTGCCTTTTTGAAAGCGATTCGCACCTCGTAGGATCCCGTCTTGCAGACCCTGGGCCCTGCTGCAAAAGGAAGCTAAGGGCTCAGGGCAACCGGGCTTTGGGCACGCCCATCGTTGGAGCCCGGGCTGACTAAGCGCGCATACCTTGAAAAGAAAAATCTCATCTGTCAGCCAAAACAGCCAAAACAAAACATGCACAGAATGCGAGCATGTCCTTACGTTCTCTCCATGGGCCGGTGAAGCAGAAGCTGAGCTGCTGGCGGCGCGGCGCTCAAGTTTCTGAGGGAACCAGGAGATGCCACCACATCGTGGGAGATTTCCTGCAGGCTCGAGGTTTACGGAACATTCGGTCCTGGGAGGCTTCCACGACAATCCTCTGCCGGCGGGTAGTAGAGCCGCGGTATCTCAGGGATTTCGCAGGTCAGAGCTTTTCCGTCTGCTTCCATTGGCACACACAGACACAGAGGCCCTCTAAGCATCTATAAACCCTAGGTGGATTCCGCCTTAAGCATTGCGCCATAGATCACTTGGCCAATCATCAAGAGGACGAAGCCAGCAACCTGCCCGAGATTGACACTTGCAGGATTCAGGGGCTTGAATCAGGGGCTCGCAAGCGGAAACACAGGACATGGTGACACCACGGTTAAAACCATGATGAAATATGGTGAAACTCTTGGGCGCCTCCAGCCAGCTGTAGGGCCTTGGGGCGCTTGCATGCTTGCGATGTCCCTCACTCTGGATCCTCACCTGGCCCCCGGGCGTCCAAGTTTCTCCGAACGGGGACTTGTCATCCACGAGGTAGTGGACACCCCTTGCTTGCAGCAGCTTGCGCGGAGCAAAAGATACCCTAACTATTTGCGGCATAGGCACAGTCCAAAGGCCCATACAATCAAACTTCGCAGTGCCTCGGTGTATGATTCAAGAACGGCTCTCGAGGGTCCCTTGTCATCCGAAAGCTGGGCACTGCACCTCTATCATCACTCTATGCACCGCAGACAGCGCTCCGGTGACTGCAATCCCTGAGATGTTGTAGGTGGCCTCCACATGGTACGTGGCACTGGTCAGGACAAGCGAAAAACATGGGACGGCATACCCATAGAGATGCCAAGCGTTGCTGTACTCGGCCCCCCCACACAGGAGAAGATGTACAAGGCCATCAATGCACTCAGCATCGGGTTACTCCTCCGGCTTGAGCTGATCAGGAACTGTGCACCGTGCGAGTCAGATGATGCCACTGCTGCCAGAGCCTGAGCAGTTGGAACGCGTTGCCCTCATCTTCGGCACGCCCATGGTCTTGCCTGTGGCAGCTGTAGCATTCCTTCCTGCGCCCTGTGCGAAGATTGCCAAGAACAATCGAAAATAACTTCAGAAGATGAGGCGAAAACCCAGGCAGCGTGTACAGCGTTGGGAACACAAAAGCGAGCCTCGGAAAGTTCCAAGGTCGAGTTGAGTGAACACGAGTCTAAGAGCCACTCAACCACATTCAGACAAGAGGCATTGCCAACGATCCCCACACCCCCTCGAAGCCCACAACTTGTAGGCCTGGTAGGTCGACATCCTCAACGGCAGGACAGTGATCAGCAACACTTTCCAGCGCAAGGAAAATCGCAGGAATCGTCCTGCAGTAGCCACTCTTCGGCCACCGCCTGGGCCGCTTGGACCACCTGGCCTGCCAGCGCCAGGCCTGGAGAGTCTGAACGTCTTGGGATCACCATCGGACTTGTTGTTCACTCCGTTCGTTCCGCGCACACTACTGCAAGGCACTGCAAGGTGCTGTAAGCCTGGCGCAGATTCCAAGCAGCAGCATCTCGCTGTTGCCGGAGTCCTTACCGTCTGCCTCCTCCTGAGTTGCAGGTGGGGGTCGGGATGAACGAGTGTAAATTCCAGCGACAGCGAGGGGACCCTGAAGACGACGGGGAGTCCGGTAGAGCCTACATCAGGTTGTGAGCGTTACGAGGGTGACACGTAAGACCGGATGTCGGTCAGAGGAGCTAGTGAGCTGCAACGAACCGGAACGTGGAGAACGCCAGGAGCTGGGACCAGACAAAGCAGAGCAGGACACTAGCAACTTGTCTGGTGCATAGTGCACGGGGGTGCGACATGTCCTGTTGGGTGAAACAAGAAGTCCAACAGCAAGGATAGCAAAAGGAGGTGCTTAAAGCCTTTGGAGACAAATGTGGCGGGTCAGCTTGGACCCTTCGATGCTGGAACTTCATCCGGAGTCCCTCGTGTTACCTGCCGTCCCAAGAGATTTTCGTGATGTCTGGCGCTCAAAGGGCAGCGGGAAGCAGTCGCATCCCTGCCAGCAACTTCACGTCCCCAAGAATCCGGTGGGAAAATGCCGCTTTCATAACTCGACGGGAATGGGCACGGTGGGGATGATCACACTGAGTCAAACTCATATACAAGGGGGGCCCTGAAGCACAGCCCTGCCTGCTTTGGTCGTGTACGTCGACGGCCAGGGCATGAGGGCATGGGTTTCAGAGAGTCGTTTCGAATTCTTCGGCTTCAACTTCAATGTGGTCTGCGTCTCGTCGCTCCCATGCCCCCACTTACCCCCATTTCCCTAGCACCTTAGGACACATGCGCGTGCGGTATGAGAACCCGAAAGCAGGATCACCCTGAGGTGGATCTCAAAAGCGGGCCTGGCCATGGAGAAAAACAGCCGGAATGCCCAGGGCCCTCTGCTATCTAGACAAATTACGCTGGCTTCTACTCTTAAGCTCCTCGAAGCATTCGCGATCCATCCAGAAAACAAGCATGTTGACATCTTGCTCTCTCCTGTCGTTGCCTCTTGCTATCTCTTGCTTGGACAGCCTCCTCACTGTCACCGCCCCACACACTGGCCAGTCCTCGATGTCACCAAGGCTACGTGGTGAGTTGCATTCTTTTCTTCTCAGGGCCCCCGGCCCACAAAGAAGATGCCGGCCACGCAGAAAGCCAGGCCAATATACTGGAAGCAATACAGGCGCCGGTGAAGGCAAGTCACTGCGAAGATGGCGGCCTTGCTGCGTCCCACGGCGTCTCTCAGACCGCTCTACGGCACTCCAAAAACCGCTCTGAATCTCGCACCTCGTTGTAACCAGACGACAGTGATCTGCACATCTCAAGGCTCTGGCGAAGACGATTTCTGCACCTCTTAGAAGCTGCCTGCAAGGCTTCATGCCAACGCAATGCTCAGCTCAAGCGAGATCGGAAGCCGAGAGCCCGCACATGAGAAGTTTGCAAGTTTCAGAAGGTTCTGAGACCCTAAACCCTAGGCCCTAAACCCTTTCAATTTGGCATTGTCATGAGCCCCCCCCCCACCCCCCCCCACCCCCCCCCCACCCCACCCCCCCCCCACCCCCCCCCCACCCCCACCCCCCCCCCCCCACCCCCCCCCACCCCCCCCCCCTCCCACCCCCCCCCCACCCCCCCCACCCCCCCCACCACCCCCCCCCCCCCCCCCCACCCCCCCCCCCCCCCCCCCCCCACACCCCCCCACCCCCCCTCACCCCCTCCCACCCCCCCCCACCCCCCCCCACCCTCCACCCCCCCCCACCCCCCCCCACCCCCCCCACCCCCCGCCACCCCCCCCCACCCCTCGGCACCCCCGCATTTGCCGCCAAGTCGCCAGACGCTGGCGGGTATGTACAGGAAGCCCATGCCTGGAGAACACTCGATCATATATGAGTATGTATAATTATGTATATATTTGTTTTACTATGACTATTGTGAGAATATACTATGTATATATATATATATATATATGTATGTATTTTGGATATTGTAATACTATAGCATGAAACCTTCAGTTTGGGTTTTTTCTTGGGCGGACTGAGGGGGGCTTAAGGAGATTCGAAAGGCCTTTTGAGCCTTGGGCTCCACAGGTATCCTCCTCCAGCCAAGCAACAGCAAAGGCCAGTCGCCAGGATGTCAAAGAACGCTGGGATCATGACTTTGATCACCTTCTTCGACTCTGCAAGGAAGTGCATGGAGGAGTATGGCAAGGGAAGAACTCATGACTTCGAAATCGTCGGACCTTCCCGCGCCAGTGATCCGCAACCTTCCAACACAGAGGGCTTTAGGCGGAAAGGGGTAAGGACGAGGCATGCTTTGCAATGCTCAGAGAGCTGCCTGCCCAAGAAGCGGCTCAGGTGGGGCGCTCCGCTTCCACATGCCTTAAGCTCAGAGCTGGTGCGGCACAACTTGAGCTTCATCAATCTAGAGGACGCGGCCAGCATCGAAGGGCAAGGCAAGCGTCATGGAGACGAACCTGTGAGGAAAGTGTATTAAACCCAGTAAACAGAGCACATCGAGAGGCTTCAGTACGCAGATATCAGGATGTCAGCTGACATGAGGCTTGCTGTGGCTTGCTTCATGCTGCTTGAAACTCTTCTGCAGACAGCTGGCATGATAAAGGTCATCAGCCATGGCTTCTCGAAGCGCTCCGTGTGGCCATCAGCAGTACCGGACATGGTGAAGGCCACCCTCAGTCATAGAGATGAGGAAAAGACTCTTGCTTCACATCTCTTGCCTTCTTGGGCACTGGGATGCTTTTGGGGCCTTATATGGGCAGGAAGTTTCATCTTGTGCCGAGGATCTTCATGGTGATCGTGTTGAGCGACCCACATACCAGAAGAGCTTGCACATAGATGCAGGTCCACGTGCGGCTGGCCATGGCGATAGCTCACCGCGTGCGACGTGCGCAGTGCTCACTTCAGAGGTCCTGCACCTTCTACAGCTTTGCGGTCTCCACTGCCAGAATTGGCCCCTTCATCTCGTGCTGAGGTTAGGTGAGGGTGCCTAAGCCTCTCAAGCAACCAAAGTTTGCTTCTGTGGTGCTTGCGTCTTTGTATATTGCTGCAAAGTCAACTCGGCTAGGCATGAAGAGCCGAATCAGCCCTCAAAGCTCTGACAATCTGCACACGTTGCTGCGCTGGCATCTGCAGATTGGAAAGACACAGGATGCAAACCGAGGGACAGTACTTTTGCCGTTCCGCAAGCAAGGCTACCTCTTGCGGGACAGAGTCTGCGGGCAAACTGAGCGCCGAAGGCCAAGGAGTCACGTCGGAACCTAGGCACCGCAGATTCTTGATAAATCCCAAGTCCAATTTCTCAACTTCCGCAATACCAAGCTCTGACATCTGGATTCCAATTTAATCCCTGAACCTCACTCCCAGCGTTGTACAGATTTGTGCAGCAGCAGCTGCGCGATTTACCATCTACCCAGCGGTGCCTGAAGGCCGTTGGTGGCGTTGGCCTGGACTTCAGGGGGTCCTCCATTGCTCGCGCTCTCCTGCCCGAAAGCGCACACCCCCTGAAAAAGCAAGCTCTTCAATGCTGATTTAAACCACCTGCCACAAGGATTGCACGCACAGTCTTGGTTACATGCTACGGCTATGGGGAGGAACACGAAACCTTTCACAGCATGTGCCGTGGGAACCGAATACATGAACGGTCGCGCAGCGCGTCAACATGATTTTGTAACAGAAAGCCTTGCGTTGCCTCACCATGTTGATGAGAGGGGCTCTGCTTCAGCCACCAGTTCTGCAAACTTCTGTCCGAGATAGACCCACATCTTCCCAGCTGATGCTTCAGCGACAGCCCAGCATCAACGTTGACCTCGCGAAGGCTGTCTGGCCTTCTGGGCTAAAGTCTCATGATGCTAAACACTGTCGCCGAAGCAGCAGTCTGATGGTTAAAACTAAATAACGGATCATCTGTGCAGATCTTCTACGCATCGCTACAGGACACCCCATGCCCAGTCTGACTAGCTGCCATTTGGGCTCGCAGTGTGCCAACAATAAGACTTCGAAGAATCTGCCTCCGGCGCTGCGCTTTGAAGCTCCTGAAGAGGAAACCTCTCAGACTGGCCTTTGGGGTGTCGGACATTATCTCCCCCTGGAGCACCAAGCGGCCAATAGAGAGCCGTCAAGGTGCTACAGGGGGTGGATCCACCTGGAGGTGATCCACTGAAATCTTTGTCGCGGCAGTGAGCGCCCGGCTGCTGTGGCGGTCAGAGCGCTCAGATTCGACGGAGGGCGTGGGCTCCAACCTCGGCACCTGCATGCTGTACCTGAAGTCTGATCATGGGCTGCAGATCATGGGCTGCATTCACATGCCGGAGCCCCTGCCGAGAGGCTAAGCCCTGAACCCAGACATAGGGTGCAGGGTGGAATTAGGGTTTAGGGTTTAGGGCTTAACTAGGGTTAGGGTTGAGGGTTTAGACTTGCCGGCCAAGGACCGCCTGACGGGATGAGAAGACCTAGGCAGAACACCGAACCAGGGTCAAGCCGAGAGGTCAGAACAAGATGTGGTACTGTACATTGGCAATTTGCGAACCCAAAGTTTAAGTGCACAAGATGATTTTCATGAATACGGAAAGGTGTTCCCGTGACCTCCTATGTAGGGCCTCATGGACGCAATGCAAGTGCAATCCAAGCAGCGTTCTGTCTGAAGCACCGGCCTGCGGTCCAGGCAAGACTTCTGGGAAGTGCATGTTGAGTTCGTGCGTGGTTCACGGGCCTTTCTGGCCCAAGCCTGTTTCTCTGCCGTTAGAGAGGTGCACAGAAAAAAACGGATCACTACTTCACTAGTCTGAAAGGCTACAGTACTGGCAGATCTGGCAAGGGCTGAAGCAGGAGGGCCGCAGCATGTCCACTACGAGATAAAGGACGCAGACGTCCCGAGCCGAGAGGGACTGGCTCGAGTCATGTTGGGTGTGCGGGTGCAAGCGCCTGAAATCAAGCGAAAAGCACGTTCAACCTCGCGTCCGAACGCACGATCGAGAGTGCGAATGCAAGCATGCGAGCGAGTGTAGAAGCTTCCACCCCTCGTGCAAGTGATGCGCGAGCAGGCCGTGAACCCTGCCCCAAAAAATCCCTCCAAACATCCCCATGCACCCTCTGGTGAATCGACTTCGCCTACCAAGTCGCACCTCCTACTCTGCTGCCTTCTTCAAGCATCCTCGTTGTTGCCGAGGCCGTGAAATCTGTGAATCTTGATCACACTGAGCCGCCAAATGCACAAATTGCCAAAGCCGAAAAAACACTACGGTCTCTAGAGTAAAGCTCGAAAACCCGTACAGCAACCCACGAATCGAAAGCAGAACGTAGCCAAGCCTTGTCAGCCAGCTGCGACTTGTACTGGACAAGGCATTGGAAGAGGGAGTTCTTCAGAGAGGCGTGCATGGCCTCACAGCTTGGGCTCTACGGTTCGGAGGTTTCGGGTTGAGGGTTTGGGACCCTTTCCCAGTCAGGATCCACACCTGCGTGCACCAGAAGAGGGGAGATACATTGAACAAGCAGGCCAGTGCAGCTGCTGCGAACTTTGCGGGCAGGTGGCAACATCTCTGTCTAGAAGGACATCCACGTAATCCATCTTCTCCTCATCCGTGGTAGTACTGAACTGTTTCTCGATGGCCTCACAAGGTGGCATAATGGGGCATGTGCGCGTGTGCTTCGGACAGACCTAGAAAACCTAGAAGAGCTCGCATGATGCTATTGGCATCGAAGCCTGGCGAGCACGGAAGATGGCGGATGGATCCTGCAAGGGCTCAACGCCATGCTCTGCCCTGGCTTTGCTACACCCTCCCTCCCCCCCCTCGTTGCTCATCTACCCTTCCCTGACTTATATATAGCTCTGCTTGTACCGGCCGTGCCTATTAAGCTTCAAGTAAGAAGACGTATATACAGCAGGCAATGCTCAGCCGCCTGATGGTACACGGCACGCCTGGTTCGCTTAGGTAGAGACATGTTGCAGCGAGGAAAAGTCGACAGTGCCTGGAACACAGATTGCTGCCTTTCCTGCATTCTAGTAGTAGGGCTTTCGGGGGGTCATTGGGACAATGAGCCCGGCAACCTGAAATGCAGCAGCATTTGAGCCGCTTCACAGTCGGCAATAGTCGTGACTGGAAAGCATCTTCTACTGTTGCGGATTCGTGCTGCCTCGGGGATGGACTTGGCTACTGAAAAGTCTACTGCAAGTCCTGCGTGCTCTGGAAGAGGCAGTCTAGGCCCAGCAGCATCAGCCGCAGCGCGCGCTTCGGCTTCTGCGTTGCCACGTGTGGTCGAACACTCTTCCTTAATTGAGGCATGATCGCACAAGGACTCTTGGTTTTACGTTTCAAGCATGGGCCTGTTCTCCACACGTAGAGTACTAAACAAAGATGGGAAACCTTGACTACAGGGTACGGTTTGTTTATGGATTTCTCGTCGACGGCCCAATGCATAGATCCACCGCACACATAGGCAGCACCTCCAATCCAGCTCAGTAGCATGAGGTTGATGGCTTGCTGCAACCGCTCTTGGGTCTTTTCAGCCACTTCTGCATGCCTGCAACTCACCAGCTACAGGTAGGCAAAAGATGAAACTTATTGCAAAGTCACATACTGTGGAATGTTCTAGGCCATATCCTAGTGCACATGATGTACTCGGGGCCCCGTAGCCGTCGTCTGGCACTCCCTCACTACCCTCCTCAATAACAGGCAGGCTGGGATCGAGCCCTTTCTGGAGGCCGTGGCCTCAGCAACCAGTATCTCAATGATCTCCAAAGGCCCTAGACTGCCCTAAGCTGCCCTAAGCCCATGCAAGATGTGAGTCCATGGCCTGCCTTCTGGTCACCTCCATCTTTTCCATCCGCTCCACTTGTTGCTCCTCTGCGTGGAAAGGTTGGACAAGGAGCTAAGGGCCTTGTAGAGTTCAGGAAAAGTTAAGGTTCCTGATAAGTGACAGTGACAACCGGGGTTTGTTTGTCTTTGTAGCAGCCGAGGCGCGGCTTGGATCACCTTGGAAGGCTTTCAAGTTTTAGGAGAAACATGTGGGGCGGCACGCCGGATGGAAAGCTACCTCTCATTAGCAATGGGCTCTGCCGTCTGCCAAGGCGCAATGCCTGCAATGGTCGTTGACCTTTCCAGCTGGGCAACAGCCTCCGGGGCAATCGGGGCAACACAAACCACATCATCTCTGGGCCCCATGAAGCTGCACGCAGACTTCCCTGCCACCTCGGGGGAGCTCTTCACAACTTCGAGGGCTTCCTTCTGCAGTTCGTGTGGAACATACTGAAGTGCCTGGCAGAGCTTGAAAGCATGCGAGGGAAACTTTCTCAAAGAACACGTTCTTGTGAATCCCTGGGTCGATACAGCGGGTACTGTGGCAAGTGGGTCGGTGGAGTTCAGCAGGCCCTTCACTCCCGTAACCCGAGCAGCCTTCGGGCTGCTCGCGACAGCCCTCTCCATGATCTCGCGGTTCATCTTCATGCTGTCCTTGGACTCGCATGGCTTCGGGCTTTGCATCTTTTAAAGTTTAGGGCTGAGTAGGGTTAGAAGTTTGAAGGGTTGAGGGTAACACCCCCCCACATGCGTGTGTCCACAACTTGGGCTGTCCAGGCTCCGGGGCCAAGCGAAATGCTTCGCCATCCTGCGCCACAGCGGCCAACACCACGGAGTCATCCAGAAGGGCAGATCCCTGGGTTGCCACACAGGGTATCTTGGGGTACATGGCCCCTTAGTAACTGGCCCTTAAAAGGGGACCCCTTTATGTGTTATGTAAATTTTGTAGGTACCCTATGACTGCCCTTAGAAGGTGAGACATGCTGGGAATGCAGGGGAGGGGCAAGGGTGGCACAGGCCTAGGCTTTCGGGTTTCAGGTTTAGGGTTTAGGGTTTAGAGTTTAGAGTTTAGGGTTTAGGGTTTAGGGTGTAGGGTTTAGGGATTAGCTGAAGTCGCAAAGACAGCATCTCAGTGTGTTCAAAAAGCACCAAGCCCGGATGTGAGGGATGCGAGCAACCTATCATAGGGCATCCCTGTTTCACAACTCTGCCCGGAACGTTCAACCACAAAACCCGAAACCGAATCCCAGCAGTTTGGCTGGCCGCACTTTGAGAGTGGGACAACTGAACTTTTCTCGTCATGTTGGAAGCCACGGTTGAGTGGAAGAAGGAGCTCTTGATGAATGTCGGGAGTGGAAGTGTGGAGAAATATTTCCGGATTGGCAGTGCTGACCTTTGGATGTTGCACGAAAAGCCACCCAAACCCCACATACCCTAAACAGTTTTAATTGAATCTTGCCCGAGCAATCCTTCTCCTAATGCACCCCCGTCACCACCCGCCCCCCCCCCCGCCCCCCCAAAGCACCAGCACTACGCAGAAGTCACTTCCGTCGGGCAGCCGATGCATACTGGAGCGCAAGACCATCCTGCGCAGTGTGTGCAACATACATATATACATGTGTGGTGTCGAGCGCACACATGCTGTCTGTACATAATCCGTATACGCATGCCTACAAACCGATGAAAAAGTCAGGCCGATGGCAGTTCCCAACTTCGGAGATTAATCGTGAAACTGTGCTGGTCCTGCTGCACGGCCTCCAAAACAACCTCACGGTCCACGCGCATCTCCTGACCCGGCTTCGGGTTTTCAAGATTTTGCTCTTCGCAAATCTTGGGCTTCCTGTTCATTGCGAGCCTCTGCCGCATACTGCAGGGCCATGCCGTCCTGCTTGACGGCCTCTGGACACATTGATCTGATCTCACTACTACGCATGCCTTGCTCATCCGTGAAGCTCATCACTCTAGCATTCAAGCAATTTCGGTCAAGAACACTAAAACATGAACACCCAAATGGGTGTGAAAGGGTGTGAACCTGTGCATCTGTCTGTGCATCCGTCCTCGATGACCAGGTCCTTGTCGGCCTTCAGCTCCACCGGAGCATGAGCCAACGAAGCTCCCGAGCTTCGGACCTCGAGTTTAAGGTGGCGCTTACGGGGCGTTACAGGGCTTACATGGGTTCAGGGCTAAGGTTTGCTGAGCGCTGCGCGGCAGTGAGGACTAAGTTGTGGATCAACTTCCGCTCAAGGCGCTCGAAGCTTGCGAACTTGAGCCTTGGGCATCTCGCAGGTTATGGCAGCATGGACCCTCGGCATTCCTCAACTAGTCTGTACGACCACGACACGTACATCACAAGGCTGGCCGCCGTCGCGCGAATGCGCGTGACAGCGTAGCGTTTCTGCAGCCCTTGTGTTTTTTGTTAATGCATCACCATGCCCAGCAAGATGGCAACAGCATGCAACAGCTACGGCTACAACCAGCTCTCCGAACGGAGCCTACACCAGGAATTCCTGTCTTCCAAATCTGCCAGGCTTCGCCTGGCCATGACGACCCACAGCCTTCAGCATCAGTTCCTGAGCCCAGCAGGTTCTTGAGGTGCTTGGGGCGCTTCGGGGGCCTTCGGGGGGGAAGGGCAAGTCAAAGGCCCCCAGCTTTAAAAAGGTGCGAATCTGAGTCATTATGGGGTCACTCCGCAGCGGCTCCAAGAGGTCATCCTGGATAATGCCCAACAGCTTCAGGCATAGGGGGACATGAGACTGCAGTCAAGCTGCGTAATTCTGACCGAAGGTCTCTGCCCTAAACCTCTCGATGGTGGAGTCGATGCGCTCGAAGCCTGGTTGCGTGGAGCTCTTTAGCGGGCCTTGGGGGGTGAGACCTATATCAGAAGCTGCGCTTGCCTACCGCAGAACCTGGAACTACCGAGCAACCACCAGTGGCCATGATCTCGGTAATGAGCATTTTCTCATCTTCCATCCGATCACACCTGATCCAGCAAGTGTGGCAGAAGACGCATGCCATGCTTCGCAGTTCCAAGTGCAGCACCTGGCTTGGATTGTCTTTACCTTCACGTTGGCCGCCCACATGCAGTCTTCCCAAGTGCTGGTGCTGCAATTCTCGCTCCTGACACAAAAAGGTCTGGTCGGAGGACTGTCTTCTGGTCTGTTTCCCGATGTGCTGCGGCCAGGGCACAGAAAAAATTGAAGTCTTTGCAGGGTTTGCTCCTCATCGCAGGGTCGCTTGGGCAGATGCTTAGCTTTCATCAAGAATCGAAGGGCAAGTCCTTGTACTTGTCTGACATGGATGTGCTCACATCTACATCACCCTGCCACATGTCCCGCGTGTACACACAATGGAAGACGCTTCGTAAGGTTTGTGAGCGCCACACACACCCATCATGCCGTGCCTTCAAGGCGCGCTCGACTTCATGCACGCACCAGAGCCTCTTGTAAAGATCCTGATGATGACGGCTGGGGGTATGCTAGCTGGCTTTTCGTGCTTGCGTGTTTGGTACCTGCGGACTCCGACTTGCCACTACGAACCCAACTCTTCTGAAATACAAACTGACTTCAAGCACGACGTGCGCTCGACAAGGCTTACCGATATTGTATTTAGATTGCTGAGGAGTCGCAGCTGTGGACGTGTGTATGGCGTGAAGTCCATAGCCTGCCGGGGAGCGCAGCTGATCATCAAGCAGACTGGCCTGGGTCCCGAGGCCGTCGCTCGCCTGTCCCTCTTCTCAGGCTGGCAGCCGAGATGACACTCGCGAATGGCCTCAAGCTTAACCTGACATTGACATGTCTTTGAATGTTGCAACTGAAGTGCCCACCCATGCCAAGAATATCCAAGAATGCTGTATAAGAGCGCGGCTGGGCTTCAATGCTGGGCCCACTCTCATCTCCAACCTGCCGCTAGACTAAGTGCTGTGGAAGTAAGAGATGCGAGGTCATGCACGCGGATGCACTTCAGGGCCTGGAAATTTGCAAAGAGGCAGAACCACACAGCTGTCTGTCCTGAGCAGAGCACTGCAGTTCGAAGACCACGACGCAGTTAGGATTTACACATATAGGATATGACGGAATTGAGTGACTTCTGGATCAGCTTCAGCGACACTTTCAAAGCGTTACAAATGGCTTCAATTAAACTCCAAGCCCGGGCAGAGCACTTCTGCTCCTGACAGCCCGCCGGTTCCTGTATTCGACTAAGCCTTCACATGACTGCGCACTTCCCTGAAGGAAAACATGCATAGGGCATAGCTGCAGATCTCACATCCCGACTTCGAACCTTTGTTCGGAAACTCGTGGTCTTGAAGTTGAAGTGCGCCAAAGGTAGGGTTTCATGATGGAGGGGACGGGCATAGAACGCCTGCAGATGCGGGCGTGTATGCCAGCAGTACCCAGGCCTTCGCCTACAGTACTTTTCATGCATTGTCGTCACCAACCTAAATAATCCGTGAACCGCAAAAATGACACGTGAAGCCTTCCAGCTCTTCTTCTTGCCACCTTGCTCTTCGAGCATCTGAGTCTGCACGCAAGGCTTTCCTTTATCGATATTGAGTATTGCCAGGAAGTAGGGCTGTGCGACACGTGCCTCTGTAGGCCAGTTTGTGCTTCTCATGTCGTGCCACGATGGCGCCGAGCATCGTGGCAGTTGGGCTTGACGAACATGCTCCATGACTGCCGATTGACACTCCTGCCAGCGCCAGCTTTGCATACACTTTCTTGGCGCTGGGCCTAAGACGTGCAGTCCTCGACATCTTCCGCCCAAGCGTGTGACAGCATCAGCTGCGCTGAATCCTCTCCGTGTCTGAGGAGGCATCACACAAGCCCCACAAGTGCTTGGGCAAGGCCATGGTAACGTCACGCCTCACGGTGCTGGCTCATCATGACGGCGACACCACAGCCCTCTCCTCGCAAACGGGCCATGTCTGCGAGATCAGGCCCCTCACACACAACCCGGCCTCGTGTCCATGGTTTGACATACTCTTGGTTCAGGTCATACCTTGATAGACACATGCGTGCCACTCAACAATCTGGGCCCCAGGTGGATCCAGGTGATCCAGGTGGCATGTTCACGTACTTCTTGCCGTGGCTCTTGAAGACCTGATACCTGGGGGCGACCGAGGCTCAGTCTGCCCTCAAGATCTGCACCGACGTTTTCATGAATCTACTGAAGACGAGGGCATTGCTCTTCGGTGGCAAGTGCTGGCATGACTGCCGGGGGTACAGAGGGACGTCAGACATGCGGAGCTTGTCTTATGCAAGGTGCGCTTCCTGCTCCTGGCAGAAAGTGAGCACTTGGTCCCATTCGTCAATGCTGAGGGTCCAGTTCTGCCTGAGTTGAAGCGCATGCTGTTTAGGGTTTAGGGTTTAGGGTTTAGGGTTTAGGGTTTAGGGTTTAGGGTTTAGGGTTTAGGGTTTAGGGTTTAGGGTTTAGGGTTTAGGGTTTAGGCTACACACGAAGGGAAGACGTTCTGAGGTCTGATTCTGATTCCAGCTTGCTGCCAAGTCTGCGGATTTTCCCACTGCCTCCGTCGCATGGTCGCAGACGCCTGAAATGCCATGCCCTGCGGCCTGTCTGGGACGTAGTCTGTTTCCTGGCGGAGTTGCTTCTGCTTTCTTGTTCTTGCTCATCCCTGAACTATCCTAACTATCCAGACTCCTTCAGCCCCGCTCCTTCTCATTGTAGCTGCGCCGTAACCAGAACTCTAAATTTCCGAGAAAAAAGCCAAGCCCAAACCGCAGCCGCAGCATCTCCTCGGCAGCCACCGTTGGGTCTCTCTCCAACTTCACGGCCGCCAGGAAGCTCGTGGGCTAGCAAAGGGAAAGAAGGATGCGCTGCTCCAAAAGAGATGCCACAATGTGGAATACTTTGCTGGGCACAAATTTGCCCCATAGACTTGCATCTTAACATGTTGGCCTTCACGGACGCGTTGCGCACCAGCTCTCCTCGCCGCCGGCAGTGCGACAATAGCACAGTGCGGGTGTGCGCAAGATTGTGCAAGTACATATCTGCAGGCAAGGGGCCCGGAGGCAGCTCTTTCATGTTCGACTCTCCAGGTTCCTGCCTCAGAGATCGACAAGAGAACACGTAGGGATTTCCAGGGCCTCTGCTTTTATCAAGCATACTTATAATCAGAAAGGGTAGGTCAAATATGGGTTGCAATGATGATTGCTGCACTTGGCAGAACTTGCTGATCAGTCTTGCAGCCACGGCAGGTGCCCTCGCCACATCCCGGGCGGGGATTGCTGCCCACAAACTTCAGTCTTTTGTAGAGGACAGTTCTACTGACTGATAATTATTGCAACTCTGTGAAGTCTGTGAGGCCCGCAGCTAAGGGCTCAGCAGAGAATCCTGCAGTTGGCGGCACTCTTCTGACTTCCTGGGATTGGGGACACTGGTCATCTTCCGGTGCTCCCGACATGAAAGGCTTTGACTGCGCAGGGGTTGCAACATGCTGCAGTACAGCCGACATGTCATGACATGCCGCATCGTGCCACACTGTCACTGATACTCAGCGCGTGTCGAGTCCAGCTCCTTGTTCAGCTGCTGGTTATCTTGCTGAGACCTCGGGAAGCATTCCAAAGCTGCGCAGAGCAACGCACGAAGCCAGCCAATTTCGTCCAGCACGGCCTGAACCATATTGGGGCTCTCGCTTCTGCAGGTCGGACTGCAGCTGCGAACATTCCTTTCGCAACCTGATGGTACATGCCTATTGTGGGTGTGCAGCACAGAGCAGTAGACTCGTCGATGCCGAGTGCAGAAAGTGGGTCTTCGCGTCTTGGCTCACGGCGCATTCACTGTGTGAGACAGCTGATCTCTCTGGTCCACAAGCCTGCAAGAACTTTCTGGCAAAAGGGTATCCTACACTTTCGCAGATGGGTCGGTCCTTTGCACTTCTCCTGCGGCTGCAACTTTGTCAGCCTCTTTGACTTCGAGCTCCTGACGGTGATGGGTACTGCTTGGCAGGAGCATTTCGTGGTAGGACCCCCCGGTGCGCCAGGGATGGCAAGACCAGCCAATGCACTGATTCGCTGTCCTTCAGCTGATGCCTGCCACAATGGCTGACGCAGCTTTAACATTCTGAAAGTTCTGGAAAAAGATGGAAAAAGAATATCAAAGGCGATATAGCTCAATGACGCCTCACGCTCTCAAGCTCGGATTGGAGCTTCAGCGATTTCCGCTCGGCGTGTCTGCGCTTGGTGACTTCAGCTTGGGCCTCCTGCGCGAAGGGACCGAACCCTCCCGATCGCCCAAACAAGCCCCAACATGCCCCAACGTGCCCTGCAGCTGCTAACGGCTTTGCTGTTCTTGTTCGGAAAGTGCCCCCGACATGTCCCAACATCTAGAAGCTCCTTGTGGCCCTCTTTGCTGAGGCTCTCCACCGGCGAGACCGGCTTGGTCTCAGCTGCCGAGCTCTGTCTGGCTGCAGACCTTGTGAAGGCACACAACAAGGTAGGGCAAGAAAATGTATCAGTTTGTGATCCTTAAGGCCCCAGAATCTCGGGTCCAAGTCAAAGGCTCATGAAAGCTCCAGATTTGCTGTGTCTGGTGCTTGCTTGGACTGTGTTGGCGAAGGAGCTTCACGCAGGTCCGGTATTGTGGGCTTTCCTGCTCTCTATCGGCATAGACCCAACAGTGTAGGGCCCTTCAAGGGCACTCGTGGGGCACCACCCAAGTGCACACCAAGACCACTCCACAAGGGCCCAAAGGCGACGACAGTTCCGCACCTCACGAGCACGCGCACGGGACAGAGGTGAGCGCCAATGGCAACGCTGAAGAAGTACACTTTTACAAGCTGACGCACAAAGCAAAGCCGCCTATAGGCGAGAGCGTCACGGGCATGCGGAAACACCGAGAGGATCATCGATCGCGGTTCGAAAAAGGGCACGACACCCAAGCGAGAGCATCCGGCGTGGAAGGGAAACAACGAGTGGGTCATCGATTTCGAGGTCCCGTGCACCTCATCCTCGTCACTCCCAAACGGAAGAACATGCAACACCCCCAGGGTCCCAGGGTGCAGGCACTGTTTGGAGAATTTACACTCAAAAGTAGCTGTTCATGACATCTGTCGATTCGCAACGCCTGAGCATGCCTGAGCCTACCCGAAACCGAAAACCTACCTACACGGGAAGGGGCGGGGGGAGCGAGGGACCCTAAAGTAAAGCCGGGCCCCCAACCCCAAAACCCCTCCGCGTGCCGGGTGGGCCGAGGTGGCCGATGCAGCATTTACATATTTAATCAATCTAAGCAAGTAATTTAGTAACACTAGTAATAGTAATAATACTTATCAACAATGCTAGTCATAAAAACCTACTCCGAATAATATGATGCTCAGATGCAGCCAGCGGGGCCAAGCTTCTTCGAGCTGTAGTTTGTGCAGAATCTGACGGGATCTCAGCTGACCTTGAAGCGTGCCTCGGTCAGAAGGGGGCGCGCGCTGATTTTCAGAAAATGTGCGTGTAGAGTTTTTCCGTGCATTTCGCATATGGGGGGTTTCCGAAAATAGGGGCACCCGTTTTGGGGGCCCCTTTGTTGGGATTCCCTTCTATTTGGGGTATAAAAGGGGTACCCCTATTTTGGGAAACACCCATATATACATATATATATATATATATGTATCTTCTGAACTTGCCCTCCGACCTTTGAGCTCCTGACGGTTCAAGCCGTGCAACTTCTGAAGCTCACCTTGCCATGCCTCCATCCTGTGCAGGGCTCCATCGACCTCGTCCAGTACCTTGATTCCCGCAACTTCGCATGTAACAAGAAAGCTGGGCCAACAGTTCGGTTTTGGGTTTAGCGCCAGGAGCTTCGGCAGTCGCCCTGTGCGACTTTCAATGCGCTCACATCCGCTCTACCCAGCAGGATTTTACTTGATCCGCGATAGACAGTCCTCACAATAGCTTTCCTCTCCGAGGCACTCTGGACAGGATGCTGCCATACGTAGGGAGTAGATCGCACAGCCAGGCCAAAGCCTGGCCGAGGTGGCTCTTCTACACTCTGCCTCGCAAAACCCTACAGCCTGACCATACAAACCATGAGAGAAAAGCCAATGAACGCCGCACGCCCCGACAGGCCCCCCACAAGCCTTAGGTTGCGAAATTCTTAAGGCTCTCAAGAGAGACAGAGAGACAGAGACAGAGTGACAGAGAGAGAGAGAGAGACCATGAGAGACCTAGCTCGCGCCCCCGCCTCTCGGTGCAACCGGAACCTCTCTTGGCAGGGAGCTTTGGAGCTGAGCTGCTGGGCTTCCAGCGAGGAGTCCAGCCAAGCCTCCTGGGATTTTTGGGGGACCATTTAGGGGCTTTTTAGGGTTTCAAGGGCAACAGAAGTACACAGCAGAAGAACCCGAAATTGAAGCCCCAAAGCCAGAGGCCGCTACATCGAATTCAATGCATCGAGGTGCCAAGGCGGGTGGGTTCCGGAACTTTTTGGCCGCGCCCCGCCGCGCAGAGGACCTCTCAATCATGTCCAGGGTGCAGGAGCTTAGGGTTTATAGTTTATAGGCTTTTTGGATTTAGCCATGTTGCCATTGGAAGAAAGATATGCCGAGATCACACCCCCCGCACCAGGGATGAAGTCATCGGTTCATGAGGAGGCTTGGCTGGGCTGAAACTACATCCTTCTTGCATTTGGGGCGGTTAAGAACCGATGATGAGTGGCACGGTGTGGCACTCCACTGCCTCTCCCGTCGGATGGACTCCTCAAAAACTTCCAGCGGCCCCGGGTTCTTCTCATCCGCCCGTCCTTAGGATGGGAAGCCCAGCACAACAGAAACCCGGAAGGGCGAAAAGCAAGTGGAACGATCGCCTTTGAGGATGCCACGTGGGGTCTTCAGCGTCGCATGTGATGGTATGTCCGGAAGCATCTAATGCATGTGCGCGAGTGACCACCCCTAGAGGCTTCTACGATACTGATTGGAATCAGGGTGGTCTTTCCCAACCGTTACCTCACGTGTTTTTGTGCCCTAGGCCCGGATTTTCAACTCAAGGCAAATGCGCGTTGCTCGTGTAATGGTCTGTTCAAGCTGGCTGAGAAACCTTGGACCAGCTTTGCAGACTGACAATGCGGGAGAGAAAGCATGTCGCAAGTTTCACAGCTCCTGCTTTCGACTTCCAAGGTTCACAGTGTAGCAAGTGCCTCTTCATCTTTCACTCCCTAATTTCAGCAGCACCTGTCCTCTGAGCAGTGCTTATTAGTACTGGCACATTGGTACTGTTGGTCCACATGACACATTTGCCTCCTGCATGAACCCCGCGAGCCGACAGACTACAAGACTTCCCGTCAATTGCATCACCGAAGCAGCAGGGGCCTTATCATGGCTGGAACCATTCTCGACCTGCCGGAGGTGCACCTATATGCCTCTTCTTGTAGGTGACACAGGCATGCGAGAGCTGCTGACAAAACCTTCTCTAAAATCTTTGCAGCAATGACCGTCAAGGTGTGTGCCTTCGGCTTTTTCTCGGGCTTCAGAACGTCAGCCTCACAGGCTACCCGAAAGTAAAGCTAAGATTCATGTATGATGCATCGCAAGTGAAGTAAGACGCAAAGATGGTTCAGGGGTGTAACGTGTGTAGGATTCAATAAGCGTGAATATGAGTGCGCGTGAGGTTCCACAACCATCGCTGGACACATGGACCAAGCGACATGAAGTGGCTTCGAGATTCTCGCAGCATGGGCTAAACACTCAAAACACTGCAAAGGACATGGCTGTGGCAAGGACATAGGGCTGCAAGCAAGAGCAACACATAGCAACACCCTGCCTCAGCAGCTGCTCGCTTTGCCTGGCAGCCGACTTCCTTTTCTTTTCGGTTGCCGCGATAGCCACTAAGTAAGAAGGTAAGGGACCATACTACGGGACAGTGACAGTGCAACTACTACTCTTAGCGTTCTGTAGAGACATTGCCTTCCACTTATGACCGGCTTGCCTTCTCTTTCTTAAACCCTAAGCCTACACCCTAAACCCTGAACCTCTAAACCCTCATCCCTCAAACCCGTACCCCTTCAACCCTAAGCCCGGAAACCCTACTCAACCCTAAAACCCCAAACCCGAAGCCTTAAACCAGGCCTTGCCAGGGTCTTCGGCAACTCGGCCTTCGGCTTGCCTCTTGGATCTCTCCTCGGGGGGCATTTCGTTCGAGGCTGGTCCCTACGTCTGGGGGGGTGGGGGGGGGGGGGGTATGGGGGGCCTTACTTGTTTTCAAATTGTGCAGGCCTTAGGGCGTTCCACCCTCGTTAGATTGTGCTGGATTACGTTGCATTGCGCGCTCGTGCGAAGAATCATCCCCCTAAGCTTTCGAAGGTCGAACTCATGTTTCATGCTCCGAAGTCCTCCAGGTAGGCCTTATGGGCAGGTGAGCCATCGAAGAAGGCCAAGTACGTCAGCGTCTTCTCCAGGTGGTGTTCCAGAGTGACGCCTTCAGATCACTTCAGCCTACGCCGCCACTCACAATGTGCGGGTGTGTGGCTGGGAAAGGTGCCGATACCTTACCCTAAACCCGAAACCCCAAACCAAACATCCGCGAGCCACGTGTATTCTTACGTTCGCCCATGTTCCCACTGGCTCAAGACAGGAGCTTGCGGGCACCTATTACGAGTAATTCTAATGATGCTGTTAATACAAGAAGACCAATATTACTAAAAATATGAAAATGCTGATAATGCTAATATATTACTACAATAACAATTTATTATGATTGCAAGGACAACCATAAGAGCTGTGAGATCAGAATCCCCGAACCACGGACGTGCCTTCCAAGGTCTTCATGGAAGACGAGAAGTTCTTGAAGCCCCACCTTGGCAACACGCATTGCCCCCCCCCCCCCCCCCCCGAAAAGCGCCCAAGGGAACATGAAGAGCAGAGCTGTGTTCCGAACTTGGACGTGTCGAGCTTCTCTCCTGGGTGCCGCTTCTGCCAGGCATCCTCCGGAACTTCTACGTGACATCCCCTGTGTGCTGTCTCAGTGAAGCCCCTCTAAAAATCGAGGCTTCTAGGCTGTTGCTGACAATAGAGCCCTAGACTCCCAAGGCCTAGGCGCGCCGTAGGCCTTAAGTCTGGGTCCTTGATGGTGCTGATGTTCTTGCCTTCATAGGCCTCAACGCTCTCATCCCACAAGGCTGTTCAAGGCCGTTCAGGAAGATTCAGAAAAAAAAGATACACAGAACAACCATCCTAATCATGAGCCAGGGTTTGAGGGTACCAAGGTGACGACAGCGAAAGAATCCGATCCGCTACAACCGCTGCTGCATGGACTGCTACCACTGCCGCCATAAAAGGCTTTTGCTTCTCGGGAACATTGTCATCCGCCACGCCGCCACGCAGTCGGGCCGAGGTACAGGGCAGTTGCTGATGTATTGGCATTGCGGCATGACAGATTTGCCGCACGAGTCAATAAGTGCACCTCACCCCTGAGAACAACACTTCTCGTATGAGGCCGACAAGGTCCTCCTGTCCGCAAGCTGGCAAGTCTGGCGGTCACAGTGGTGACACTATGTTGCTATTCCTCGTGGCGCGACTACTCTTCTCACCACTACTCATACGAGTGCCAATTCATGGCGATTGCTCCGAAATGTCATGCCTTGATGTTCTGCGGGAGCTCGAACTGGAACCTTTCAGAGCAAACGAGATTCCGTCGTCGTCGGCTGAACAGGTGGGTCACGTGGCGCAGCATGCGAATCAGGTTGGGATCCCGGACTTCGTGTTGGGAGCCACGGGCGCGACTCGCATTACACGTCCGTGCAGCTCCACTTTGTCACACCTCTGTCCCGTGCGATGCAATCGGTGAAATAAGGAGGAAATCAACCTTCAAATCTTCACAACACCTCAGATTGGCACTGTTCCACAGCAGCATCTGCGGCTTTTGAGGACTCAAACCTTAGCCATGCAGCCATGCACAACGCTCGGTGGTCCAAAGGGAAGAACAAAGACATTGACATCTCATTTCCATTTGGTCATTGCTCAAAGCCTCAGAGCCGTGACCAGTCGTGAGGCTGAGTTCGGGGAGCGCTGGATCGGGCAGGTTGTGTGAGATCCTTCTTGGGGCGAGGCTGCACATGTCCAAAGCCCAGCGCTTTAGTGGTCACCTTCAGATAGCGCCGATATCGCGGATTGCGTTAGCTGAGGTGTTACTGCCATGCAGCCAACCAGTCCATTGCTCATGCCGCTCATGCTGCCGCCTTGTCCCGATTCAGCCGGAGACCCTTGATCTCACCCGCTGCTCCTAGCCAGCTGCGGATCTCCTCCTCCTGTGCCTTGCAAAGTGTCGCTATCGAGCTGCATGCGGGGTTTGTCTTAGCTAAGCAAAAAGTCGCCCACCTTGAACGGCAAGTTGGTGATGAACACCGACCGTGCATTCGTTGCCTGTCATGTGAAACTCCGCCATGGCCAAGAAATCAAGCAAGGATCAAGCCATCACCAGCAGCGTCAGTAGCTGCTCGTTCTCGCCAAGTCTGATAGTATCATGAAGAGGCGCATCGTGGAACTGCAAAGGGCAACCTGCCTTGGCGACACGAGCCTTGGCAGTGGCAGGCTTGCCAGAGGCTCAGCTTCTCTAAATTCGGCCCTCCTCCTGCTGTATGACACGTACTTACACAATACGCTTTCAGCTTCCAGAGGTGCGCAGCCTCTCCTTCCACCTGGGGTCCCGGACTCTTCTCTCCGAGTCCTTGGCAACCCGTGCGATGGCGACCTTGAGCCTGCTCCGATCGGTGCTCCGATCGGTGCCCCGATCGGTGCCCTGATCCGCGGCCTTGGGGCAGCTGGAATCACTGGAATCTTTGCCGACTCTTTGCCCTTTGATCCGCTCCAAGGCTGCTCAGGTCGCAGCCTCTGATGTCGGTGCTTGCTCAGGAGGGTCATCCACGTCCTCAAGCTCACAACATGGCGCTAGCACACCTTATGGGCCAAGCATGGAGGGGAGTTGCTTTTGCCACATTCGTCGAAGCGCGGGCCTCGTAGGAAATGGCGTTCCTGTGCGCGGAAGGCTGCTCTGCTCCTCCTGCTACGATGTCGCACGCGCAGTCACGTGCAGGGCCAAGGTCATCCCGAAAGCTTGCGTGGTCGGCACATCTTGGTTCTGAGAAGACGCCTCCAGCAGCTGTTGCTGGAAGCACCGAGGGCTCGCTGCTTTGCGGAGCACTCTCTGCCTGAACGGCATTGCCATCTACCTGCCACACAGCAAGTTCAAGCCAGGACGGAAGCAAAATCGGATACGCGTACCTCAAAGACTAAGCGACCGCCATTCAGACATTTGCTGCGAAGACAACAAAAGCATGTACTCGCCCTCGCATGGGATCGCACGGCGTCGCATGGCATGGAACATGGAACATACTCACCATACTCACATCCGGTTGCTCTGAATCACGGTCATTCTTCCATCCAGGGCCACAAACGGAACACAGTAATTGGCACAAACGGAACACAGAAAATGGCACTGGCCGTGGCACCTTCGCCACCAAGCTCTCGGGCGTCGCGCTCCCAGGCTCGGCTCCCGCGGTTTGGAGAGCCTCAACAATGACTCAACAGGCATGAAACCCCGAGAAAGGAAGCTTTCAACAGCTTTCATAGGGGTGGCCTCCTTGAGTGATGGGATGACGGGCGCCTGCCAGATTCATGAGTTTCCCTGCGAGATGTCATGGCAGAATGGCCCGGGAGTGCTTCTGCTGAGTGCGCAGCAGGCTTGTTGGCCCCTTTCAAGACATCTTTGAGAGAAGGAAGTGCCTAGTGAAGCAAATATGCATACGCTTTGCCCAGCTCATGCAAAACAATGAGAGTAGCGTCAAGCAGGGCATGGTGGCAAGGCACTACATTGCTGACGGGTTCCAAGATGTTCCAAACCCGCAGTGCACTTTGTCAGTTGCAGACTTAGAGCCCGCACAATACCGGCTTGCTTGACGCAGATGAGATCATTCTCACCTTGAGCAGCATGAGGAACAAAATTGAGCCAAAAAGCTTCTCCAGTTGGCGAATGTCCGAGGCCGGCTCGCTTCTGGCGCTTCCGACGCTTGGCAGACCTCTCGACCGGAAACATCCGGCACTGACAAGCTAAGCCCGGCCGACTGTTCCCCAAGGTGCCCGCTCTCTGGCCCCAGCCCGCCGCTTCTTCCGATCCTGCTAAAAGCATGGTCCGAGCCCCGTGGTGTTCTAAGGATTCTGAATTCTCAGGCTCTCTGCCTATGGGAGCTCGAAGCAACTTGATCTATGCGCATCCCTGAGGCTCTCACCGCATCAGCGCCTGCAGCTCATTCACTCAGAGAGCTCGAATCGTTGGAGACACGCTGCCCCGGGCCTTCTAAAGTACCAGCTTGGTGTTGGGCCTCTGCACGTGGTTGCAGAGCATAACGTCGAAGGTGCACATCACAGTCTTACTTGATTATCTGGCTTAGCCAGCAACTTCTGTTAATGCCGCAAAGTCGATGTCGTCATTGTCATCAATGTCCTGAGGCTCGTTGAAGCGCATGCCGTGCCCTCACTGGGCATCCCCCAGATGGATGCAAAAGTTGATTTCAATGAAAAACCTCAATGAAAAACCTGATGCTCCTGAGCTACTTATTCTACTAAAGAGCAAGAAGCCAGGTGCCCCAGACCCCAATGGTTTGCAAGAGGTTTTTTGGGGCCTCCAGAAGCACTTGCTCCCTGCGGTTTCGGTCCGAGTCGTATCCGATTGCCCACCAGAACAACATGATTCTGAACAATGCACAAGGCTACAGTCTCCGCGAGATCATGATGCCTCGAGGTTGCTCTCAGCATTTGGCGTGGCATCTGCCTGCCAAGCTTGCGGACTTTATTGCAGACCCATCCATGCAAGACGAACTGCAACCTCATGGTATCTTGCCGACCCTTTTGCTTCTCTTCCGCAGCTCCCAGCGCTCAGGACAGCTGCTACAGCTTGGGTTTTCTGTCCTGACGTTCGATAATTCAGACGATGCATCATGCTTTCTCAAATGTCGTACATGCGTGTAGGCAAGACAAGCACGCCATCTCCTTGTTCAGCCAGGGTTTGGGCGAGCCTGCCTCCGATCCCACATCACAATATCTGCAAGCACGTCATGCTCTCTGGTACACCAATGCTATGTGTACATGAACCTCTACCTCTCTCTCTAGTACATGCCTGTGTGGGTCTGCATGCATGCATGCACGTATGTATGCACGCATGTATGTATTAATGTATGTATCAGTACGCATGTATGTATGTATGCATGTATGCATGCATGCATGTATGCATGCATGCATGTATGTGTATGTATATGTGTATGTGCATGTGTAAGCGTATGTGTGTATGTGTGTATGTGTGTATGTGTGTATGTGTGTATGCGTGTACGTGTGTGTGTGTTGTGTGTGTGTGTGTATGTGTGTATGTGTGTATGTGTGTCTGTGTGTATGTGTGTATGTGTGTATGTGTGTATGTGTGTATGTGTGTATGTGTGTATGTGTGTATGTGTGTATGTGTGTATGTGTGTATGTGTGTATGTGTGTACGTGTGTATGTGTGTTTGCGTGTGTGTATGCAGACGACATAGTGCGAAAGATTGCATTGCTGGACTCATACCATTCGCGAAGGATGCTGGCCTTTGGGCATTTTTCTTCCTCTGAAGGTCCGACGAGGGTTGAGGTGGGGTGGGGGGGGGGGGGGGGGGGGGGGCGACCTTTTTGAACTATCATTTGGCTTCGGCTAGCTGGGCCGGAGGGCTGGGTATGCAGCTTGCAGCCTTGCGTGAGACTACCATCTGAGTGGGCAAAACATCGAAGAAAGCAGGGTGAAACTTCACCTGCATCCTGCCCACCCCCCCCCCTTCCCCAAGGGCCCCTTGAAGAGGACCTAAGGGTACCCTTTTGAGGTGCGCGGAGTCTAAGATTCCTCTTTACCTGGTGCTTCTGTTCTCGCCCCCATGCCGTAACTTTTGCGTTGGAGACTGGGGGGGCGAAGCACTCAACGTTGCATTAAGCAAAGAATGTTTTTTATGCAAATGAAGGAAAGACTTTTCTCATGCAGCACTCTGTTATACTCTGAAACCATGTGCTGCACAATTAACAGACAGCACCGCCGTAAGCATGTGGACGCAGCTTGGCCCCCCAGCACAGACTCGGATACCGCGCTGCACCGCAGGTCGTTCTGCAATCCGGTCCTTGAAAGAACCGGGCCAAGGGATGTCTAGCAGGGAAGGCGAAGGAAGGAAGGCCCTAAGAAACGGCGTGGTAAAAGCCTCAGCTCGCCACCACCCAGGCTTTGAGGTGGGTGTATTGGTGCACGTTCAGAAAGTCCTACCCCGGGCACAGAGTAGCACAGAGTAGAAGGTCCATCAAAAGATTCGAGCGCGACACATCCTTCGCATCTGGCTGGCCAGGGCGATTGTAGCCCTTGCCTTCAGAATGCAGTGAAAACATTGTGAAAACGGGGTTGGCGTGGGGTGGCTCTGGTGGCTCTGCAGAAGTCCATCAGCTCCCGGCCCCACAACATGAAGGCCCAAGGAAAGCAGGCCTGTCGCATTGCAGAGCTGGCACAACTGGCACAGCTCCTGAAGACACTCTCAGAAAACTCCAAGGGGCCATATCAGCGATGCTGTACTTGTTACCAACCTGGATCTCCAGTGAACGCGGGAGGTATGTGCCATGATATGTGCATCATGTGCACACCAGCCCGAGATGCTGGCCAGATACTGTCGGGGGCCTTCACACAGGCAGGTAAGTATCAAGGACATGCATGACATGTCCAGGCGTTCACACAGGAACGTGCTTGAAGTGGCACCGTACCACGTGCCTTGAGGACGCAGTTCTGGGCTGCCGGTGAAGTCCCCATACCCAGCTAGGTGTCGATCCTGACCAACAGCCAGCGAGAAACTGACATCGGCAGGGCAAAAGGACTGCAGAGTTACATGCGAGTCTATCACCAAGCGATACATAAAGATCTGGAGGCTCATCTTCACTTTGATACGAAGAAAACGTTGCACGTTGTGCCCACGGGAACTAGATGCTCTGTTCAGCGATGTTCTCCTAACGCCCGCTTGGACCCTAAAGGGATGCAAAAGAGCTGCGGCAGCTGAGGCAAAAGCCAAAACGGAACAAAGTCGCTGGACCTGCGCAGTACGAACTCTCTTCATGAAAGAGACATTGCATGCAGCACCTCCATGCCATATCTGGCAACTCCGTAGTTGCGAGCATCCACCTGCAAAAAGAAGGCGACTGGCGACCGAAAGCCAAGTATTACACTAGCGGCCCAAAAAGTAGTATATTAAAAGGGCCGCATGCGTCTTTACTCTAGTTATATTCCATGGAACTCTTTGTTAAATTTAATGGCCCCAAAGTACTATTTACAATGGGGCTCTTTTTGTACGTTAATCTTCATCTTCCCGTAATAAAATAAACGAACTGAATCACATGAATATGCCGATGCGAGCCCAAAAACTCCGAGCCATGGGCCTCATGAGCGGGTGCATAAACTTTGAAGTGGCCAAAGTTTCCGGTCAGTGGCCTTTGGCTCACAGCCAAGGGCATCCAAGGGCAAGAAGATGGATTGCAGCAGGTGGTTCGATTCTGTTGCAGCAAAGCTCAATTTGAAATTTGCTGCCGAAGCAATTTCTGGAAACTCATGGCGGCCCGGCCCCTGCCCACCAGTTTGCCAGAAGAGCCATTGTAAGCACTCGCAGCGGAGCCTCTTCTTACTAGAGCGTCCAGCGGCTGAGGGTTCAAAGGGCTCAAGGGAGGCTTAAACAGATGCTCGGCACCTAACATCGGTTGGAAGGAAGTCGCAGCGGTGCTTCTCCACGAGGTAGATCATGATGGCAGCGGCTTCCTGGCCGGCAAGTCCGGTGGAAGAGGGCATCCGGTTTACGGTTTCTGGGTTTAGGGCAGCTCACAGAAACTCCGCTGTCCATGATGGCTACGGCTTTGCCATCCGGACCATCATGATCAATCAATGCCTGAGCTCTCGGATGCCCGGCAAGCGAGCCGGTTAGCCACCATCAATCCAGGCACATGTTTTAAAAAATTAGGTCCCGGCTGGAATCTTGGAGTTTGGATTGGCACCTCTTGCTACCATCTAGGTTAGCAAGTCTGAGTGAGCAAGCAGCTTTCCATAGTTCTGCCGGTTCCCCTTAGTCTTATGGTGCGAACACCTGGGTCGGCGGCCAACAAAGCCGGAGCTAAACTGCTTGCCAGCTCCTCAGCGAACGGCCATTATCTCGGACAGCATCTGCACTTTACTTGACGGCTCAAGGGTAACTACAGCACAAGTGTGACTACACGTTATAAAAGCAGAATATACGCATAGCTTTATGTATACCCTCACATGAACCTTCAAGTAACGCTTCAGGTCTTTCAAGTGGGGGGGCTGTGGGACAGCCGGACAAATGATCTCAGCACGCAGCCGATGTTGACGACGTGGGCGTCATAGCTCACACCGAGCTCCTCATGCTCTGGATTTCGGCTCAAGTCTTAGGGTCCATAGGTTCAGGGCTGGACGTCTTTCTTATGAAAGCATTCGCTGCCCAATGGATCGAAAGAAGCTGCAGAACCGGCTGCTCGCCTCCAGCAGAATGCCCACCTTCCAGCCATTCGGAGTTGCGAGTGAGTACAGCCTGAGCCCGTCAAGCAATGCGCACCAGTATGTGTGTGGGCAGGCTGGGTTCTCTACCTCATGGCCCCCATGCATGTCCATCCAAAGCAATTACCTGGATGCCACGAATGCAGTCACCACACGTCACCACATCCCAACCGCCATCCGAAGCTACATCGAGAATTCACGAGGCTTAGGTTCTGCAATCCGGGGAAGGCAGTTGCGAAGTGTTTCTCACTTGCCAGACGCAAAGTAAGTGGCAACTACTCAGCACGGCTGCACCGTGCGTATCCGTGCGCTACGCAGAAGTCTGCAAACAGCCGTCTCCTTCAGAGAGCATGCTGCCTAGAACATTTACACTAAGAATGGCATGCAACTCATTCTCCTTCTCCGCACACCTTGCATATCCCATTGCACAGGCTTGCTCGCCCGTGACAGTGGGGACAACGACACCTTGGCCAAGCTGACTCTGGAACGTGTTGTACTGACTCGGCAACATGTTGCAACATATGGGGTCCACGGGACAGACTTGCACGGACGTGACCACGGACTGCAACAGTGACAGTGCGCCGCCATAATTACGTATTGCGAATCCGGCTTTAAAAACTTCTCTAAAAAGAAACGGATGCCACGCATGCAAGGAGAGCACGGCCCTGCACACTGCAGGCAGTCTGGGCGTTCTTGGCCACATGCGCTGCAGCCAAACCGGACCCCACGCCCATGACATTCCACACATCGGCAGGCACCTACAGCAGTGGAGTGCCCGAGCATCTTGGGATATCTTGGGGGCTTGGGGTTTTACAGGGCTTTAGGGCTTGAGGATGGTTGGGGATGGTTTGAGGGAGGCCGAGATCCCAGTCGTTTCGAATTGGCTTCTGGAAGTGGACGTAGCCCACACTTATCCTTCAGGCTTGTTCGGCAACGGCTGCCCGTCTGACCTTGTCTATGCGAGCAGATGGCACGCACGCATCTCTTCGCGGGGAAGCTGGTGGGCTCGTCTGGAGGCTGGGCCCTTTGAAAGCTTTGGGGAGATGGCCATCGTTTTGGTTCCTTGGTGCGAACCACCTGCCTGGCCAGCTGTACAACATTTCGACCACTGCGGTTCCAGGTCGGAAGACTCCTGTTGTCATCGAGGACTACACGGTCAAGGGCATGAAGCCCGGTAGCATCATCACAGACTTGGCTTCTTCGGCAACTGCGCCCTGATCGGGCGTGAAGTACGGATGCACGTACTTGGCCAGGAGGATGGGCGAGCAAATCTCTGCCACGTAAGCCACGCGCAGAATGCACGTGGTGAGACGCCTCGCCGAGAAGGAGGGTGCTGTTGCCTGTATGCCGTATGTTCTCAAGGCCTGTGTGACAAGAGGATATCAAGTCTGGTGCAATGACATGCCATTGCGGCACTATTGCGGTCCCGGCCCTGACCTACGGGCGCACTGCGGACTACATCGGGAAGGGTGTCCTTTCCGTCTCCTCTCTGTCAACCAAGGACAGCGTCCTTAAGCATTCCTGGCACCTTGCTTTCTCACTTGTCGAGCACAGCGAAGGTGTTTGAGCTAGGCTACTGCACGGCCGCCGCTGTGGGAGCACCGTCTCGGTCACACACTGTTTTGACTCTGTTTTGACGCCAGCCCTTGTCATGTGTTCAACGAGGCGACCTGCGCAATGCCGTTATGCTGTCAGTTCCTGGCCTCCGGTTCGCCTTACCAAAGGTGGCGGCGAGTCATGAATCACCGTTTGAGGATCCCGAAACGGATCCAGAAGTTTCGTGCAGGTTTCCGCAGCTCGACGAGCCCGCATCAAAGGAAGCAAAGGCTTGCTTTGGGGTTTTGGGGGCATGTCAAGAAGAGTCAACCTGTTCAAGAGGTGATTCTCTGATCTTCGTGCAGATCGACGTCACATCCAATCTTGACAGCCAAGCTCTCGCAAGCTCAGCTCTCTGTCCTTCAACATCCCTCCCGATTAGAGCCAGGGCAGCATCTACATCTACATCATAAGGGTTTGGGGTTTAGGGTTTAGGGTAAACATACTTCTAGAGGTGTAGGGCACAACCCCCTGTCGGCATATGTCATGATGGAACATCAGCTATCAAGCTTGTTTGAGCCCGCAGCGCCTCGGCACTGATGACAGAAACGCACGTAATACAAGATCGCAGAATCTCCATCCTCAAAAGCAGCAAGTGCAAGGCACAGCATGCCTACATATGCCTACTGTCAGGTATTGCTCATGAGTGAACATGAAGATCACAGACGATCGAGTCCACACCCCTTCAGAAAGACTGCTGCAACAGCAGCATTGAAGTCTGGGAAACTGCCTCCAGCAAAGGCAAGTCTCTGTTATACCGAGGTAGAACAGGGAGAATGAGTCGCTCATTCGCGTTTCCAAGTCCTGAATCCACGCAAGCTCACCACGCGACCACACCAGTTGCTGGTCTCTCGCACGCGGACCACCACTTGCATGGATGTGTTCCTTCAAGCAAACTAGGTTTTCGTCCAGGCCACCTTGGGCATCACGAAACAGGCTTGCAAACAGAAGGCCAAGTCAACGAAAGCAGAAGCTCAAGTCGACAATGCGACCAAGATGCAGCTGACCTGGAACTCTGCCCCACTAAAGGTCTGGATGTGTACAGTGACCAGCTTTCTGTGAGGAGACACTCTGGCCCCAATGATCCGCTGGAAAGGCAGCTGCTCCATCCGACGGCGGTCCAGATCGAGGACCTCTGCCTCAAGTCGGCGAAGGTCAGTGCAGAATTGCTCCAGGGCCTGATCTATCTGCTGTGTCAGGGTCAGCCCGCATGCAGAGATGTCCATGGCAATCAAACCGCGTTCGGCTCGGTGGAGCGCCACAGTGAAGTCGCGGCAATCATCGACAGAGCTTTCTGCCGTCTCCCGAAGCCGGGAGAGGCAATGAGTTCGGAAGATGCGCGCGCGGCCGCCATCCGACCGGCCCTTGCGATGCTCGTTGACCTCACGCAAATCCTCGGCGAGGGTGCGCACTCGCTCCATTCCTGTGCCATGCTCCGCCCAGTTCGAAGGCTGGGGGCTACTGTAAGTAAATGCTGCAGTCCCAAACGCAATGATGCACCCATGACGGCTTCGGTTCGCAATCGAATGTCCAAGAGTGCTTGAACTGCACAAGCCCTTTGCAACACCTTTTGGCAGCTTCTCGAAAGGACCTTCCATTGTGTTGTACAGGAAAACTTTTGTCTCTGATTTTAGACGCCTCCGGTCGTAGGAAACTGAGGAATTCAGGGTCAGCTTGGGCTTAGATCTTGGCATCTGCCGTCACTAAGTATGAAGAAATTTGGTTTCATCAGTCTAGGGAGCCCCAAGCCACAGCAGACCCAACAGTAAATCAAGAAGGGCTTCTGGCGGGGTTCCCGAGCTCCACTCAAATCCTCAAAGACCTGCCCACACCCTCATCCCAACTAAATTAAACCGCGCCCCCTCTGAGTAGCTTAATCAGTTTTGCCTAAGAGCCCTGCAACTAAGCAAAAAGCGAATTTAGAAATCAAGCGTACCTCGGGGAGCGGGGTATCATGTCAGAAAAAATGCAGGCCTCGACTTTAAGACATCCAGGGTATCTGACCTGGAATTATCGCCTTCCTATCCAGCGCTGTCACTGTAAAAACGAAAATCGATGTACTTTCTCACCTTGTTCTCTGGGGCTGCATTCGTATTGACTATGCGATCTCGCACCGCAAGGTGTGGCCCAAGCCCAGTGATGCAGCCAAGGCGGAGGCTGCAAAGGAGCCGTGCCCTTTTCCAGCTCTTCCTCGCAAGCGCAACATCATACTCTCTCTCACTGGAATTATCCGAGCGGATGGTGTTTAGGGTTTAGGGTCAGGGTTCAGGGGCTTAGGGTGTGTCTTTTCGGAGCGCGCCCTGCCTCATACCGCGGTCCGCTGGTTGGGCGATTGATGCCAGCGAACTGGTCTCCATCTGTCCTGCACATGAAAGACACGTTACATGGCCACAACTCATGAAAGCGTCGCCTTGTTTCAATTGAGGGTTGACTCTTGTGCCCTGTGAGTTCCTGTGGGTCAATCATGTTCGGGAGTGGGCGCATGATTCACGCGGGTGCTGCGGTACATCCCACAGATAAAGTGCTATATCGCGGGCGGCTCTTCTCAAGGGTGTGCTTCCCCCGTCAATGACGCCTCCAAGCCCCACCTTAAGAGATCACCCTGGTCCTCGCGTAAAGGTCCTCTATGCGTGCAGGTGGGACCTCGGACATGTGGCGGCCAGTTCAACTCACGAGGCTTGGGGTTTATTGGTTGAGACTGGAGAGCTGGATGATGTAGCGTGGCGAGGTCGGCGTGCAGACTTGAGGAAGCCCGGGCTTGTTTCGCTGTGGACTTCATTGAACAGAAGTAACGAAGCCTGAAACCGACATGCACCCTAAACCCTAAACCCCTAAAACCCTCAAGATGAAAGCATCATCCCGTCACTCGAGGCATGGCTCGGATACCAAAGGCACCTGCCCACTCGCGACGTTCCCCAGCCATTGCAGTGCTCAGATCCACAGAAGCACAAAAATCATGGGGGGGGGGGGTTGCTCAGAAGCAGCGTCCCTATTCGGGGGAACCATGTTTCAAAGGATGCCCTATCATATATGCAAGGGAACCGGAACCCGGAGTTGGAATGACAGTGATGTCCGTTGAGGTTATGGGGACCTTGGCTTGAGGTCATCATCCCACGCGTCTGATCTCGGAACTTGAGCCCCAAGTTGAAGGATGCACGTCGCGAGCGAACAATCGGATGCTTCAGCCATTCCAGCCGAATGCTAGGCTGAGGCTGCATCCAACCCTTCCCACGTTCTTGCGCAACACATCACCGATGAGACACTGGATCCATGGAGGCTGACACGCCAACTTAAGAGCTGCCTCGGCGGACATAGCCGATCTGGCATCCTTTTATGCCAGCACTACACAGAAACAGCTATTATTTGTTATTGCCTACTATGATTGTCACTGTGCCGGCGAATCCCAGTGAAACTTATGCTGCTCTAGCCGGACAACATGCTGCTTGCGCAGAGCTGTGACATGTTCTGCGGCGCTGCGCTTGTGGTGGTGCATGGTGATGCCCCTCCCGACCATGATCAACATGACCTCCTGTCTACCTGCTTGGGCCAAGACCGTGCGATGAGTCCACAGGCCGAGGCTTCCTTGCTATTCCGATATACTCCTGGTTGTGTAATCGGCAGTCCAAACCTCACACGCGTTGGCCTTGTTACCCCACTGGGTCTTTAGGCCTCGGGGTTGTCATCTTGGGTTCTCAAGGTTCGGATCACTGCGTAGGCTGGTGCTTGACTCGTAAAAAGACGGTCAACTAATGAACCCTAAACCCTAAATCCTAAGCCCTAAGCCCTAATCCCTAAACCCCAAACCCCAAACCCTAGACCGCAAGCCGGGACCTTTTTTTGCTTGAGACCATCTTTGGGTGCTCGACTGCCGGAGGCGGCGGCTATGCGGCGCCTTGCAGGGGCACATGAGGCCCTGTCTCACTTGCACACACAAACTCGCCATTTTTTTTTGTTGGGGGGGGGAGGGGGGGTTCTGCTTACGTTTCGGACCTCAACTTCCTAAACACCCGAATTCTCCCGAAACGCCCCAAACACACCCTAAAGAAGCGCGCTGCGCCTTCTGTGATGGAATGCTGATCGGCTCCGCAGTCTGCGATCACGCAATCCACCAGGGGCCTCTTCAGCACACCCTCAAATTGGGTTTGTTTTTTTTTGAAAATTCAGGGTGGGCTTTGTAGGGTTCAGGGCCCAGGGTTGTGCCCCACACTTTGCGCGAGGCGGAGGGCGGGTGGGTCGTTTTAAGAGAGATTCCCCTAAACCCTAAACCCCAAACCCTGAACCCTGAACCCTAAACTCGAAACCCTAAACCCGAAACCTCATTGGGGGGGATACAGCGGGACCCTGATGTTCGGACCAGGACATCGACCCTGGCCTGCATTCCTCGTTGGTCTCAAGCTTCTCCAGCTCGTCTAATCTTAGGAATTGTTTTAGGGTTTAGGGTTTAGGGTTGAGGGTTGAGGGTTGAGGGTTGAGGGTTGAGGGTTGAGGGTTGAGGGTTGAGGGTTTCGGGTTTCGGATTTCGGGTTTAGGGTTTAGGGTTTAGGGTTTAGCAGGACAGCGTCTGAGCTCCGCAAGCACCCAAAGACGACACAGGCTTTCAGAGTTCCTGGCAGGTCCAATCCACTGAAGACTTCTCCGAAGACCACATGCTTCCTGAAAGGTAGGGGCGAGGGCGGGTCAAATCATGAGATGCACGGAGTCCAACGCTTTTGCAAGTTTGAGGAGGTGCGTTCACTTGCCCGGAGCTGGCACACGTGGGCTTTTTCTCAATCGATTGCACCGCTGGCTGTGAGAAAGTCGACGAAGTCCTGCGAGGTCACAACTGATGCTCCTCAACTGCTCACTGAACAAGAAGCCCTGAGCGCTAAGACAGCCCAATGCTTGCACAACCCATAGCTCTCTCCCTCTCTGCCAAGTCAAGCCCTTCGTCTTCACTAGCACTCCTGGCGCTCACGTTCACGAGCAATGGACAGCAAAGATCGACCTTCAGAGGGCGCAGGGGGGGGACACAAGGGGGGGGGGGGGGGGGGGGCTGCCAAGGATCCGCCTTCATTGTCCTTGATGTTGACATCTGCTCTTGCGTCGACCAGCGCCTCGGGCGAGACATCGAGGAGCTGGTTCATCTGGGAGTGAAACACTAGGGCAATACTGAGTTTGGAGTTCAGCACTTACAGTAGGGCATTGGGTGAATTTTAGACCTTCCTCAACATCATCTGCTCAAATACGGTCGGATGTTCGGGCTGCTCAAGAGGGCCAAGTGCTCACAAAGGGTTTCAAAAGTGTTCGCACCCACCCTAATGATCTAAAAGGACCTTTCACGCAGCACGTTGCAGTCTTGCATGAACACGCTGCCTGGGTGGTTCCGACATGGCCTTCGATCACGGCTCCAAACAGCGGAGTCTCCCCATCCTGGCGATTCAGACACGACTTAGTTTGCCGGAGGCCCAGTTCTGGTGGTGCTCATGATATCGATTATGATGATCATGCTAGTGCCACTGCTATGATTCTCATATGCCTCTGATTCTAATACGAACATCCCTGGTCCCTGCAGCCTTGTTCTGCACATTGAGCTGCGGCTTGGGCGCCTTCTCCCACGTCAGCAGCCTGTCATGTGCGGTGCCCCAGCACATCACGGCACGCTCGAAGCTCAAACGGACATGGGGGTTTACGAAAATGTAAGGGACCCCCCTATATAGACCCCCAAATAGTAGGATCCCCTTGTAATCAGGACCCCAAAAAGTTACCCTGCCCTATTTTCTGTCCCCCCCACATTTGAATATGAGCATTCCTGTAAGCCTCGGGCATGTCCAGAAGCTGCCTGTTGCCAGTTCGTGCAGCCACGTGCAAGGCCTCAAGGGATGTGTCAAGGGCTTCAGTGAGATCCGAGCACTCAGAGGTTTCTCCTTGCTGGAACGCTGCAAGCCACTTGGGAACTGGCCGTAATCTTGCGGACGCCGTACTTTGCGTACGGGTCCCCACCCGCCTGCAGACAGCGGGCAGCTGCAGCGAGGCCAGTTTAAGCACCTGCCCAGGCCTCAAGGGCATCAAAAACCCCATCAAAGTCGCCCTGCCAGGCAGCATCGTAGAGCTCACGACCTTCCACTGAACATGAGGCAGATCCCTCTCGCCATGGGCACATCCGGGCACGACCGCAAGGCCCTAAACCCTTTTTGCACAAGCCTCAAGCCGCATGGCAGTCATTACCATCGCAGGTACAGAGGCCCGGAGCCATAAACTGGGGCAGCAATTTGCACAGGCGCCCCTTCTGATTGAAGCTGCGGCTCTCTTGGCCTGCAAAGCCGTCCAGGCTTGCCCCGGTGTCGATGAAGCTGTCCTTGTGCCCCAACTCCTTAAATGCTTTGAGGATTGCTAGCCGGCCACCAAACCCTCCAGACACGAGGAAAACCACATTCTCCTGTGGCCACTTTGCACTCTCGTGCTTCATGTGCGTGACCATGTCCTCCACATGATCTGCTGCGTTGGAAGCCTCGAGGAAGCTAGCGGTGTTTAGGGTCTTCGAGAGCGAGCGCAGGTGCTCGGGCCCAATAACCACCACCTTGCGGCCGACCAAGGAAGGAAACGTTGCCGGAACAACCGGGTTTGGTGGACTGCCATAGTTTCCACTTCCAGCGGGGCTCTCTCTGCCAGTAAGATCCAAGTAAAACACCGAGGTAATGAAGCCCTTAAAGTTGCTGTTCATCTCATGGGTCTGGAGGAAGCTGTCGAACTCTGACCCCACTCCGTTGCTGCACAAGAAGAACGTGCCCACCAAGACATACATGTTGGAGTCGTCCTGCGAGCTCGGAGCGCTAACCCTTTTTGGATCCCCTAAAACGCTCCCTGAAGGGGGTTAGGGAATCATCGAAAACCATCTTAAGGGCATGCGGGTGGGGGCTGGGAGTGGGGGGCCTTCAGCCTGAAGCCATATCACGGGCTCAGAAGTGTGCCCACAACAAGGGCCGTGGACTATCTGAACTGGCTTTTCATCTGGACATTCAACCTAGCGGCAATCAGAACGCTGATGATGCAGGGCGGCGGGGAGAGCACTCGCACTGAAAGCAAGTGCGATCTTATTTATATCTTTTTTATAGCTGGCTACCCTGACCATATGACACAAATCGCCCGAAAACCCTTAACCCCTGAACCCTCGTGCAAACCTCTTTGAGGCTGACGTCAAGTGCTTGAATTGCTTTAAGTGCAGGAGGTCCATCCAGCCGCCTCGAAACAATACGTTTTCTGACGTGCAGAACAGCTGCTGCTCTGAGAGATACAATGCATACGTGTGTGTATATACATATATACATACATGCATACATACATACATGTGTATATGATGTATATACATATATCTTCAGTCTTCCAACAAAACTTTACGTGCTTTTCTACTCTCCTTCATTTACCAAACCACATCCATGGTTTTCGGCTTCATGCGTCAGCAACTGTCGCTATTTTTTACGAGTCTATGGTCGTACACAACCTGGCCGACGATTCATATGCGCTGTGTGCACAAGAGATGCCCTACTCAAACTTGTGTTTGCAGAGATGTCGATCTGTGATGCTGGCACGAGGGGAGGGGGTCTGAGCACGCCTCGTCGATTTGTCAAGCGGGGAGGCCGCTCTGACAAGGCCAGGGACTGGAACACCAAGTGCTGAATGCCAGTCTCTTCTGGCTTTGGGCAAAGAAGAATACATACGATGATGAACCTCTCCTACTAGTCATGATCTCCTGAAAGCCCCGTCGCCGTTTACATAAAACATCCCCAAAGGCGAAACCACGCAGGGCAGACGCACAAAACCCCTGCAAGACCATGAGCTGCTTGGGCAAAGCTGTCCTGCGAGCCCAATTGCTGCAGAGACGTAGCTAGATCCTGGCACTGGGCCTGGTGGTCTCCGTAGCTGATGCCCTCCAGGTTCGACCCCGCTGCGCCGCTGACACAAAAGACATCGCCGTCTCCGATGCGAATGAAGCTGACCGGCTTGTTCTCGCGGAGCCTCTTCTCGACATCGCCTGTCGATCCAGTGCGGAGATGCCTTCGCATCGACTGCGGCATGCAGTCATCGTCCGCCGATGTGTGGTAACCATGAGCTGCCATGTGGGTGCTGCGCACGCGAGCGGATAATTCCTGAAAGTAGGAGGACGTATTCACAGTTTGCTGCGCCACCGCTTCTACGAGCTCAGAAGTCTTGCTGACATGAATGGCGCCAGCCACGCAAGCCCAGCATAACAGTATGGAGGCGAACCTCCAAGGCCAGAAAGCCATGGAGATTGGAATATGAAATCTTCCTGACTTAGAATGGTTGAGCCAACCTTGCAGTCAAAAGCAGACAGTATACAGCTTCTCGCCACAAACCCAAGCTGCAAGCTTTCTGGTGCGAGAATGGGATGGATGTGAGCCAGTGCAGCAAGTGGGAAGGAATATTCATGTAGCTCTCGGGAAATCAGAGACTGAGCCCACATGCTCTCTGAGCTCAGCACTTTGGTCCTTCTTAACCTGAGGAGCTTTGGTTGCACCTTGGAGACTATTCGAATACCAGAGGTCATGGTGAACACCGCTTGCCAGTCTGTCAGTAGGCCTGGAACAGGCTGCTCAAAGTGGTCGTCCTGCCGGGATGATCACAACACCTGTTGACAATGATTTCCGTCCTAAGTTTCCTACCGCGGGGTCTTTCGAGCAAACACAGCCTTGAGGATCCACTGCAATGATTCAGGACTCAAACCACCCTGCACCAGTGCCTCGGGCCCCAATTCCTGAGCGATCCTTGGAAGCATCGGAACTCTGCAAAATTGTCCCCGAGTTGGCTTCTGTAGCTTCCGCTTCTGGCGAGTCAATGGGATCCTTGCGGCTGTGTGCTGGGCGCCTCCGCTGCCTCCACGCGCGCTTCCTGCAACAGGAGCTCACCAAGGCATCTTCACATTCTCTGCGGAGCATGGCCATTGGGCAGGCCTCTTGCAACGAGGGTTGGAACAGGCTGCCGACGTACCTGAGCCCTGTACCTGGACGGCATGCGCGCTTCTTCTGGCACATCGCCACGACAAAACGAAACAAACCTGAGCCAAAGCACGGCTTGCCTACCAGCAGGGTGCCGACGAAGCATCCGCCACAGCACTCACACGCCTCAACCAGAAGCAGCTGGAACCGCTGCACCGTCTCCGCATTTTATTAAAATGGGCAAGCCACACTACTGGCACTGAGTCGGTGGCCGTCATGGAGTTAGCTTCTTCCCGGGTCCACACAGCGACATGGCAAGGAGCCGGACATGATGAAAGAACCTCGTGGCCTCTAGCCACACCCACTAAATCCACTTGCTATGGAGAGAGGGAAGGTACGGAGCTACGATTAGTTGTGTCTGGGCATCTTGGCAATGCTAGGAGTGCAAAGCGCAGGTGCTAGCACACTGACAGCTTGCTGACTGCGATGGCACTAGCTACTCGAGCCAAGGCAGTGTCAACGAACTGAGCACTTTGCCTACATGACTTCACATGCACTGACCAGAGGCTCAGGTCGCAAAGCAGGTTCAAACAACCACCCCGTCTCTGCAGACGCCTGTGAAGGTGTTCTGCACCGGCAAAGGACACGAAGAAGTTGGACCCGTTTGTGTTTGGGCCGTCATTGGCCATGCAAAGAAGACCTGTCAACTCGAATCGAGAACACGAATTTAAGGTGCCCTCAACTTCTCTTAGCTTCGAGTTCAGCAGAGCCTCGTCGGGAGACTTGGTCCCTGAAGCCTTCGTCGGGAAATCTCCGGGACCAAACAGACTCTCCACCCGTCCTCGCAACTTCGACTTCCACAGCTACGCGGATACTTCGGAAACTCGGTCGAGAAGACGCATCTGACAGTTGATTTGAGGTCACAGCCCGTTGGCATTCTCGAAGTCGCCGCCCTGCTGCAAGTGCATCTCAGGACATCTTACAATCTCATCTCGTTCACACGTTCGTGAAGCTAGTGGAAATTGTTCAAGCTAGTTTTCAAGCTACTGTAGTCCGGTCCTGCGACCGAAACATATAATCCATGAGCCCCAGCTGCCTGGATCATCAGACCAGGAATCATGCGATGCCTCGATTCACCAGACAACTGCGTCGGGGCACTCAAGATGCTTTAAGAGCTAAGATAAGAGCTGACTAGCTAATGGTTATACTGTTTTGCTGAAGTCATACTGGCCCTCACAGCCACGATGCAGAAGGCTGCCCTTGTAGTGGAATGGCTTCCCACGCGCTGTGGTTCCTGCCCGACTGCATCTGACTGTGCATGACGGCCCTGCCCTGCTGATACGAAACCCAAGATGCCTGGATGCTCGCCCGTGCAGAGTCGGCGGAAATTCTCCGCTGTCTTGGGCACCTGCAAGTGCACAGGACACTTGCCAGATATATTGCCGATTGACAAGGTGTTCTCCTGATGGCACTGCCACCAAGCTCCGCAACAACGCTAGACAACAGGCACATCACACACGGAATGCTCGGAGGCCAGCGGTGTCAGCATAAAGTACAAACACCTCAGCGGCCACTGCTGGTGCCCTTGACGTGGCAACAGAAAGTCAACTCGGTTGTCAGGCATGAAGGTCCAGTTCTGGGCTTCCCCTTCTTCCCAGAGATGGATCAGATGCGAACTGCAGAGGACGAAACATCAAGAACCAAAACCCAGGGTTTGGGCTGGTAGGCAAGGCACGGAGTGGTGGAGGATTTGGGGTTTGGAGTTGAGGAAGCAACCCTGAACCCTAAACCCTCCACCCCAAACCCTAAACCTTAGACCCCAAACCTTAAACCCCAAACCCGAAACCCTAAACCCTTGAGGGCTGGGTGCCTTCGGGCTCCCGAGGCGGTCACAAGTCTTTGAGGTGGAGAACCGCCGATGGCGACTTCCAGCCAAGCCCTGGGCCTGTTCTCTTGTGCAGGGTTTAGGGTTTAGGGTTTAGGGTTTAGGGTTTAGGGTTTCGGGTTTAGGGTTTAGGGTTTACGGTTGAGGGTTGAGGGTTGAGGGTTGAGGGTTGAGGGTTGAGGGTTTGTATAATAAACAGCCTTCAAGCCTTAGAACTCTGATGGAAGCTGCCTCCAGTAGAGCAGCCAACTATTCGTTTCCACCCTGGTTGCCTGCTTGCAGCTTTACTGGAAGGTTGAATTTCAACAGGTCTGTGCTGCAGTGGCTTTGGGATCAAAAACCCCCACCAAAGCCAGAAAATAAAGCCTGCTCTAGGGAATTCTTTCATCGCATGCGCGGACGGAGAAAAAACAACCGAGGCTGCACCGTCAGCCTAATTTAGCCCGTTGCCCTGTACTCAAAGGGTCGCTGAGTGCAGGGCAGTGAGCCGAGGTCATGGTTTACGGGCCCCTCCTCCTTCAGGCCAAGCGCAGGACTCCCCAGGGCTGCGCTATCAGAAGAACCATGCTAGGGCACTTAACGGGCTTCTAAGTGGGCCATAAGTACACGTATAATTGGTTCATGAGCACCATGCCACCTCATCCTGGCGATTCTCCATGTCCTGAAGAGCTTTCTTGAGCCTCTTGCGGGACGCAACTCGCAATCAAAGAAGCAACCTGCATCCTAAAACTGCACGCTTGCATCTTTATGCGCTCATGAGGCACCAGGAATGGACTGGGATCCGAGATGCGGACTCTTCATACCTGCAGCTTGCTACACTGAACTCCCGGCAAACACATGGCAATGGGACAACTTAGGCAAGCGACTTCTTTCGGACATCCACATTACGCGGCTCGATCCTTCCACTTGCCGTGAATCATGAGGGTGGAGCTGCATTGTGCCACATATTGCCACATTGTCTTACACCAGATTACACCGTCAATACATGGATCCTGGTTATTAACAAACTATTGCGTCCTCGCAGCACGCTGTAGATCGTTCGCTGCAGCCTGAACAGGCAACACCCAGCTCTTCATGCCTTGTCTTGCGTTTGCCTCAAGCCGTTGCAGCGAGCAGGGACCGGTGCTTTGCAGCAGGGTTGAGACCTGACCCTCGGTTTTTTGCGATTGCTCCGGTTCGCGCCAAGTACGCGTTTGCTCACTTAGGAGCTCCTGGGGCTTGTTGCCTTGGTGCACTTGTTGCAGGCAACAGGCTGTACAAAGACCGGCCAAATCCGGCATCGCTTCAGGGAGCGAGAGGGGATGTCGGATGTGCTGTAGGCATCCTTGCATTCTCAAGATTGTCATTCGGTGTGAAAATTGAGCAGTTCATCTAAAGTCAAAGTGTGCATCTTAAAGTTCACGAACCCACGCGCCCAGGGGTGGAGGGAAGCTGTCTTGGAGCATTGGTGGCGGGTCTCCGCCTTCGTGAAGCCGCTGCCTTGCCATGCGGAGCCCCACCACGTCCATGTGGACTCTGATGGCGATTGCCGCGATGGCTCTGGCGGTTGCGCGGTGGCCTTGAAGACTTCGAGGGCTTCGGAAATGCCACACGGACACCATCCTGAAGAACCATTGGCTTGTACTCATCTGGCACTGTTTCATGCATGACAGGGCTGTTCCGGTACCGCTCCACGTGGGCCTGAAGCCCTTGGTGCGGTCCACTCAAGCTCACTCTGCAGACCTTCTTGCTTGGTATGGCCCATCTTGTAAAGCCGCTGAAGGTTGACCAAAATCTGGGAACATGTGCCGGGTCTACCAAGTTGATGAAGGCGTAGCCCATGCAGGCTCGTCTCTGAAAGTCCATCGGCAAGTAGAGGAAGTCATACTGAGCCTGAAAGCCCTCATTGTCAAGCATGGCAAGTAGCATCTCTCGTGTGTAATTGTTCGGAAGGTTACGGAGCATCACTGTCGTGCATTCTTCCATGGGCACGTCGCACTCAACAGCCTTCATCGGGCTGGGAGTGCCACGGTCTGGCCTGCTTTGGGAGTTGAACTCCGCATCGGGGTCTGCATCGCTCTCCTGCTTGCGGGAACGATCGCGTCGGACCATGCTGATGGCATCCACCTGATCCTGGCTGTGTGGTTCATATGAACTACTCCAGGTGTCAGCCGAACCTTGGGGCATCTGAGGTATTGGGGGCACTTGGGCCACTTGGGCCACGTGGGGCATCTGGGAGCTGCTGCTGGATGCTGCAAAGCCCATCGGCATCAGAGCCGTGGCCCAGGCCATGCTACCGACCTGATTCGCAGCATTCGCAGCCTGCGAGACGTCCCCGTGGCTTCGTGGCTCCTGGTTCGGTCCCTGTGCCATCCGACGGAGAAGGTCGTTCTCCCGCTCAAGCCTGGCTATCTCCGCTGCCAGCCTCTGCAAGTCCCGCCTTGAAGGAGCGCTACTGCCACCGCACTGAACTGCTGATGAGGTGGCGTGGCTGGGAGGCATCGGAGGGACAAGGTCCGGCACTGGGTCGGATCTGATCTCTTCGTCCTTCGGAAGCAGACTGGCTGCTTCGGCAAAAGTGCTGGGCCAGACTGTGCCTCTCGGACTTGGGGTCCAAGCGACATGTCGGTCAAAATCGCTCCTCCCATGTGCTGAGATGGGCGAGCTCGCCCCACTGTCATTGATGTGGGAATAGCACAGCAGCGGCAAAGACTTCTCACCTTCATTGGTGTCTGGGCTGGTTTCCGTGTCACTGCAGAAATCGGCTTCAGAATCCATGGCTTCATCCGAAGCGACGGCGCTGACCTCCTCGCTCTTGCCCTCTCGAGGCACCCGTGGCGCAGGGATCTGAGGCTCCTGGGGCTCAGGCTCCTGGACCTCAGTCATCCGCGTACGCGAGTACCCCTCGTACAGAACGGAGTCGGAGCTTGCGCGCATCAAGCAACTGGAAAACTCATCTGCGTCATCTTCGACGAATTCGATGAAGGTGTTCCGTAGCACCCATGATCGATTGGATGAGGCTTGCTCCTGCTGGGCTGGTTCCATTGTGTCCTGCGCTGGTCCCGTGCCAAGGTGGAGCGCAAACAGACAGCCACCCTTGAGCCAAACCGAGAAGCCGAGTTTGAAATGATTGCTGGGGAAAGCTCAAGCTTGGGTGTCCAGATATCTCTGGCGGACAGCTGCTGGAGCATCAATCGCGCGGTTTTCCCAGCAATTGCCCTTGCTACCGCGCCAAGTACGCGACTACTCGCTTAGGAGTTGCTGGGCTAGGTTGCTCGCCGCACTTGTTGCAGGCCAACCGATGCTGTACAAGACCGGCCAAATCCGGCTTCGCCCCTCAGAGCGAGGTGGATAGTGAAGGAAATCAGGTACTCTTTCGACCTATCCGAAAATTGCATATCAAGCGGTTCGTGTCGAACTCAAGTGCCCGGGAGTCCAGGGAAGAAGTTTTGGAGCATCGGCCTAAGGTTGGGCCGCTTCAGGTTGCTCAGGTCATGACGGATTTGACCGCAAGAATCCATGGCTGGGCCATGAAGACCACCAACTCATCGAGCCTCAACTCAATAACCTAAACTGTGAACCACGCAAGCCGCCTAACAAGAAGGAAACAACCTTCTCGAAAAGTGCCCACCTTGCCTACATGTGCCCCACATAGAGCGAAGTCCTGGAGAATGACACCGCGAATGTATGAACAACACCAGCCAACCCTATGGCCATGGGGCCATGATCATCATCGGGCTGCGTGACGCTGCTTCGCAAGAACCTGGACTACATCTGGATGGGAGGAGATTTGTAGAGGTCAGTATATCAAAACAGTTATGCCCACGAAGGGTGAGGATTGAGGGCTTCACGTTCGGGGAGACGTGTTGCCATACGCATCTTTGTCTGCAGAAAGGGCTGCCTGCATGATGGGCTTCAGGTTGAGGATTGAGGGCTTCACGTTCGGGGAGACTTGTGGCCATACGCATCTTTGAGGCAAGCCGCACTTGTTGCCAAACAAATGCCTCCCGAAACCCCCCTCCCCCATGATGGGTTTGCGGGTGAGGCTCGGGGGCTTCACGTTAGGGAAGACTTGTTGCCACGCGCATCTTTGAGGCAAGCCGCACCTTTTGCCAGCAAATGCCCCCAGCCACCCCCCCCCCCCCCCCTTATTCTGGGACCGCCAGCACCCACGCATCAGCAGCATCAGCAGGCCCTCGTTTTTCCATAAAAAGGCTGCCATGCCTCCAGCGAGAACTGCTCGAAAAAGGCCCCCAGCGGACGCCGCCCCAACACCCAGCACCAGCCCGGGATTAGCAGCCTCGAAATCCGGACCGAAAATGCCGCAAAAACGGGGTCCCCCTAGTACAGATAAGCTGACGCAGTTTGAGGGGGAGCTTTCGTAACAACCTCAACAGTTGAGAGGGATGTTTTCAGACATGTTCTGCATGTGCTTGGAACGGGGACAAGGATTACATTGAGGAAGGGACGCCGGTCAAGAAGTTCTGCAAGAAACGGAACCTGGAGCATCGTCTGCCTGTCAAGTGCGTTCGTCCTTTACGATGCTTCATGTTGCTGCCTGTGTGTGACGCTGACTCTGAAACAGGTCGGATATGCTTGAGCGCAGTGATGGTCTCCGAGAATGAGCGCCGCCATCCACGCCATCACCTGGCGCTGACAGTTGAATTTGTTCATCTCTCTGGCGCTTACTTGCTTCAAGCCGGGAACCTGGATGAGGAACCCTGCGTGAGCAACGCATGAGCAACCACCTTCGGTCTTCTTGAGTTTGGCTCAGACAGTCTCAGTTGACGTTTCCAGGCTGTGCCAGCTCGTGCTCTTCACGACTTCACGAGCTCGCACACCTGCAAGGTCTGCGTTGCTCTGCAAGGAGACCACAAAAACTCCCCTCGATCTCACTGTCGTCACTTCTTCTGCACCACTGAGTCAGAGTTGCGGGCAATGCCTGCAACGCCCTTCTCATCAGGCTCATTGTCAGAGTCAGTGACTCCACCGGCAGATCCTTTGTCATGTGGATCCGTAGTAGGCAAGCCCTCTGCCTTCCGCTGCCAAAACCAAGCAGCCCATCTCTTCAAGATTTCCAGCCCGGCTTCTGTCATGTGTCTCCCCATGCCCGTAATACTGCAGCGGTAGAAGTCAAGGCGGCCCTCTGTTGCGGAGTCTGGAAGGTTTGCCCCAAAGGATGCCAAGCTCGCGTCTGTGACTTTCTTGATGCTTCGGAACTCCAGCACGACCCGCTGGAGAGGAAGGCTCCTCAAAGCTCGAGCAAATGAGTCTACGCCGGCATCTGAGAAGCCCTTGCAACCACAGCACCCCATGAACAACTCTGTGAGTGGGCAACTTGAGACAAGCGGGCCCAACGCCACGAGGCCAGTATCCGTGAACTGCTTGCATTGCGTCAAGTGAAAGTTCAAGGACCGCAACTTGCTTTTGTCGCTCTCGAAGGGCAGTCCGAAAGCCACCAGCGCCTGGTCGGAGAGGCTGCGGCACCCGTCCACGCGCAGAGAGAGCTCCTCCAAGGACAGCGGGAGGCTCGTCCTCACAGCTGCCAGCCCCTCGTCTGTGATGGGACAGTGTGACAAGTCCAGCTGGAGGCTCCGGAGGCGAGCCGATGCAAGGCTACCTCCCAACAGCACCAAGCACTTACCTGAGAGCTCTGTGCACTTCGCGAACTTGAGCTCGAGGTGCTGCAGTGTCTTGCTGGGGAGATTCGCGCTGAGCACGGCCCAGCTGGCGTCAGAAAGCCCCAAGCCACAGCAGCTCAAGCGGAAGGTCTCCAGGCATGCGCAGGACAGGGCCTCCACCCAAGAGGAAAAAACTGCATCAGTGATCTCGCTACAACGATCGAAGCTCAGCCGCAGATCTTTGAGGCTGGAGCTATGGGCTTGCAGGCTCTGCTTCAGAGAGGCCAGGCTCTTGCCAGCGAACTGCCGACAACTGCTGAAGTCCAAGAGCAGAAGCTTCAAGCGTGCATTCGCAACATCCGCAAGGGAAGCCAGCAAGGAAGCCAGCCCAGAATCAGTGAGCTGCTCGCAGTTGGAGAAGAGCAGCTCCAATTCCAGCAAGGACGACA